GCGATGAGAGGCCCACGCGCGTTACGCCAGTTTCGTTTGTACTACGGTAACCCAAAGAACTTTCACTTCGCAACGGAATAATTCTGTCTCGCCTCGCTCGCCGCTCTCTCGTTACCTGATGGTGGGCGTAAGTTTTAGTCCCGAATCCACTCTCGTTGGCTTTTATACTTTGTTGATTCACGCCGGATGTTGCCACAGCCGTGTACCGATGGACGTCGGATCGTGCTCGGAATAGGAACTTCCCCGAAGCACTGCGAACTGCGAGACGAGTCCAACGAACGCTCATCCTTAAGACTTCCTCCTTCTTTTAATACAGAGAAAACACTTGTTCGACGTTCCAACGTTTGCAAGACGAACCTATGCGAGCCGTTCACGTACGAATATGGCCAGATGGTTCGTTGGAGAAATTTTTACTTGATCTCAAAGTGTTCTGATAGCTGTAACAGATCAATAGGCTGTTCATATCTATTGAAAGGCTTCCAAGGATACGAAAATGACGCGGTTATTCCAAGCTCAGGATGTCGACCTGAGCTTCCTCCATGCTCGAGCATCGTTATGAAATGACGTTAATTAGTGCAAAGCGACTGGCACCACGGGAATGGAAGCAATTCGCGTAGAGGCACCGCAAATTACACGAATTACCGCGGCGATTATGTCAAATCTTAGCAGATGTCAGGGTCATTGCTTCGAAGGTATGATTACACGGTTGTTAGACAACAGGAAATCGAGGAAATCGAGTGCGATAGGATTACCTTACGCTTGGTGTTTGATGGTTACAGAGAGGGATAATTATTCAATTAAAACTGTCCTCGTGAAAAATATATCCATCCGAAAGAGTTTAGGAGTTGAGATTTTATTTCTGTAAAGACAGTCTCCATCCACTTCCTCGGTGAGCACGATTAAAATAGCAGCCTCCTTTCACGCGATTCGAAATGTCATTTCATCCGCAAAATCAACCCAACGCTTATTTTATTATTCAGGTAAAATTTCCGGTTTCCTCGTGCGCGAAGGTCGTCGATTGGATCAATGTGCGGGATATATGGCAAAATTTCAATGAATTTAATATATGCAACGACTGCATTTCTCCTTCGTTCATGCTAATCAAGCTTGTTCGTTTCATCAACGGATACGTGTGCTTGGAGAGAGAAAGCTCCAACGACGCGCAATTTTTACCGTTAAAATAGCACAGTCATTAATAAATATTCATACGCGGTTGCAGGTGTGAGTTCATCTTCGTATCCCCGCGGTCTCGTCGATGAGAGGGCGACCAACGTAATAATTAAGGCTCTATTTCAAGCTCGACGTCTCTCATTAAACGTCTAACTGTATCTTCTCTTCAACCATCGAAATTTACTATCTTTCAGGAAAAGTTGCTTGCTGTCGAACACTGGTCAAACTGCTTACGGTTTCGAGACTCCATCTCTCGAACGCGGAAACATTAAACTTTCTTAATAATAGCATTTTTGAACTTAGTTTTGTCGAATGAATCTCGGGGAACAATCCAAAACCAATCGGTTAAATAAAAATGTCAAGGTTACTTCGAATCCTTTTACGGATCGGGACGCGTGGGACGTCCACTTTCCTTTGACAAGGAAAAATAATAGAAGTTGTCGAGACAAGATGTACCAAATAACATCTAAACACTTTCACGGCGCCGCTCCGGCAACGCAAGCTTCCATAAACTGAGAAGAACGTGGGCGACGCGATAGAGAAGAAATCCGTGGATCTAGAACAGTGTTTCTCAAACTGTGATCACGCAAGCTAAGCCAATTTTCGTCGTATTAATCCGACTACGTTAAAAATTTCAAGTTAAAAAACTCCCCAGCACTCCACTTCGCGATGAGTTTGAGAAACACTGATTTGGAGTCTCTATCCTACGATCCAGGATCGTTATCCTTGATGCAGACGTCTAGCGCAAGATAATTAAATCGATCGGTTAAGTCATCGGCAATGTCCGCGACCACGTTCGCCGTATGACGAAATCGCGATTCGATTATCGCTGGATATATATGGAGGGAAATCTGGGTAGGAAGTCGATCGACGGATTCTTATTTTTCGGGTCCTTTTGATCGAGGTCCTCTCGAGGTCCTGCGTTCGATCGAACAGCGATTCGAGAACGAGAGAAAGGACGATCGAGAGAATTGGAAGGAAGTAGGCCATGGAAAATCACTTTGGCGAATTTTGCATTAACCCGTTCTATCTTCTCGATGGGTTTCGCAACTTGCCGCGTGGGAGTCTCTCGTTGCTGCTACTGGGAGAATATATACATGCGCGTGTGACGTGTGTGCGACGCCGACTAATTGATAGGTTTTGTCATCGTTTCCTTCTGTTTGCCTACCGGATGATATCATTGACACGGTAACACATTTCTCGCAGATACCCTTACCGAGCGACGCGACAATGTTTCGAGCGCTATTTGCATAAATGCCCGTCGAATGGGGGTGACATCGAGTTAGGTGTAAAGCGTATCTCTGCGAATGAGGGACAGGTGAAGCATAGGTCCTTTTCATGCCGCGGTAATTGAGCGTTAATTAACTCCATGCTACTACAATTTTTGTTATTGAAATATCACCTGCGTATTACTGGTACCAAGTGGCGATCGCTTCCGCGAGCGTGGCTCGCACGAAGTTGCGGAAATGCCACGGTATCGGTGCATCTGAAATTCGTCGGCGGGGTGGCCAATTTCCGTAACGAAAATACAATTCCCAAGGACGGGACAGGTCTAGTCCGTTCGCCAGCTGTTCAGCTGGTATAGTTCGTTGCTCACGAGTTGGCGAGCTAGTTCGATTGGCTGTCGAATTTTCGGTATTGGTCGAGGCAAAAGCTACCGCGTGACTTCCGGTTTCCTCTGTCTTCTCAGTCTCCTCTAGTTTTGGGTATCCTCGCCAACTATCCAGCAACCGACAATACTTGCCGAGGAATTACGGATACGAGAAGGAACTGTAGGACGGTCCTAGCTGTTGCGGGTGGGGGGAGGGGGGAGGGGAGGGGGCGGGGGGAGGTAGAAGAGCCACAGGTGCATCGCACTCGCACGCCCTCCTTTATTACGTTCCTCTGCATCTCCCGTCTTTCTCTTTTCCGTCCCTCTCGCTCGCTCCTCGACCCTATGCTCGTTAGCGACGGCCTCAACACGCCTTCGGTATCATTCGAAACATTAACCGAAAGTAAATTCAACTAACGCTCGGTGCTTCGTTCACGACACATAGGTTATCGTTGACTCCATCGAAAATTCGTGTAGAATAAAAAGATTTTCAAATTTCATTTGCGACAACTCCTTCTATGGTGTGGCTGTAAAGTACACGTTAAGCGAGAAATCGTGCATTATATGGTCAGCCTCCGACACAGCTCCCCCTTTGACGAGGATAAGACGGAGCAGAGGCAAAGAGTACGCATAGTCAACGAGGATGATTTCTCAGTCAGCAACTGTCCACGCGAGTCCAGCGCAGAGATACACATAATATCTTCGAGTCCTTGTGGGATGACAATTCCTTTCTGGGAGAGACTTCCCGAGTCACCGCGTCTACAACAAATCTTTACGAAGATCAAGGCTGAATCGCTTGAAAACTCGCAAGGCCTCGAATCCCCATCGCTACTCATGGACATGCTCTTTCCTTCTCCCCTTCCCCACGTTCCACCTCTTTTCACTAGTTACTTCGTTTTTGTCTCCTCGGACTCGTTGCTCTTCTCCCGCCAGCACTCGATCCCTCTTCGGTGTTTTCCTCCGCGATCCTCGTTTTTCCTACCTTCGTATCCTTCTCCAGGGCCTTTTTCCTCGTTGTTTTTCTCGTCCTTCTGCGTTCCACTTGCTCGTTCCCCTAATTGTCCTCCTCTTTTTCCCTTCGACGTTCCATCGAGCTTCCCTTCGCCTCGGGTTCGTTCTCCGACGAACCCGACCGTTCCTCTTGCTCCTTCCTTCTTACCGAATACCTTCTCCACCATTCAATGATAGATAATGAATAAAACCAACGCGTAGCAATTTATTTGCGACGGAAAGTGATTTGTAAAACGACAACTCCTAAGCTGAGAAAACCGTGAACATCGTGCTGTTCAGAATGACGTTGTGTGACCCTTCCCGCCTAGGTCGCATGGGTGCGTCCATTCGCCATATGTAAAGGCGTCTTCCGCGAATCGCGTGCGCTCGTGGCCCCTTGAAAATCGTGCTTCCGGTGTCGTCCACATTCGCAAGGAATTCCTCCGCTGGAAAAGACGCAGTTTCCTCGATCCTTTAGAAATTAAATACACCTTATCTTCCTTCTTCGCTGAATCCATAAACCACTCGCCTGCTCCATTAGATCTAATTTCTTTTGCCCTCCTGCAATCATCTTAACAAAAAAATAAACCACCACCGATTATTAGACAAGAGAAAATACCGGATCTCTACTCATTTTCTCTGCCTCCAGAGCCGACAGTTTCGCGTTATGCAACGCATAGCCCGAGCCGTCGTTTCCTACAACCAGGTTCTTGAATATCAAAACACCGCGTAACCAGGAAATTGGGTTTGTAGGGCCCAGGGCTAAGGTAAGCCGATACGGTTAGGGTTTGTTTGTGTAGGGATTCGTGGATGCCGACGTGCCACCGGTATGTCAGTCGAACAGGTGTTCTCGCGTCGGTTCCCTTGTTTCGTTCGGCAAAAAACGGACGCGTGGTTTCTTGCTGCTCCGACTCGCTACTCTTTTCATCTATTCGCCGTCGAGGAAGTCCGTTGTTTTCGTCGACGATGCTCCTAGGAACTCGTCCAACGTTTTCCTGGGACGTCGCGCACGAGTGATTCTAAAAATCTTGTTTGCTCTCGCTCGAAGGGCGATCGCTCGAGCGAGACCGTCGTATGATGGATGATGACGTAATTGAACGAACGTAATTCAGGAAACCGTCGAAAGAACGACGGGCGTGTTGGGCACCGCGTAAGTGTCGTAACGATAATCGAATTCCATCGCGCGCTTTTTGCCAATCGACAATTTTATCGTCGCGTGAATCTAATCGAGCGCTTCTCTCTGTTGCAGCCAAGATGAAACATCTTTGGCCGTTGGTGGCGTGGATACTTCTATCTCTGTGTCCAGTGAGTACTCGTCGTCTGTATCTGATCTAAAATTAAATATTTAATATATAAAATTAAATACATACGTAATATTTATAGCTTCCGAAAGATTGTCGCATCTGTCATCAGCTTGTTGCCAACGTTTCGCGAACGTTGCTAACAGTACCAGAGTTGAGAGTATCGGAGCTATCGATGATCCTTACTTTTATTTTGTAACAACTAATCAGAAAACAACGCGATATCAATCATATAGCGATAAGGATTAACGTCTAGGATCCTTGAATAATAACATTTCCAATGTGTTATCCAGGCCGAATCACTCAGGGGACTCGGCCGTGGATCGAGGAGAGAAGTGTTCTTCCTGAACCTCGAAGACGGCTACTTCGGCTGCCAGGTGAACGAGTCGACGGACGTTCTGCAGCTCTTGGAGCTGTCCAAGCTGTGTGATGGCAACGTCGACTGTTTCCAGGGCACGGACGAGCAACGCGACAAATTGAAGTGCACAGGTGAGTCTCGGAAACGATCTGGTGCACAGGAGAGGCTCGTACGGAAGAGTGCGTCGTCGTGCGACCACCGAGGAAGGGAACAAGCGCGTATCGTCGTTGTGCGACTCGGTTTTGCTACCGTTACTATCTTCGTAGCTTCTTTTCTCATCGTTCCTTTGTTCGAACCATCGTTTCACGACGTAAAGTTCTACAAATTCTAGACAAATTTCCAAATGCATTTTTCAGATCGCGCTAATCGATAAATCGTAACCTATCATTGAAATATTTAATATAAAATAGGCGTACAACGAGTTGCTATTATACATAGTTACCTTCCGGTCCTTTCCGGCCAGTAATTTTTTTACGGTTGTAATCAACACTCGACGGCCTACCGTACTAGGAAGAAATTAATTGCATATCTTTGCATACTTTAGGTGCAGACACGGCGTTGCTGTAAAAACTTAACGTTAATTACTTCAAACTAAAACTACGAAGTACGAAACGCGTATTGCGGTACCGAGCGTAATTGCGTTTCTGCACCTTCGTTCTTCGAACGTGATCGATCTCTACCATTGATTTTCATTCACTTCCCATCGTTGCTCGTGCTCCCGCGTAATCGAAGGTCCCTCGTCTCGTTACCCAGACGATGAGAACGTTGCGCAATCGCTGGGAAACGAATTACTCATCGTAATCGACAGTTTTTAAACTCGCGCGTTGCGTAGTGATCTCTTCCCTCGATGACTCAGGAATTTATCGTTAGATCAATGGATATGCGGTGCAACGTGCTGATTTTTTCAATTCAGGGAAGACACCTTCCTTCTCTCGTAGCGATACGTGAGAATAATCCTTCATTTTTATCAGAGATTAATGTACTCCTAGTTAGGTTCTATGCTCATTAATTACCAAGCTAATGATTGTTCCTTTATTTTTTTTTTTTTTTTTTATTTTTTTTTGTTAATCGCAGATGACTGTACAAAAGAGGACGGGACCAGATGCTTCAACGGCGTTTGCTTGGATTCCGTTTGTCATTGCAACGACGGTTTTGGTGGTTGCAACTGTCAAGTGCCAGGTTGGTATCCTTTTTTGCTATAACAAGTCAACAATTCAACCTTGTCGAAACTGGAAACGATTTGGTTTCTTCTTTTGATCACAGTGAACAAACAAATAATGAGTTACCGTTCATATCATCGTATCTTTACATCGATGCCTACTAATAATACTGTATGTCCTTCCACGTATCTTCTACATCTTTATACCACGTTAAGAATTCCTGGCCTTCTTCAAATCACTCGAGCAGTATATTTTTCTCACCAGAGAACGATAACATCGTGTCTCGTAATATGAACAAATTATAATACAATGGCAATGTTTAATTGTAATACCAACCAGACGCAATCGTTACGGAAATTTATTTATATTATTCTCCGCGATATTTTTTATATTCTGAGGTCGATTTTTGATTAAATGATTGAAATTTGTTTAACGTACTTCGACCCATGTCGAGCGAGCATCTTTTAGTCAGTTCAGTGGATGCTACGTGCTCCCCCAAGACTCGAACCCTTCGTTCGACAACTTGAAGCGTCCTCGGATGTCATAAATTAATCGATGCGTGAAAAAGAGCGAGTGTAAATAGAGGGAAGGCGCAAAAAAAAAAAAAAACAATTAAGGAACAAGGGTGCCTCCGCATCCTCTTCTCGCGTGAGCCAGCATCGGCTAACGCCGGGTTCGGTAGCCGAATCACGGGGTTTTGAATTTCACACCGCTGGAGTGTGTCTCGAAGGTAGTTCACTGTATCGTTTCCACAATCGACCACACCTGTTCACGCTAATTCCTTGCTCGACAGCTACCGTTCGAATATTTTAGCCACGAATACCGTTACGTTTCGCGTCTGCCAAGTTGTCGCGACAATAAAACCTGGCTTGTCGAGCAATCTGTATATTTCTGTTGCCTGTACAATCGAAAAGAATGCAGCGCGATAGCTGCAGTTATTCGAGTATGTATAGTTGAAAAGCGAAAATGGTTTGCAGATGAAAACGAGTGCAAGTACCGCCCCTGTGATATATTCGCGCATTGCACGAATACCCTAGGTAGCTTTCAATGTTCCTGTTTCCCTGGCTACCGAGGCGACGGCTTCTACTGCGAGGGTACGTAACAACACTTATAAACATATCAATCTCAAGACAAAATCTCAGCGCCTGAAATTTATGATGCGCGAACACGTAGCCGTTCGACGTGAATGATTATTCGGAAAGTGCATCCGATGTAGAATATGTCCGTCAGGATTCAAAACGTATTCCAAGATGTTTTCCCCGTCGTCATAGTAATTCTTTTCGCGCGGTTCATTCGTCGAGCCTGTTATTTACCGCGAATGCGCTCCGTTTCCTGTTCATGGTAGACATCAACGAGTGCGATAACCCAGCGTTCGCCGCGAGATGCGTGGAGAACGCGGAGTGCTGCAACCTCCCGTCCAACTTCCTGTGTAAGTGCAAGTCGGGTTACATTGGCGACGGTGAGGTGCACTGCGAGGACGTAAACGAATGCACGGTGCCTGGTGCGTGCGCGGATAATTCCATCTGCCACAACATCCCTGGCAATTATACTTGCGCGTGTCAAGATGGCTTCACGGGAGACCCTTACGAAAGCGTGAGTGCGAGATGTTTATTCAACCTTCTTACCTGAAATTTATTCAGAACATATTTTTTGTAAATTTCTATGAATTAACAAATATATAAATACAGGTTTTTGTTCGAGTAGCTGAAGCACAAGTGTCATAAACTTTAGAACTCCTGATACACACATATATTCGTTAATTCGTGAATTATGAATTTAGATTTAAAGAATTTCTTTAAAGGTATGTTAAAGGAATGTCATATATATTAGAAAACCGAATGACTTACTACGGGTATTTATTCCTTATGTTACTTTTAGCGTTATAATTAAATTCTTAGAATTTATCTTGATTAATGATTATCACTTAGAACGAACAGCAACTTGTTTCACAGTTCTTGAGTCTAAATTAGAACGTTCTGTACTAATTGCTATTTGTAGTATGCAGCATGTAGGGGCGTTAAGAACACGCTGTTCATTTCTAGCTTAATTGAATTGTTCATTCCGCGTACGTTGCCCGTTATATCGTCAAAATGAACCCGAAAATTTTTGTACGAAAGTACACGGGGAATTCAACGAGCGCCGCGCGTAAATGCATAACGATCCTGTTTAGTGCGTCGACATAAACGAATGCGAATACGCTGGTGCTTGCGGGAGGGATGCCCTGTGCGTGAACTTGCCCGGTGGCCACAAGTGCGAGTGTCCCGAGGGCTTTAACGGCAATCCCGAGGAAGAATGCGTGGACATCGACGAGTGCGCTCGCAGCCCTTGCGGTCGTTCAGCTCACTGCACAAACGTGCACGGCAGTTTCCGCTGCTCATGCCCGGAAGGAATGAGCGGCGATCCTTGGACGGGCTGTCACGGTGAGTAACGCGATTCCTAATTATCCGAAACATTATTAGGGCTCTTCTCCCGACTGTGGCTACAACGAATTAGCATTCAATTACTTCGAGCCTCCACATTCTCGAACTGGTAAGTCGAACCGCGGAAAGAATCCACGTACGAAACTTCTAACGCTAAATACTTGGAATAACAGTGTCCACGGTTCGGTAATAATACGGTTCGTGTTAACAAGCAAAGCATCATTTGATAGGGAGCTATAAAGATCGCCCGATGTTCACAGCGCGAGAGACGTTATCGGTCTTTTCGCTTGTAAAATGCTTTCTCGCGATAGCGATCTCTTTCACAAATTAGCAGTAGACGTTTGTTTATACAATAGCAAGTCCCAGTCGTAAAAGTAACGAGACTAGCGTTAAGATATTCGAGGCTTCCAATCCAGGCGTCATTTGTCGTATGTAACATATCGTCGTCCAATGTGTTAATAACATCATTAACGAGATCAATTTAAACTACTAACCGTTACTAACAGATGTAAACGAGTGCGAGGACGGCGCACCGTGCTCGGCGGACGCCGATTGCGTGAACACAGAGGGTAGTTTCGAGTGCAGATGCCGGGGTGGCTATCAGATGGATCTGAATCGCAATTGCGTGGACGTGAACGAGTGCAGTAGGCCAGACGCGTGCGCTGAGAACGCTAAATGCATCAACGTCCCGGGATCGTACAAGTGCATCTGCCCCCAGGGTTTCATCGGTCAAGGGCTAACATTGTGCGAAAGTCAGTCATTCCCCTAACTCTATACGATGTTCGCTAATAACGTTCGCCTGGTAATCGGTTAATAATACTCATCGTCCCATTAACAGACGTGAACGAATGCGAGGCAAACCCTTGCGGCGAGAACGCCGAGTGCAGCGACACGATCGGCAGTTTTGCGTGCAGCTGCAAAGCGGACTACACGGGCGACCCGTTTAAGGGATGCAGCGGTCAGATATCGAGATTATAGCCTCCCTCTTTCTTCATATTCTTTGTGCAGGGTGTTACAACAGAGTTTTGTTAATCTAATTTTTGTAATAATTGTACCCTTCTCGTTGTTGATACTATTTTCACCATACACTTTCTTCGCTTCATTCAAGTTTACAAAGCAAATTTATGAAACCCTCTACGGTATCGTTAAAATATTTTCTTTTCTCCTGTACAGACATGATTACTCGTAACACTAACCAATTCGTACGTGTAGATATTCATTACTAAACAATTACACGTGCAATGCTTCTTTCAAGTGCTTCGTGTTGCTTTGTTTTTCGTACGCTGCTGTCGATCCTGACTACCATCAGGATAATTCTAGCTAACACCCTTTTATGTTGGAGATAACGAAAAGAAAAGTTTATTTAACAGCGGCTGGCATGAGAGGAGAACTTACCTCAAGGCCTTCCTTCGAATTGGTACTCTTTTTTCTTAGAATGCCTATTAGTATCGTAAGTCAGTACGTTCTTTTGTGTAATGGCATCCTGTACAATTATCTCACTTCTTTCTAGCCTTCTTCTTTAAATATCTTCTTCTAAAAACTATTATAATATCCGATTAGATATCGACGAATGCACGGCGTTGGACAATCCTTGCGGAAGGTACGCCATCTGCAAGAACACGGATCCTGGATACACATGCGACTGTCCGCCGGGGTACAGTGCCAACCCTAGTCCGAAAGTTGCATGCGACCAGGTAATTTCTCTGTTACACTAATTCAAAGAACGATCCAATTCGGACATCTATTCGTAAGTCGCCATTGTCGTGCCTATCAGACCGACGTGACCACTCTGTGCAAATCGAACTTCGACTGCGTGAACAACGCCGAGTGCATCGAAGGCCAGTGCTTCTGCAAGAACGGGTTCAAGGCCGTTGGGGCTGAATGCGTGGATCTCGACGAGTGTCTCTCCAATCCCTGCGGACCGGCGTCTATCTGTACCAACTCTAGAGGAAGCTACCATTGCGAGTGCGAATCCGGTTTCGTTGGAACCCCGCCACACATTCCCTGTAAAGGTAAACCCATCCATTTATTCATTTGCTTCGTTTATATATTGGACGAACCACCTAGCGAATATATTAATAGAAATCCAGCAGGATTTAAATCTATCGATCTTCTTCTGTCTCAGCGCCATGCGACGAAGTGACGTGCGGCGAGCACGCGTTCTGCAAAGCGGACGGCCACGAGGCTTACTGCATATGCGAAGATGGCTGGACGTTCAATCCCAACGACATCGCGGCTGGTTGCGTTGGTAAGAAATTTACACCTTGATACGAAGGGAGATCGAGTTTCTAGATACAGGAATCTACTCGATTTCTAGTTTGCGATAGCGTTTCGAATTTATGTGAAAAGGAGTCGCGTGGGTTGCGAGGATAATTCGAGGTGATTTTGTAAATAGATATAAACGAATGCGACGCGGTAAACGGTCCTTCGGGACGTTGCGGCAAGAACGCGGTCTGCACGAACACCCTTGGCGGCTTTAGTTGCCAGTGCAAGCCTGGATACTCTGGAAACGCCTTCAAGCAGTGCATGGGTAAGACACCTGATTTCTTTTCAACGAATAGTAGTTGCCGTTCGTTGGTCCTGGAAGTGATCTAATTACTCCGTTCGATAAACTCTCTTTGATTTTGAAATATAGACGTGGACGAATGCACGAGACACGACATATGCGGCCACGGTGCTACTTGCGCGAACACGGAGGGTTCTTACACGTGTACCTGTCCGGAAGGTACCATACCGGATCCTGATCCATCCATCAAGTGCGTCGGTATAGTTACCTGCGAGGTTGACGGCGATTGTCCTGGAAATGCCATTTGCGACCCACAGAAACGCTGTCTGTGCCCTGAACCCAACGTTGGAAACGATTGTAGACGTGAGTACTTACAGTCAGACTCGTAAGTATTCCCTCTATATCTATCGAAGATCAACTGTATTATCGTTACTATTCGCTCATCGGAATCAGATCCCTGCGAAGACCTGTCCTGCGGACCAAACGCTCACTGCATGCTGTCCAACGACGTGGCGACGTGTCTCTGTCGCAACGGCTACACAGGAAAGCCTGGAGTGAAGGGCGGCTGCAGAGACATCGACGAGTGCGTCATCAATCCGTGTCCTCAGGGCGCGATTTGTAACAACGAGCCAGGCTCGTTCTCCTGTCAATGTCCCAGCGGCACCACGGGAGATCCTTACAACGGCGGATGCCAAGAGTCGAAGGCCCCTCACGTCTGCGGGCCCAGCACCCCGTGTCCAGCCGGGGAACAGTGCATCAAGGACGAGTTCGTCGGCAGCAGCGTATGCATCTGTCAACGGGGCTACACGCGCGACCACGAGACAGGCAAATGCAGGGACATCAACGAGTGCATGGAGCTCAGGGAGAAGCCTGCGTGCGGGGTCAACGCCATTTGCAAGAATCTACCCGGTAGCTACGAGTGCCAGTGCCCGCCCGGGTTCAATGGAAATCCATTCTCGCTATGCGAAGGTGAGGTTTACGGAGGAACTGCGAGTCTGGTCTTGGAAGTCCTTTCTGAACAATTTTAGTTCTGCGATAGGTGTACACAGTCAATAACATTAACGTATACATTTATAAGTACATCAATATATTCATAGAAACCTAGACTTGAAAACTAAGTAAGCGATAATCACTAACGTTCGCGTCGATTACAGAATGCAACAGCATCGAATGCCAGTGTCAGCCTCCGTACAAGATCGTGAAAGGCAAGTGTATGTTGGCTGGCTGCTCCAAGGGTGAGAAGTGTCCAAGCGGAGCCGAGTGTATAACGATAGCAGGCGGAGTCAGCTACTGTGCTTGTCCCAAGGGCTACACTACCAAGACCGATGGTTCTTGCGAGGGTTCGTACTCAAATCTCCGCTTTATCCTCCGATCCTTGGACTCCTTTCGAATGACCTTTAATTTTCAAAATTCGTAGACATAAACGAATGCATCGTTGGACACCAAGTCTGCGGCTACGGAGCCGAGTGCTTGAACCAACCAGGCTCCTACCAATGCGTCTGTCCACACGGCTATGGCGGGGATCCCTACAATGGTCTCTGCTCTCCAGCGCAGAAAAGGTGCACCAACGATAACGAGTGCAGAGCGAACGAGAAGTGCGTGCAACCGGGCGAATGCGTTTGCCCACCACCGTTTTACTCGGACGCTCTCGATGGGAACCTTTGCAAGAGTGAGTGTCCCTGTAAACAATTCTTCAATCATTAACGATATCACTGCCAGACTAATACTTGTAAAAAATATGAGCCTAACATTTAGCGTGTTTATTTATGGGCGACCAACGTGTCAATGTTTCTATATCAGCGTTCAACGTTTGATCTTTAAATGATGCAGACCCTTGCGATCGGTTCCCTTGCGGAATGAACGCTAAATGTACACCGAGCGATCCACCGAGGTGCATGTGCGAGGCTGGCTACGAAGGAGATCCACAGCACGGTTGCGTGGACGTCAACGAGTGCGCGAACAACCCATGCGGACACGGTGCCTACTGTATCAACACCAAAGGCGACCACGTCTGCGAGTGTCCCAGAGGAACCGTCGGCGATCCCTACGGTGCTGGTTGTACCGGCGGTGTCGCGAAAAACGAGTGTACCTCCAACGACGACTGCGATAACATATTCGCCTGCATCGGCGGTAGGTGCGCGAATCCGTGCGATAACATACCCTGTGGTCCAAACGCGTACTGCGAGCCCGACAAACACGCTGCTTGGTGTCGATGCGTGATCGGATTCGTCGAGGGCAAGAACAACGAATGCGTTTCGCGTGAGTACTACCTTCGTACGTTGACCGTACTCCGATACTGTTGAATATATCGCTAAATAAATCACGCAGAGTGCGATGGCTTCGTCTGCGGCTCGGGAGCTCAGTGTATCGTGAGCTACAGCGGACCGACCTGCAAATGCATCGAGGGCTTCATGGGCAATCCGTTCCCTGGTGGACAATGTCTACCCGACGTCTGTTCACCGGAAGTACCTTGCGCCGAGCCGAGCGTGTGCATAAGTGGAAGGTGCAAGCGTCGCTGCGAGGGTATAGTCTGCGGAGTAGGAGCCTCCTGCGATCCAGCCACCAACAAATGCGTCTGCAATCCGTACTTCATCGGGAACCCTGATCTTCTTTGCATGCCACGTGAGTAATCAAATTAACGTTCGATCACCTTCGAAGATCACGCCGAAAATAACCGAATGTTAATGTAGTGTCCGCGCCTCCCATACCCAACAATGAGTCAAATAAGAACACGAAACGTAGGGTACGGGATTGGTCGCGTAGGTAAAGCGGTCGACTGTGGATTCGAGGATCGTGGCTTCGAATCCCCGTGCCTTATTTTTCGTTTAGACTCCTATGTTAAATTACGAATTCGATAGCGATACAACCTGCCATCTGTAATCCCGACTGCGGTACGAACGCCCACTGCGAGTACAGCCTGCAGGAGTCCAAGTGCGTCTGCAATCCCGGAACAACTGGAAACCCGTACCTTGGCTGTGGCGTGCAGCAAAAGTCTGACTGCTCCACTGCATTGTGCGGCAAAGACGCGCATTGCAACGCTGGACCGAACGCCGTCGAGTGTCTGTGTCCTCCTGGATACGCGGGGAATCCGTACATTCAATGTTTCGGTTGGTACACCTGACTTGCACTCTCTTTTATGAAATAATGATAATAAGATTACAATACGCCTTCGATTCTCTTCTCAGATATCAACGAGTGCAACGGAAACGCATGCGGCGGCAACGCAGTCTGCATCAACACCATCGGCAGCTACGACTGTCGCTGCAAGGACGGATTCTTCGGCAATCCTTTCATCGGCTGTCAACAGGTGCAAATAGGTCCGTGCACCGACCCTGCGAGTTGCACCTGCAGCGAGTCGGTGCCATGTCCGTTCGACTACAGCTGCGTGCACGGCAAGTGTATAAACCGTTGCAGCGACGTAAGATGCGGTCCTCGATCGGTCTGCCAAGACGGAGCCTGCGTCTGCCCGCCAGGCTACAGCGGGAATCCCAATGACCTCAGCAAAGGATGCCACCTGCACGGTCACTGCTCCAACGACCTGGACTGCGAGCCTCAGCAGATCTGCTTTCAAGTCGGCAAAGGCGTTCGTAAATGCGTGGACGCGTGCAGCAAACTGCAGTGCGGTCCCAACGCGCTCTGCGTCGCCCAACATCACGTCTCCTCTTGCCTGTGCATCGACGGGTACCAAGGCAATCCTACCAACCTGGTGGAAGGCTGTCAGCCTTCCAAGTCCGTGTTAACACCCGGCTGTACTCACGACTCCGACTGCCAGGAGGGCGCGTTCTGCCTCGTTCTCGACAGCGGAGCTCGCGAGTGCGTGAATCCTTGCAGCAAAGTGGTCTGCGGCGCCCACCAGAAATGCGAACCGGATATAATCCCCGGTCACGCGACCTGCAAGTGTCAGGACGGATACGAGTGGAACCCCATACTATCCTCCTGCGAGAAACCTTCTGTTCCTGACTGCATTTCCGACGACGACTGCCATACCACCGAGGCCTGCAGACCGGACGCCCTGGGCGTACTGAAATGCGTACCCGTGTGCCGCAGCTTCACCTGCGCCATTCAATCTCAGTGCGTAGCTGAACGACATCGTGGTCGCTGCGAGTGTCTGCCTGGATTCGTCGGCAACCCTAACGATCGCCAAGGTTGTCAAACGCCAAAGAAGGATCACTGCTCCACCGACAGCGAGTGCCCAGAGGATCAAACATGCAGGAGTACGGAAGAGGGTTTGTTAACTTGTCAACCAGTCTGCAACTTTGTTTCCTGCGGACCCAACGCCCTCTGCGTCGTTCACAATCACGTTGCTAACTGCGAGTGTCCACCTGGACTCTACGCTGGCGATCCCAACGACGCTATCAAAGGATGCCGCACCGTTCCCTGCGTCTACAACATCGACTGTCCACCTACTCAGCTCTGCAATAGGCTCACTCACACCTGCTACGACGTCTGCGACGAGGACGCCTGCGGAACGAACGCTGTCTGCATAGCCGACGACCACAGAGCGATCTGCCAGTGTCCCCCTGGTCTTCGACCCAATCCCGTGCCCGACGTGGAGTGCGTCGCCATCGAAGCCTGCCATCCTAATCCTTGTCACGAGTCGGCGCTCTGCGTCCCGGGACCTTCGAACAACTACATCTGTCAGTGTCCGGGAAATTTCGTGGGCGATCCTTATTCCGCCGGTTGCCAACCGGAAGGATATTGTGCAAGCGGCAAGGACTGTCCTGCTCATTCCATTTGCCACAACCATCGTTGCGTTAATCCCTGCGAGGACACTTGCGGACCCAATTCCATTTGCGAAGTCATCAATGGACAACCGACTTGCAAGTGTATTCACAACTTTGTGCCATCTTCCAAGGGTCCACAGGACGGCTGCGTCCGCACGTTGAATTACTGCACCGTTGACGCCGATTGCGACGAAAGCGTATGTCTCGAGGGACAGTGCATAGGTAAGACTTATTGTTATTAATTTTTTCTTTTTTTATTAATTTTATATACTGTTACAATACTTATTTGAATTTGTATTATAAAGGAAATTCTAATTTAATTATATTCCTTCGTGTATCGTTAAATTATTCTTATAGCTGTTTGTCGTACGGCAACGGACTGCTCCGTTGGCGAAAAGTGTGTGAACAGCAGGTGCACCGTTCCGTGCGTCTCCCATAGTCAATGCCAACTCGATCAGGCTTGCGTGAACGGAGGATGCGTCCTGGGATGTCGAAGCAACAAGAACTGCCCCACTACGCAGTCTTGTATTAACAATAAATGCCAAGGTAACATTATCGAACTACGAAGTACCCTTTCGAGGGTAAAGAATAGAAATACAATCGTGTCAAAGTCGACCTGTGACGTGTAAAATGATCCTCGCTTTAGATCCATGCAGTAGGAAAGACGTCTGCGGTCCAAACGCTATCTGCAGTTGCACCAATCACGCGACAATCTGTACCTGTCCGCTTGGCTTCCATGGAAACCCAACGCCCCAACAGGGCTGCGTCAGAGTACCGAATATATGCGACGGTGCTCAGGACTGCCCAAGTCAGCATGTGTGCGTTTCCGGATTCTGTCAGTGTCAATGCAGCGAGCAGAACAACTGTGCCGATGGAGAACGCTGCAAGAACGGCATATGCGTTAAGATCTGTTACAGTGACAGCAACTGTTTGCCCGGTGAACTATGCATCGACGGACTGTGCGAGGTAGGTTGCACTTCCGATGCAGGCTGCAAGGACCACGAGGTGTGCATCAACAATAAATGCAGGTGGGTATTTGAAACGCACGGACTGGAGAGCCGATCAGAATTTTTATATCTTACCTTCTCATTTCTTATCTGTCATTCTTTAACGGTTAAATCATATGGTACAGAATTTGAGTTGAACATAAAAAACTGTTTAATAATGTAATGTAAAAAATAATGTTTTTAATGTCTCCAGATGTAGCCACGGATTCATCGCAGGACCGGAACATTGCCTAGACATCAACGAGTGCGACGATCAGCCTTGCCATTCGAGCGGAGAGTGCGTGAATCTTCACGGATCCTATCGCTGCGTCTGTCCTCAGGGAACCGCCGGGGATCCTGTGGGATCAGGTTGCGTGATACCTCATCAGTGTACCGTGAACACGGATTGCCCCGATTCCCAGGCTTGCATCCAACACAATTGCACCGATCCTTGCTCCTTGGGCGACTGTGGATCGAACACAATTTGTTCTGCCGTGGATCATTCGGCAGTCTGTCAGTGTCAACCTGGATACATCGGCGACGCTTCGGGATGTTTCAGAGTGGAGTGCCTATCCAACAACGACTGTCCCACGGACAAGTATTGCAACCAGGACACCAACAAGTGCAGCAGTAAGTAAATTATTTTTCGCGGGTAACCCTCTACGCGTGGGATCGATTCTTTCAACTTGTTCTTTTGCGTTATTCAGGTCCTTGCAATCAAGTGAACTGTGGATACGGCAATTGCGTAGCTTTAGACCACGCAAGCGTGTGCAAATGTTATCCTGGTTTTCTTCTGGCAGGCGACATTTGCGCCGACGTCAACGAGTGCCTGGAAAATCCTTGTCATTCCACCGCGGTGTAAATAAGATTTATCCGATACTTAAAAAATTGTATGTAAGTTGATCGTTGAGGTGAGAATAATGGGATCGCCTTGTTGCAGTTGCCAAAACACGGAAGGCTCGTACACTTGCGTCTGTCCGCATGGTTTGGTGGGAGATCCTGTGAAATCTGGCTGCAAGCAACCTGGCGACTGTTTCACGGACTCCGACTGTCCGATCTCTGCCGCTTGCATCGACAACACGTGCAGGAATCCTTGCGATGTATCTCTTATTTGCGGCAGGAACGCCGAGTGTTTTGTTCAAGGGCACGTTCCGCTTTGCAGGTGTCCCGGCCAGACCACTGGGAACCCATCGGTGGGTATACGGGTTCATGTTCGGAGAGAGAGTTTGTCGAGTGCCGCCTAGTAGAATACACGATATTCGTTTCCAATTTCAGTCCGAGTGCATTCACTTGGAGTGCAACTACCACAGCGATTGCAGTCCATCGGATGCATGCTTCGATCACAAGTGCGTCGATCCTTGTTCCCTCTCGAACGTCTGCGGTCAGGGGGCCGATTGCTCTCCGTTGAACCACAGCGCAGTGTGCACGTGTCAACCAGGTGGTACAGGTGATCCAAATCTAGGATGCACACCTGTCCAGTACTGCAAGTCCGACTCCCAGTGCGCGACTGGGTCAGCTTGCAACGGTGGAATATGCACAGGTAAGCGAACCGAACGGAGCAAAGACAAAAGCGACAGAGAATCAAATCGACTCGCTTTTAGCTAACGTTTCATCAAATTTCGATACTTTGCAGCGCTCTGTGGCAGCACAAGGGACTGCATCGGCGATCAGCTTTGCATCAATGGACTCTGTCAACCCACCTGCAAGACCAACTCCAGTTGCCCCGAGTACCAGTACTGTCTGAACAACATCTGCGTCCAAGAACTGCGGTGTATATCCGACGACGATTGCTCTTACGACGAGAGGTGCATCAAGAACAACATCGGGCAGGCGGAGTGTCGCAAGGCTTGCGACTTGGTCCTATGCGGACGCAACGCTGAATGCAGGGCGACCAATCACGTCGCGGTGTGCTCTTGCGAAGGTGGATTCTTCGGGAACCCCAAGGACGACAAGATCGGTTGCCAGCCTATCGAATGCGAGAACAACGACAACTGTAGCGAGGAGAAAATTTGCGACACCCACAAGTGCAGAATCGCCTGTTTGGCCCACAATCCTTGCGGCGTTAACGCTATTTGCACGACGGAGAGACACGTTCAGGTATGCACGTGTCAGCCAGGATACACAGGAGAACCGACCCACGGATGTCAGCTGATCGATTATTGTTCGAACGAACCTTGCGCTCCTGGAGCTCTCTGCGAGAACTCCAGAGGCTCGTACAAGTGCCACTGTCAACAAGGCATGGTCGGGGATCCCTACAACAGCGGCTGTCAACCGCCTGTCGAGTGTCTTTTAGACGACGACTGTCCACAATCTGCCAAGTGCATAAACATCAACAATGTACCAAAGTGTTTCGGTGCGTATCGATAGCTAAACTCGTCGCGTATCGGTACCTAATCTCCACGTTCTATGTTTCAGATGTATGCTCGCGAACGCAATGCGGACCAAACGCTGACTGCGTTGCTGCCAATCACGCTGCAACGTGTCAGTGCAGGTCCGATTACGAGGGCGATCCAAACAATTTGAGCGTGGGCTGTCGACCGAAACCAATCGCTTGTTCGTCAGCCGTGGACTGCTCGTCCACTACCTACTGCTACGAGGGAATCTGTCGACGTGAGTATTATCTAACAAGCGAGGACTCTCCAACGACGTGTAACGTCGCTTTTTCTATGTTAAATTCAAACAGATAAATTTATAATGTTTCTATTTTTAATCAATTACGTAATCCTCTTCGTTATAAATAATCTTTTGACATCTAGCGTCGAAATTTTCAATACGTGATCGATGAGAATTCATTCGCAGAAACGAAATTATTATCTGCTCCCCCTTAATAATTTAAAATTCATCCAGCGTCCTGCCAATCGGACGAGGAATGCAATCTATCGGACGTGTGCTTGAATGCACAATGCCTGGATCCTTGCGACATCCGAGCCGCGTGCGGAATAAACGCCGACTGCAACGTGAGGAGTCACATTAAACAGTGCAGCTGCCCACCTGGCTTTACTGGCAATTCGGAAGTGGAATGCGTGAGGCGTAAGTTCAAAATTTGCGATTTTTAACCCCTTAAGTTACGATTTAAGCTCCAACAGTGTGGGACCAAAATGTGACGTTTGCATTCGGCCCGAACAACACACCACGGACCAGGCTCGTTATAATCAATTTTTGTTGATTTCCAAATTGTTCCAGTGCCCGTGTCCTGCAGAGACAGCATCGACTGCAGCGAAGGCAACACCTGCCGCGACAACGTCTGCCTTCCGATATGCGCCAGCGACAACGAGTGCGCCTTCAACGAGAAATGCGTCCGCGGGAACTGTCTGCTCACCTGCAGACTAGACAACGACTGTTTCCTCGGTCACATATGCCTGCACAACATGTGCACGTTCGGTTGTCGCGCCGACGAAGACTGCAACGCGAATCAGGCCTGCATCACCAACAAATGCATCGATCCATGCGAGGCAATGCCTTGCGGACCGAACGCCAAGTGCACCGTGTTCAATCAACGCGCCACCTGTTCGTGCCCCGCGGGATTCATACCGAATCCGACCGCGAAGGTGGCTTGCCTGAGATCGCCGGGGGTGGGATGCCAAGCGAACAGGGATTGCGGGGTTGGAACGGCTTGCATCGGAGGCGTTTGCACGCCCGTTTGCTCGACGGACTTGAACTGTCTGAGCAACGAGCGCTGCGACTCGTCGGGCATCTGCAAGTCGCTGTGCAGGAGAGACGAGGACTGCAGAAGCGGAGAGATCTGCGAGGGACTCGTCTGCGCGATCGGATGCCGCGCGGATGTCGAGTGCCAAGAAAATTACGCTTGCTCGAACAACCAGTGCCAAGGTGAGACCAGTTCTTTGTACATTAGCAGTCTTTCGACGTTAATAGTAGTTAACAGCATTTCAATCGCTGTCCCTTTCCTCGTATCGCAGATCCATGCTCGTTACCCGACGCCTGCGGAGCAAACGCGAGGTGCTCCGTCGTGAATCATCAGAAGTTATGCGCCTGTCCCGCGCCGCTAGCCGGAGACCCTCTAATTGGATGCAAACAGGCGTTCCTCCCCTGCACGACGGAACTGGACTGCCCAACTGGTCAAACTTGTTACGGGAGATCCTGTTACGCGGCGTGTAGGAGGTAAAACGAACGACGATTCGAGCGACGCGAGCTCTCGTCTTTTTTCCGAAGGAATTAACGACTATGTAAATTGTTAACAGCGACGCTAATTGCCTGAGCGACGAGCGGTGCGACGGTGGTATTTGCAAAGCGATATGCAACAGCGACGATCATTGCTCGGCGAATCAGATATGCCTGAACAGGCTGTGCGACATTGGCTGTCGCAGCGACAACACGTGCCCTAACGACGAATCCTGCTTGAACAATAAATGCAGAAGTAAGTAGATTAGTCGACCGGTCCAGGTCCAACGAACCTCGCCTAACGACGTCCTTTGACACTTGCTACAATTTACTTTTTGTACAATTGGAAACTATTAGGTTGTCCGAAAAGTTTCTTTCGCGACGTGACACCTGATCTTCAGAATTAATTTATTCAACTTCTTCATGAAAATCCCTGTGACACGGCGATCAATGTGTTAATGGATGTTCGTTATCTCAGATCCTTGCGAAGGCGGCAAGGCTTGCGGGGAATGCGCTGGTTGTCGCGTGGTGAACCACGTCGCGCAATGCAGTTGCCCAGCTAATTACTATGGCAACGCGTTGATCACCTGCGTCAAGTCTATGATACCTTGCGACGGGTCCTGCGAGTGCGACGAGATCGGCTTCTGCACGAAGAGCTGCTACAATCAGGACCAGTGTTCCTGCGGAGAAGTCTGTCACGGTGGGAAATGTCGCGTCAAGTGCGACATCAACAATACCTGTCCAAAGGTATCGGTCACAGTTTCAAGGAGCGACTTCGTGTCATTGTTTCGTAATTTTTGTACTACTGAGTGATACAAACCTAAATACCGAGAAAAGTACATTCTATTTATGAGCAAGACTTTTGCAATATTTTATATCACCGTGGATTTCATATTCAATCGAAGCAGACAATACAAGTGCAAACACGAGTTTACTCGTGACCGGTCAACAATGCGTTAAGATGAGTTTCTATAGTACCTTGAACGTTTACTCTACGATTTCAGGGCTACGTTTGTGACGGAGGACTTTGCTTGATCGGTTGCCGCACTCATTCCGACTGTCCATCATCTTTATCTTGCATAAGCAACCAGTGCGAGGATCCATGCTCCGCGAATGGCTCTCCCTGCGGGATCAACGCTCTCTGTCGCGTATCGAACCACCGCGCGGTGTGCCTCTGCCCAGAGGGCTTCCAAGGCGAACCGAGTCAAGAGTGCTACCAACTTGAGTGCCATCGAGACGACGACTGCGAGGCGAACAAGCGTTGCAGCGAGGACGGAGTTTGCACGAATCCTTGCCTGCAACACGGTGTCTGCGGCTTCAACGCCCAGTGCAGAGTGGTGAACAGAAAGGCCCAATGCTCCTGCCCACCTGGACACTATGGCAATCCTAAGATCAACTGCAAGAAAGGTACTGGAGACTCTTTCTCGAAATAAAAGCAATTTACACTTTATTTCTACAGAAAGTCTCGTATTCGATACTTCAGGAGGAGATCAGTGCCTGAGAAGACCTTGCGGCGTGAACGCCAAGTGCAGGGAGACCCTGAACGGATTCGAGTGCACGTGCGATCCCGGATGCAACGGAGACCCGCATCAGGCTTGCATATGCGACGGTGGTGAGCTCTGCAAGGACACTCATTGCGGACTGAACGCTGCCTGCCGTATATACAACAATCAGCCACAGTGTTACTGTCCGCCGAACTTCCCGTTCGGCGATCCAATGCTTGGTTGTAAGTAACATTTATTTTGAATAGAAACCTTCAAGGGATCATACATTTTTACAAGTTTTACGCTCCCGTAAGTTTATCCTGTGTAAAAGTTAACTTTATCCTGATAAAGTTTGCCTGGACTTACGGTGTTCCCTCGGAAGAGACATCCGAGTGCAAAGGGTTAACACGTGGCAATGTTCGTAATAGTAAAGTAAAAAAGTAGAAGTTGGTAGCAAAATAAAGTTTAAGTCTAGATGTCGAACGACTCGAAGACTCTACTAGGTTCGACGTCCTAGGTTTGACGAAACGTTTCTGACGCGTGGCCAATTTCTGACCGCAGGTAGCGTGGACAGGAGTCTAGGCGACTGTCGTACGAACGGTTGCGGGAAGGGCGCCGAATGCATAAGGGATGGCACGATATTCGTCTGTCGGTGTCCACCCGGTACCAGCGGTTCGCCGGATATCGCGTGTACCACAGGTAAGAGACGGCCTACTAACCGTTTAACCGGGCGGATCGATTAATTCCATGTACAGCATTTGTGACTAGCGAGCAATACTGACGAACAGAGGAACATGGTCCGTAGAATAACCATGTATCGTCTAAGTAGGACTTGAAGTAATACATAGATGTATTAATCCAGTGAATCGTTAACAATCGAGAGACAGATGTGATTGGACCATATATCGGATTCTATACATATATATATATATACACATACGACACTGGATCTACCGACAATGGTCTACGTACACCTGTACATATCTACATAGTTAGGCATACTGTACATAATGTGAACAAACGAAGAAACACGTTTTCACACATGTCTCACACGTAACTATTCATATGTAGAATGTTTATTTCAGTATCCAATCTGTCTTGAAGAAACCAATAGAAAAATCGAGAAAAATGAATGCTAGAAATAAAAAAAAAAAAAAAAAAAAAAAAAGAAAAGATAATAATGATAAGAGAGAGACGTGTAATAATAGACGGCATTCGATTGCAACGAAAAGGTACACATTTACAGTGAACACACTGATATGATCCGTTCTTTTATACCTAGGACTAATGATACAGATTGGGAACTGCGAAAGGGACATTCTCATATACCCATGCTTGTTATTTTGCTGGATTTATTCACTGTTACATCGTATTTTTTTCCCTCTTATTTTCTTGAGATCTGTGGGGGCTTGTGTTGTAAATATCGCTGCTTGCCAATTATACATATATCATATATATATATGTACACACGTATGTATATATATATTTTCTCTCTGGACGAGAGGATCGTGTCTCGTGTTTGATCGAAAAATAGTGTAAAGATTCGTTCTCTATTATTTACTTCTTCACAGAGCTACCCTACTATTTCCGTTTTACAATTACAAAAAGCATGTGGTTTAATGTTATTTGTGAGAAAGTTTCTTTTCACAGTTCTTATAAATGCTTTTTTCTTTTTTTTTCCTGTCCCACCACCACCACCACCACCACCACCACCACCCACCATCGATCCACCAACTGTACACCACGACACCACGACTCTGAACAAACAAAAAAAAAAATAAATTATATATATACATATATATCGCGTACCTCGGGGTGAGAATAGAGCGCGAATGCACCAGTGACCTAGAGTGCCCCAATGAAAAAGCCTGCATAAACCTGCAATGCGTGGACCCGTGCGGTCTGCGCGGCGCCTGTGGGATCAACGCTCTCTGTCGTGTGGTTCTCCACAAGCCGCGGTGCTCTTGTCCGCAGTGCTATATCGGTATGCCCCGCACGGCCTGTCATTCAGATCCCAAATGCGACACGCTCAATCCCAGACCTCCACCGAGCATCGGTTGCTCATCCGACTACGACTGCCCGGAGAGTCTTGCCTGTCACTCGCGTACCGGCGAGTGCCGTGACCCGTGCTTGAGCTCGCGGTACGCCTGCGAGGTGAACAAACGATGCCAGGTGAGGAATCACAGGCCCACGTGCGTGTGCAAATACGGTTTCGTGGTGAACGAGATCGGAGAACTGACATGCGCCCCCGACACGTTGACGTGCACGAGGGACTTCGACTGTCCGTCGAACGCCGCCTGCGTGAACGGGAAATGCCAGAATCCGTGTAACGTCCGTAAGAAAAAGCCGTGCCCGGCCGATAAAACCTGCGACGTCCTGGACCACCGTCCCGTCTGCATATGCACACAAAACTGCAATCCCTCCCTCTCCATTTGCCTGCGAGACAGTGGCTGCTCTCCAGACTTGGCGTGCCGCAACTATCGCTGCGTGGACCCATGCAGAAACTCCACCTGTCCGGCTGATGCCCCCTGTTACGTGGAGGAGCACAAGCCTATCTGCAAGTTCTGTCCCCCCGGCTTTGTGCCAGATACTAAATACGGATGCATGGAAGGTAAACACCATTTCTCACCAAACCTATCTCGCTATCTTTTTTTTTTCTTTCTCTTTCTCTCTCTCTCACTCTCTGTTACTTAGCTGTCTTTCACTCTTAATCTGATTTAGCCGCCACCGATGTTACCGTTGTTATCTCTCCTACGGATCTAACTAGGATTCTTTACGCGTGCTCTACGCCTCACACCGGACAATACCGATTGCTACTCTTTTCAGGTTTCCCACCATTCAGACAGTGGATACCTTCGTCCTTTGTTGGACTGTAGAGAACGTTTTTGTGACACGGTTCGACGCGTTCGCTGCTAACTGTGCGCGGCAGTCGACGTGTTCGGGGGAACATCACCTGTACGGTGAAAATTTAACATCGAATGAAATTAGACATTAATCAAATTAATGTTCCCTTCTTCGAAGGTGGTGTTCCCTCTTGACGCTTTTGAGCATGGCGTTGACGCTCTATCCACGCGTTGAAATCACTCGAGTTGCGCGCGCATCTTCACCGCGCGTTGAAGTCACTCGTTTGGTCGGATGAAAATGGTTACTTGCTTTTGTTTCTTATTTATAACAAGCAAATATTTTTTTAGAATGTATTTTATTTTTTTTTTTTTTTTAGAATACCAACGCTCCATGCTCACAGCATTAACGCGCGAAATAATGAACTATTGGCTGCGATTGTTTGCGTTTCACTGCGTGTTCCGTTGTCTGAATGAGAGAACGTTTCAGGTTCCAAAGTCACAGATACAACTCTTCACCTCCGATACCTATACTCTCCCTCTCTACTCTGCCGACGTCCTCACTATTCAAGGATTATTTTCTCCGTTACATCTGTCTCTGTAAAGATCTAATTAATGATACTTTCGAACGATAGCTTACCTGTTATTACGCGAGCATGCTGACTGATATCTTAATTCCGTAGATTGTTAGTGGAGTAAAACAGTGTGATGGCGTAGCGTAGTCTAATTACATGATGAATGCTTGAAACGTTTCAGACTCTTTACTTATGTCTTTCGATCTTCGTACGATCACTGTGTTTATATTGTATTGTATCCGCAGCAGTTCACCACTACACGACCGACTATCTATGCGAGTCCGACGGCGACTGCAACGACACAGAAGCCTGTGTCGAAGGTTCCTGCGTTGATCCTTGCGTCAACCAGTGTCAGTCGGCAGTTCGGTGTCGGGTTAAAGCACACAGGCCAGTTTGCGTTTGCGACGATCGCGACGATCGTTGCGTAGACACAGTCACTAACCCAGAGTACTCTACAGTTGACATTCAGACAGCCACACTTCCGACGAGTACGCAATCGAGTACTCTGTCGTACACATCTTCTACTATCGAGGAGGGAACTTGGAGTGATTTCGTTACCCAAACCTCGGAAACTCCTGTTGTCGAAGAAACAACCCTTACGTCCGTGGAAAGCACATCAACCTTAGCAACCACAGCTGTCACCGAATCTTCTGAAAGTAGTACTGTCGAGCTAGACATTACAACACTTGGTGATAGATCCTCCAGTACGATTTCTTTCGAGGTATCTACCGTTAAGGATATTCCAGCTGAAAGCACGGGTGCTGTTTCGACAGTTGGAGGTCTTGAATTTACCACTTCTGAGTTGTTTGAAACAACTACCACTCCTTATGTTGTCACTACGCAACATGTTACCGATTCGACGATATATGAATCTAGTAGCACCATCCAAATTCCTGTAACAAACAAATCGGAAAATGTTGAAATAGTCACCCCAATTACGCGTGCGACTTCCACAAATAAAGAAGGTGTTGTTATAGTAACACCTGTGTCGACAGGCGATTATAGTACGGAAATACCAACGGTGCTTACAGAATCTCCAGACACGACTAGTAGAAATCTTTCTACTGAAAGTTCTGTACTCGAAGAAAGTTCTACTATGGCGCAGGTTACAATGGATAGTTTGAATACGTTGACGTCCGAGAGAGTTGAAGTAGTCACCGTGACTGCACAGTATCCCTTGAAACCAGAAACGACTGTAGAATCAACCACTGAAACATCCACAACTAAACAATACACGTTAGAGCAGCCTTCGACAACTGAACGGTACTCTAGTAATCAATTTTCAACCATGGAACACCATAACACGGAACAATTTTCAACAACTGAACTATACTCCACTGAGCAGTCAGTATCGACTGAAGAACAGTATACATTAACGTCTATCACAACAGAACAACATACCGTTGAACAACAATCAACGACCGAACAGTACACCACTGGACAATCGTCGACAACCGAGCAATATTCCACTCACGAATCTCCAACAACGGAACAACATGCCACGGAACAATTTTCAACAACTGAAAAGCACTACACCACTGATCAACATTCAACGACTGAGCAATACATCACTGAACAACCTCCAACCTCAGAACAGTACTCCACTGAACAGTCAACAACTGAAGAACACTACACGGTACAGTCTCCAACAACAGAACAACCTTCAACAACTGCACAGCACTTCACGGAACAATTTTCAACAACTGAAAAATCCTACACCATTGAACAACATTCAACAACTCAGCAATATTTCACTGAACAACATTCAACAACTGAGCAATATTTCACTGAACAACCTTCAACCTCAGAACAGTACTCCACTGAACAGTCAACAACTGAAGAACACTACACGGTACAGTCTCCAACAACAGAACAACCTTCAACAACTGCACAGTACTTCACGGAACAATTTTCAACAACTGAAAAATCCTATACCATTGAACAACATTCAACAACTGAGCAATATTTCACTGAACAACCTCCAACCTCAGAACAGTACTCCACTGAACAGTCAACAACTGAAGAACACTACACGGTACAGTCTCCAACAACAGAACAACCTTCAACAACTGCACAGTACACCGCGAAGCAAACTTCAACAACTGAGCAATACTTTACAACAGTAACTCCAGTGACAGAACAGCATACCACGGAACGTTCTTCAACAACCGAACGATACACCACTGAACAACCTCTAACAACTGCACAAGATACCACTGTACACTCTCTAACACCTGAAGACTACATCACTGAACATTCTTCAACAACAGAACAATATACCACGACACAATCTTCAGCGACAGAACAATACACCACGGCGCAATCTTCAACAACAGAACAACACACTACGACGCAATTTTCAACAACTGTAACGTCTCCTCCCGACTTACAACCCACTTTCGAGACACCAACGAATACCACAATTGGTACAGAGAGCCCACCATGTTCAGATAAGTCTAAATGTGACGTAGGGAATCATCGGCCCGTGTGCTTGAACCTAACAGTCGACCAGAGTACACCTAATTGTAGCATACTCCCAGGTAAAGATCTCACTTGTCGGGAGTTTTGTAAATGTTCTCGTGTTTACCCAATGTGTTTCCACAAAAAGAAAAAAGATTTTTTCTCCAGTGTGACTTGATCGTATCCAGATGAAAATTGGAGGCAACCAATTCTGGAGAGTTGTTGCTCGATCGACAGACCGTTCTACCCATATGGTCGCGATCAGAATATCACTCCGTGTACGATACCGGGTGACCATCACACACGTGTAGAACATTCGACGTAGTACAGTGCACTGTTGCAACCCAGTGCAGACATGGACCTGCTGCATTAGCGCTCTTTGCATGCTGTACATTATTGTGCCTCTGCGCGATCTCCTCTCGCTTGTCTATATTTAACAATTAATTGTAATTTTTCTGTGACGTCCGCTCGAAAAGGAGATCCTCACGTTCCGCGATCTTAAATTATCCGTTTATTTATTTATCTATCAGAACGATCGATCTTCGCGCATCGAACTGGATGTTTCCTTTAAGAGCAGACAAACTAACGACTATTTCTGGGCTTTACACATGTAACACGAAAACCATTATATGTTATAGAAATTAGGGGATTGTGTATATCATTTTCTGTGTTAATTATAATATACTTTATCTTGTTTAAAGAGTTTTGTTTAGAGATATATATACATATACATATATATATATATATGTTAACATATACTCTTGTGATATTCGTTTAGAAAAATTATTAGATGAATCACAATTGGATAAATTACAGTGAAATATAATTAGATTTCTAGAATTACGAATCGAAGGATCACTACTTTGAGCTTCTAATATTTCATCGTTTCGTCAGATACCAAATGCACCACTCACGACGACTGTCTTTCCCAATTGGCCTGTATAAACCAGCAGTGCTTGAACCCGTGCACCATCGAGAATCCATGCGACTTCGTCGAAGTCTGCCACGTTCAGGATCACAGACCAGTTTGCGTGAAAGGTAGAATATCAATCACGACCAATATCACTGACGATCGATTCATAAAATTAACGAAACACTCTACAAATTTTCCCAGACGTATCCAACGACACTTGCCCCTACTGTCCAGCTGGAATGCAATGCGATTCAACGACGAACACATGCGTGAAAGGTTTGTACAAGATCGAGCACCACGATCTACCACGCGATCATCTGAATCTCTACCGTATCACGATCGATTCTATCTGTAAATATGTATCTAATGTACATATACAACGACGTGCAATTCTTGTTTTCAATTCGTCGCACCACGTTCGAAATTCTCTCGCGATTTTTTCTTCGATTTCCGTATTCCGACCTATGGCTGTCCATATTCGCCTTCGATTTCCAAATTCTCAAGTACGCGTTCGACCAACTATTCAATCGCGTCGTTTTACGAGCGTCGCGCACGGACACAGTGTTTCATACATGCTGATCTGCCCGAGAGGCGTCTACACACGCACGTCCACGCGACACGCGACTCTTTCTCATTTTTTATCGGTGCACACTGTCTATGGGCTACACGGGCTCTCTCCATCTTTCTCTAGCGGGTTGCACTAGCGACAAAGATTGTCCGCTGACCACTGCGTGCATCGCGGGAACATGCCAGGAACCGTGCCTGGTGCGGAATCCGTGCGTCAGGAACGCGGTCTGCATGAACACCAATCATCGAGCGGAGTGTAGCTGCGACGACGGCTACCACGGGAACGGCTTTCTCTACTGCGCTCTGGGTAATTATCCTCTCTCGCGATACCTAAACCCTTTCAGACCTGGGGATCTCCAAAATCGAGAACACAAAATTTAAAAAATACCGACATCACAGTTTAGTGATGTCGATGGTTCATCGTGAACGCTCTTATTTCTGCACGCGAAGAAAGACCAATTTTATTCGAAAACTACGCTATTAGCTCTAAAAATTGGATTCATTAGTACGAGAAAAAAGAACCCTTCAGGTCTGAAAGGGTTAATTTTTGATTTACTTGGACCATATCCAACGATTTTCTTCAGAGGACGAAGGCAAGAACATTTGCCACTACAACGAGGATTGTCCACCGAGCAAATACTGCGATCGTCTCAACAGACGATGCATCGACCCTTGTCTGGAGACCGACTGCGGCGACAACGCGAGCTGTCTGCCCGCGAACCACCAAGCCCAGTGCAAGTGTCTGCCAGGGTACGAAGGCAATCCTCTCATCGGATGTACCAAATTGTCCTCCGACCCTTGCGTTCCAAATCCCTGCGGCTTGGACGCAATGTGCGAGAACGACAATGGCAATCCGATCTGCTTCTGTCCCAAAGGTCTGACAGGGAACCCGTTCGAGCAGTGCAGTGAGTATCTGGAGTACAATTGAATCGTTCGCTGCACAAATCGATTAACTTCACGATTAACCTCAGTTCCAGACGGCGACATGTGCCAAGGCAACCCCTGCGGAGCCAACTCTGGTTGCCGCGTGGTATCAGGGAACGTGAGATGTTTCTGTCTGCCAGGATACGAGGGAAGCCCTCCTCAAACTCCGTGCACGCTTCCAAACAACCCTTGCGAGCCGTCTCCCTGCGGACCCAACACCCAATGCACGGTCTTGGCCAATGGCCTGTCGAAATGTACTTGCTTGCCTGGATACATCGAGACACCCAACACGATCAGAGGATGCGCGCCCAAGACGGACCAATGCGATCCCAACCCTTGCGGACTCGGTGCTAAATGTGACGCGAACAGAGTGCCAGCTTGCTACTGTCCTGAGCAGACGCTTGGAAATCCTTATCAGAGCTGTGCAGGTATGTGTTTAACCGATACCAAAATATGGTGTATACATTTAAATTTGGAGAAAAATATATAAGCTGGCGTACGTGGAAAGAGTAGAAATGGCTCAGAGTGCAAAGGATTCGAGACGATAAGATTATAATTTAGATCGTCATAAAAGTTGATTCCTGGCTGTTCGGTTCCAGCACCACCAACCAACGTGCACGATCCTTGCTTACTGATCCCCTGCGGAAAGAACGCCATCTGCATCGTCGAAAACGGGGTTGCAAAGTGCAAGTGCGTTCCACCGTACATTGGCAATCCGTACATAGACGGCTGCGAAGCTGAGTGCTTCGTGAATCAGGACTGCGACAGTCGACTGGCGTGCTTCAATCAGCACTGCAGGGACCCTTGCCCTGGCGTTTGCGGTACCAATGCAAAATGCGAGGTGGACGATCACGTTCCCGTCTGTTCTTGTTTGACTGGATACACCGGGGATCCATTCATCTCCTGTAAAGTTGAAAAGTCTCGTAAGTCTTCTCGATAATCTATCAGTTCACGCTTTGGGTACACGTGAACATTGTTGCGTGACATTGGAATTGGTTCTTCTAGCTCTTCCTGGACAGAATCCTTGCATGCCATCGCCATGCGGACCTCACAGCATCTGCCGCGTGATGAACGACCGTGCAGTCTGTTCGTGTAGTCCCGGGTACCACGGTACACCACCTTCCTGTCGTCCAGAGTGTCTGGTCAGCTCGGAGTGCCCTGTCCATCTGGCCTGCATCGGCCAAAAGTGCGGCGATCCTTGTTCCGGCGTGTGCGGTCAGAACGCTCTGTGTCAGGTGATCAGTCACAACCCCGTGTGCAGTTGTCCTCCCGAGTACACAGGCGATCCACTCACGCACTGCTTCAAGGAAGGTAGATATCAATTTTTCTTGCTTGTTTTTTTTTTATGCACGTAACTGTCACTTCAGTTATCGCACTGAATCCATACGTCACATATTTTTTAACTAAATTTAAAATAAAACACTTAATTCGGAGTGCAAACGAGTAAATTTATCGAGGAAGATTCGTTAAATCGATTTCTTCTGTTAGTCCTACCGCCGCCAGGACCCAAGAATCCTTGCGTGCCCGCGCCCTGTGGACCGAACGCTGATTGTCGCGTGCAGGAGGATCACCCTGTTTGCACGTGCATCAGTGGAATGTTCGGTGCGCCACCGAATTGCAGACCGGAGTGCTTGATTCACCAAGATTGCCCCAACTATCTCGCTTGCGTCCAGAAGAAGTGCGTGGATCCTTGCGCCGGGTCCTGTGGATTCAACACCAACTGTACCGTACAGAACCATCGGCCCATGTGCCAATGTTACCAGGACTACGAAGGGGATCCTTTCTCTGGATGTAACAAAGGTAGAATCGTTAGTCCGAGTATAACATTCATTCCCCCGTCCCGAAATCCGAGTATAACATTCACTCTTCGCTCGATAGTTACCTTCCCAGTGCCATTGCCTTGCGATCCATCCCCATGCGGTGCGAACGCGGTCTGCAAGGAACGCAACGGAGCTGGCTCCTGCAGCTGTTTACCCGATTATACCGGGGATCCTTACGCGGGATGCAGACCTGAATGCGTTCAGAACTCGGACTGTGTTCACACGAAGGCTTGCATAAACAACAAGTGCAAAGACCCGTGCGTGGGCGCGTGCGGCATAAACGCTCAGTGCCAAGTGATCAACCATCAACCTTCGTGCAGTTGTCTGTCTGGTTACACCGGGGATCCCCTACAGTCCTGTCACGTGCCACCTGGTAGGTCTTCGCAGTTAAAAATTTATTCGGAAACATCGAACCTGTCGTTTCATTTAGACAAACTACTTTGGTAAACGCATAGGGTACGAATATTTCTAGGACTGACTGTAAGCCTCTTTCTTTCAGTCACACCGGTACCAGGCGACCCATGTCAACCTTCTCCCTGCGGTCCGTACAGCAACTGTCGCGTGATCGACAACCATGCAGTCTGCTCCTGTCAGCCAGACTACGTTGGCAGTCCACCACAGTGTCGTCCAGAATGCGTGGTCAGCACTGACTGCGCCCAGAACACGGCTTGCATCACTCAGAAGTGTAGAGATCCGTGCGTGGGCACTTGCGGCCAGAACGCCGACTGCCAGGTCATCAACCACAATCCAGTCTGCAGTTGCAAGTCTGGATACACCGGTGATCCCTTCTTCGGATGCGTAAAAGAACGTAAGAGTCAAATTTGAACCGTAATAGTGTAACGCATTGTGTTGACACCTCCTGTCCTCGCAACTAGAGAGATTCTGGCCCACCCCGTATAAACCATTCTCGAATTCCTCGACCGACCTCCAAATATCTCGGCGTCTGAGACATGGGATCGTACTCAGGACGAAACGCTCCCTTCCTTTTCTCCTCTCTCGCTCTCCCTTCACAGAACCGCCACCACAGGATACATCGTAACCGAAATCTCGAAATATTTCTCAAAGCGGAAAGTAAACAGCCTGGAGGCGACTCGAGTGGCAACCCGTGCATCCCATCGCCGTGCGGACCAAACTCCCAGTGTCGCGTGATAGACGGCTTCCCTGCATGTTCCTGTCTACCCAATTACGTGGGCAGGGCACCGAATTGTCGTCCAGAGTGCGTCATCAACGAGGGTTGCCCTGGCAATCTCGCCTGTCAGAACGAACAGTGCGTGGATCCTTGTCCAGGTTCCTGTGGCGTCAACACCTTCTGCAACGTTGTCAAGCACAATCCCGTTTGCATATGCAACCCTGGCTACACCGGCGATCCATTCACCGAGTGCTCGCCTATAATGGAAGGTACGTCCACGCCATTCTTTACCAGACTTACAGTATCTCTCCCATTTTACCCTTCGATCTACCGTGTAAATATTTCTTTGCTTAAAATTGTCTGGCATTTCACGGATATGCATGAAAATTGTCTCTGGCACTCAAACGGTTAATACGCTTCTCACGCGTCCCTCTTCTTCAGAACCAACCACAACGGAACAACCTCGGACACCGTGCAACCCATCACCCTGCGGTGCGAACGCGATCTGCAACGAACGAAACGGCGCTGGATCTTGCACGTGCTTGCCGGAATACATCGGTGACCCGTACACAGGTTGCAGGCCCGAATGCGTCACGAACGCTGACTGCGAACGCGACAGAGCCTGCCTGAACAACAAATGCGTGAATCCTTGTCCTGGTACCTGCGGTCAGGGAGCCACCTGTCGAGTTGTCAATCACACTCCATCCTGCTCGTGCCTGCCTGGTTACACGGGAGATCCGTTCAACGTTTGCACAGGAAGAGAAGCAGGACCCGAACCCTTACCTGAGAATCCTTGCGAGCCCTCGCCGTGCGGACCCAACAGCAACTGTCGTGTCCACAACGAGCACGCGGTGTGCTTGTGTCAACCAGGATTCGTTGGAATACCACCCACTTGTCGTCCAGAATGTATCGTCAGCTCGGAGTGTCCTCAGAACAAAGCTTGCATCGAGAACAAGTGCGCGGATCCTTGTCCGGGCTCCTGCGGCGTGAACACCAAGTGTCTGACCGTGAACCATAATCCCATTTGCACATGTGCCGCGGGTTACACGGGCAATCCACTCGTTCACTGTACGAGGTTCAACGTCACCCAACCACCATCGGGCACCGATAATCCTTGCTCTCCCAACCCTTGCGGACCGAATTCTCAGTGCAGGGTGATCGGTTCTCAGCCTGCCTGCTCCTGTCTGTTGAACTTTATCGGACGTCCTCCAAACTGCAGGCCTGAATGCACCGATGATTCCGACTGCTTCCACTCGGCGGCATGCGTGGAACAGAGGTGCAAGAATCCTTGTCCAGGTGCTTGCGGCGAGTTGGCGAGGTGCACCGTTCAAAATCACGTACCGATTTGCACTTGTCCCGAGGGCTACGAAGGAGATGCTTCCGTGCGCTGCGTATTGGCGCCTCCTCCGAGTAAGTCTTCGTTTCAGCCGTTCGTTGCACAAATTGAGCTCCGCGGAAAACAAAAAGTTAAATTTAAGATTTTTCAAAACGTGCGGTTAATTGATCTTGTGCAACGTAAATTTGAATTTTTTCGAGGCTAATCCGTTAAATTCTCGATCGTTCAGCGACCGACCAAAGCGTGGCTAACCCATGTTCACCGAATCCTTGCGGACCAAACGCGCAGTGCCGCGAGAGGAACGGTGCTGGAGCGTGTGCCTGTCCACCAGACCTCATCGGAGACCCGTACGATAACGAGAGAGGATGTCACAGAGAATGCGAGTCGATCAACGACTGTGCTCCACAACTGGCTTGCGTTGGGTTCAAGTGTTCCGATCCTTGCCCGAGCACCTGCGGTGTGCTGTCCGTTTGCAATGTCCAGCAACACGTCCCAGTGTGTGTCTGTCCTCCCGGATATACCGGTGACCCGTACTTTGCTTGCGAGATTCAAGAAATGACCAGTAAGTTTCGCTCTGAATTCTTTTTATCCGTTTCAGACCTGACGTCCACAGTTGAGAACTGTATGTTTACTGACTGTATGTTTAATTTTATAAATGTATCTTCAGGTGTGTCCCCGTTGGACCCGTGTTCGCCATCGCCTTGCGGCCCCAACAGCAAGTGTCGCGAAGTGAATGGCCAGGCAGTGTGCACGTGTCTCCCAGAGTACAGAGGAATCTCGCCAAACTGCAGACCAGAATGCGTGGTAAACGCAGAGTGTCCTGCTCACCTCACCTGCCTGAACAAGAAGTGCGTGGATCCATGCCCGAACACCTGCGGATTGAGAGCGCAGTGCACCACCAAAAACCACAATCCAATTTGCACGTGCTCTGTAGGCTTCACCGGTGATCCTTTCACTCTGTGTTCACCCATTTGTAGGTTTACTCCTCTAATCGTCTCACGCTGATCTACGCTGGTTACGCGCGAGTAGTTGACCTCACTTTTCGATTGCAGCTTACAATGACACCTTCGCCACGGAACGGCCACCATCTTGTACTCCGTCGCCTTGCGGTCCAAACTCTCTCTGCCAGATCATATCGGGAAACCCAGCGTGTTCTTGTCTACCAACTTACATTGGCGTTCCTCCGGAGTGCAGGCCAGAGTGCATCTTGAGCTCCGAGTGCAAGAGTCATCTAGGGTGCGTGAATCAGAGATGTCAGGATCCCTGTCCAGGCTCGTGCGGCGTCAACGCTCAGTGCCATGTCCTGAATCACATACCGGTTTGCACGTGCATGGAGGGCTTCACTGGAGATCCTTTCACGCAGTGTATACTAGTTCCTCCGAGTAAGAAATTAAGTCTGAATAGGATTTCGTGAATTTGCCAGGTTTAAGAAATTAGATGCTACGACAAATGTTAAATTACCTAATCTTCGTTGATCCACGATTCTCGATTTATTTTCACACGCCTCTACATTCATTTCCAGCCACGTTGCCACCAGTAAGCGACCCGTGCAGCCCATCACCATGCGGACCAAACGCTTTATGCAATAACGGCGAATGCGAGTGTCTCCCGGAATACATTGGCAATCCGTACGAAGCCTGTCGTCCAGAATGCGTTGTGAACCTGGAGTGTCCCCGCGACAAGACCTGTCTCAGAAACAAATGCAAGGATCCTTGTCCTGGGACGTGTGGTCAAAACGCAGTCTGCGACGTCGTGAATCACATACCCAGCTGTTCCTGTCCACCTGGATACGTTGGGGATCCGTTCGTTAGCTGTCGCACTCAGCCTCTAAGTAAGGATCACTACCATGGAACAGTAGAACGTTTCTACTACTACGTTCTGATCTCCTGCACGAATTATGTTGCAGTTCCACATCCATCTAAAGATCCGTGCTCGCCTGTGTCACCCTGCGGACCGAACAGCCAGTGTCGCAACATAGAAGACCACGCCGTGTGCTCTTGTCTTCAAGGATACCTCGGTTCTCCACCGTCGTGTAGACCAGAGTGCGTCGTGAGCTCGGAGTGTCCACCAACGCGCGCCTGCGTGAACAAGAAGTGTACAGATCCTTGCCTCGGCTCCTGCGGCTTGAACGCGAGGTGCGAAGTGATCAATCATTCGCCGATCTGTAGCTGTCTACCTGGCCAGACCGGGGATCCGTTCAAGAGCTGCTACGACTTTCCAGGTAGGAACGCTTCCTTCGTTAACCCTTTCAGACCTGACGTCCACAATCGAGGACGCAACATTTTAATATTGAGTATCTTAGCTACATAATTCAACAGGATGCGTAACGATTATTTTTTATAGATGTGCCGGACGGCAAGGACTCGGGAGATCCTTGCAAACCGTCAACCTGCGGACCAAACGCCCAGTGCCAGAACGCAAACGGTTATCCATCCTGTTCTTGCCTACCTGGATACATAGGCGTTCCGCCGTCCTGTCGCCCAGAGTGCCTGATCAATCCTGACTGCCCATCCGACAAAGCCTGCATCAACTCGAAGTGCACGGATCCATGTCCGGGATCCTGCGCGGAGAACGGCAATTGCATGGTCGTTAATCACGCTGTCGTGTGCTCCTGCACGCCTGGTTACACTGGAAATCCGTTCGTTCAGTGCATCGAACTAGAAGGTATGTTCGTTTACAGTCAGTCTCATAAGTATTCGTATCTTCTATATGTATCGAAGAAATTTGTCCAAATCAAATTATAGGTTCGATGTTTCCAAACAAATTTCTCACTACAAACATATACAAGTGTAAAGTTTATGTATGAACATATTTCTAACGAAACATAATTTGGATAAATTTGTTCGATGCTCTTTTTCTGCGCTAAAGCTTCGGAATCTCTAACTCTTCGTGCTTTACGTTACAGAGGAATCCATAAATCCGTGCGAGCCCTCGCCTTGCGGGCCAAACGCCGTCTGCCAACAACGCGACAACGTGGGCGCGTGCATCTGCATCGACGACTACCACGGCAACCCTTACGAGGGATGCCAGCCAGAGTGCATCCTCAGCTCCGATTGTCCAACGAATAAGGCTTGCGTTCGCAACAAGTGCGAGGACCCCTGCCCTGGAATATGCGGCATTCAGGCTCAGTGCTCCGTCATCAATCACATTCCAACCTGCACCTGTCAACCTGGCTACGTGGGAGACCCCTTCACGATCTGCACGCAGCCTCTGATCACGTCCACGGAGACTACTAGAACGGACCCGTGCAGCCCATCGCCCTGCGGACCGAACAGTTTGTGCCGAGCCGTGAACGATCAGGCCGTCTGCACGTGCCAAGAGTCCTACATCGGTTCACCGCCAAACTGCAGGCCAGAGTGCGTGGTGAACTCCGAATGTCCTCAGAACAGAGCGTGTTACAAGTACAAGTGCTCCGATCCCTGCCCAGGAACGTGCGGAGTAGGGGCCAATTGTCGCGTGATCAACCACAATCCACTTTGCAGCTGCGCGCCAGGAACCACTGGAGATCCGTTCTCCAGATGTTATCCTCAAATGGGTGAGTAACTGGAGTACCTAGTAAAATGATTGACTTTAGAGAAAGTATCGGACCTAACGATCTTTCGTTTATTTTCTTTTAGTCACGCCATTGCCACCGATCGGCGATCCTTGCAGACCAAGTCCATGCGGTCTGTACGCAGAGTGCAGAGCGATTGGCGATCAAGCCGCTTGCTCCTGTTTGAAGAACTACATAGGTCTGCCACCCAACTGTCGACCCGAGTGCGTCGTCAATACCGACTGTCCATCGAACCAGGCGTGCATCTCTGAAAAATGTCGAGATCCTTGCATCGGATCGTGCGGTCAGAACGCTGATTGCCGTGTGCAGAACCATATTCCTGTTTGCCTCTGTCAAACAGGGTACACCGGTGATCCTTTCTCCCTGTGCACGGAGATACAAGGTACCTGTCTCGGTCTACCATCTATTCGAACTCTCTTCTTTATTTTTTCAAGCGCGATAGAATTCGTATTATACTCTTCATCTTACAGAACAACCCAAAGTACCCGAAGACCTGTGCAATCCGTCTCCATGCGGACCCAACGCGGAGTGCGACGAGGGCAACTGCAAGTGTCTTCCGAACTACTTCGGCGATCCTTTCTCGTACTGTCGTCCAGAGTGCACCATGAACTCGGACTGCTCTAGAGTGAAGACATGCGTGAATCATTACTGCATGGATCCGTGCGTTGGCACCTGCGGTACCAGCGCGCAGTGCGACGTGGTCAATCACATCCCGATGTGCAGCTGCCCTCCTGGCACCACGGGGGATCCGTTTGTTCTTTGTCGACCGCACGTTATCAATGGTAGGTTTGCTTCTGTGACAGTACCGTACGGTACTGTATGTAGACGGTACCGTATGGTACGGTTTATTGCACGAAAATATTGTAGGGTACGCTTACTCAACCCTTTCAGACCTGGCGTCCACAATTGAAGACAGAAAATTTAATAATTACCGGCGCTATAAGAAAGACTAGTTTTTCTTGAAAACTACGCTATTAGTCTTTTTTTTTTTAACTTAGTCCATACTAATTTTAGTCCAAGTAAACCCTAAAAATTAAATTGCATCTATATACGAGGAATGTTTAACTCTTCTAGAGCCCAGGCAACAACCATGCACACCATCTCCCTGCGGCGCGAACAGTGTCTGCAAAGTGGTGAACGATCACGCAGTCTGCTCGTGCCAACCTGGCCTGATAGGCAGTCCACCCGCCTGCAGGCCAGAGTGCGTGGTCACCGCCGATTGTCCTCTGACTCAAGCTTGTCTCGGAAACAAGTGTCAGGACCCGTGTCCAGGCACTTGCGGTCAGAACTCCAAGTGCCAAGTGGTCAACCACAACCCTATATGCATCTGTTACGAGGGACACACTGGCGATCCGTTCACCAGGTGTTACCCTAGGCCAAGTAAGTAATCCAAACGTGCACATAAGCACTGTATAAAAAGGTTGAAAACGGTCATTCGACGTGGTAGATTTAGTGTTTAACCATCATCCCAATTTTGTTGGTGGTTTTTAACGTTCATCTTAACTTTGTCGCACAGAAGAGCCACCGAGGCCAACGAACCCCTGCCAACCATCCCCCTGTGGACCAAACGCGGAGTGCCAAGTGAGAGGCGATAGTCCAGCTTGTTCGTGTGTGCAAAATTACATCGGTGTACCGCCTAACTGTAGACCCGAGTGCACGATAAATCCCGAGTGTCCGCCGCATTTAGCGTGCATGCAGCAAAAGTGTCGCGATCCGTGTGTCGGTTTGTGCGGTTCGAACGCTGAGTGTTCGGTAGTGAATCACCACGCGGTGTGCGCTTGCGCGGAAGGTTACACCGGAAATCCGTTCAGCGTATGCGAGCCGGTCGCCAAGGGTGAGTACACCTCAGAAAACATTGCTGTCGTATTACTCTTTTCTCGTTGCGATAATCGCCGTTTGCATGCAGGCGACGCAGGTAAGTGCTTGTACCTTTCGTAACGCGATCATCGAGCCCAACCCCGTAACCAAATCGCGTCGCATCCTCGTCGACGACGAGCAACGAGATAACATTGTACGAGGTCCGAACGAAAATTCGACGACGAAGCGTCGTCGTGGTGGCGGGGCCTCAGGAATTACAAACTGCACTCATGTACGAATGATAACCGACCATAACGTATCATACACCCAAACCCTCAACGATTAACGGGTTCATACAGAGGAGCACGCCTTCATTACCCCATGCGTACTACCCATATATCGTAACCATGAATGAAATAACCGTATTACGAAATGGTGGCGGGGCCTATGGAGTACATAGGCTCGTAATTGCACTCACCCCTTGACAGATATGCGATAACCAAGCCTATACGTATGTACACATCCTCGTAACGAGGAATATTGCACGCATTGATCACTCCCAACCAAGCATATCGCTTCGAGACACCCGTCACCGTGTAGAGAAGCACCCTAGATCTACGTCCTCACTGTGTTACCCCTGCGTCCCTGCGAACGAAACATAAAAAACCTAGACACGGAAGCATTAACCCCTGAAACATCAGTAAACATTAGAAATATGGTGTCAGCTTGTCGTATCCCCGATTTTTAGATTTAGACACGCTTACAAACGACCTGTCCCGACCCCGAAGCCACGCTTACGCATCGAAAGGTGCCCCTGCGACCATCCCCTAATAGAACTTGATCCCCTCTAACGAGACACAGACCCAAGTAACCCCAAGAAACACGCACCTCACGACCCGAAACACCCTAACCAACCGAACCCAAAGCGAGACCATGACCACACTCGATCGTATCGTCCCGCTGAAGGAACCCGAGTCGCCCAAGATCAGCTTCCGCTTAAATCATACGTCGCCGCATTCGCACGAAGCTGATTCCGTCGACACTCTATACGAGAATTCACAACGCTGCACGAGCTTTCGATTGACCATCCGCTTCATGATCGATTAAAATTAAGTGAAAGTGTTTCTCTTTCCATCAGATGTACCCCTAGACCTTAGGAAACCATGCGAGCCTTCCCCGTGCGGCGCCAATGCAATCTGTCGCGAAAACAACGGCGTCGGTTCCTGTTCCTGTCCTCCAGACTACATAGGCGACCCGTACCAAGGATGCCGACCCGAATGCACCCAAAATTCCGATTGCGCCAAGACGATGGCCTGCACGGGCCTCAAGTGCAGGGACCCGTGCCCAGGAACCTGCGGATTGCAAGCCCGATGCGAAACGATCAATCACGTTCCAGTTTGCACGTGTAACCGTGGCTACTCGGGCAACCCCTTTACCTATTGTTCCCCGATCGTGCTCGAGCGTAAGCCTCTATTTCGTATCAAGTACTGCCTGGCAGGATTAGGGAGGGGCACTCGAGGCTATCCGATAAACTCATCCCGAATGTGTTTGGCTTCGACCCTCGTGAGTGACCTCTGAATGACCTCAAAATCCACCAACCCTTTTTCGATCAGATAAATTACGTTTGCTTGTCTTTTGAAAGGATGAATTGACCTCGAATGCCATCCAATTTTTCACAACAAATATCCTTTAGGAGTTCGGATAGCCTAGCTCAAATGCCTCGACCATATTAAATCCACAGTACGAATAGCGAGCATCTACACGATCACCTAAAAAGGACTCGGAACAAAATCATTTATAATACGATATTCTCCCCATACAGCTACCCTATCAGAGTCAGACCCGTGTAGTCCCTCTCCTTGTGGACCCAACAGTAAGTGTCGAAACGTAAACGACCACGCAGTCTGCTCCTGTCTCGCAAATTTCGTCGGAACCCCACCGTACTGTCGACCCGAGTGCGTGATGAACAACGAGTGCCCGTTGGACCTCGCGTGCATCAATCAAAGATGCACGTCTCCCTGCACGAACTCCTGCGGTATCAACACGCAGTGTAGAGCGATCAACCACAGCCCAATTTGCACCTGCAACCTCGGATACACCGGGGACCCGTTTACGAAATGCTTCCCCGCACCACGTAAGAATACTTCTCTAGATTCGTTCATCCTGCATCCAATCGAGCCATGGTTTGTCGTTCTCGTAACAGTCCTGCGTTGGATCTCCTTTGTTCTGCCTTTATTGTCTTGTCGTGCTTTACTTGATTCTACTTTTCTTTTCTATGTTATTTTGATCCAACCAGACCATATATACTTTTAATGTTTTCAATGATCGTTCTCTTCTGCCATTTATTCTTCAACATCACTTAGCCGTAACCCTTCTGATCGAATCGGTAAACATTAGAAATACAACCCACTTTGAGCCCTAATAGATCGACTACTGGAAAAATATCCAATCTATATTTCTACTCATTTTATTACTTTCCACGTGGACTGTCACTGTTACAACTGACGTTGAAAACAAAAATTACAGAACCAACCCCGAACGACTGCTCCCTAGCCCCGATCGACCCCTGCGTACCGTCGCCCTGTGGCATGTACGCGGAGTGCCGGAATATCGGTGGCACGCCTTCGTGTTCCTGCTTGCCCGCGTACCTTGGATCCCCGCCGAATTGCCGACCAGAATGTCGCGTCAACTCCGACTGTCCCATGAGTCTCGCGTGCAGCAACGAGAAGTGCAGGGACCCTTGCTTGGGATCCTGCGGTGTCACGTCCTTGTGCTCCGTTTACAACCACGTTCCCGTGTGCACGTGCCCCGAGGGATACACGGGGGATCCCTTCGGCAACTGCTACCCAGCCCCGATGAAGCCAAGTAAGAATTAATCCTTTGCACTCGGGAGGTGACTCCCGGTCACCACTAGGTTCGACTCTGCGAATCAACCAGCAATAACGTTCGCTTAGGTTTAATCTCTTCGAAATGTCGAAGTGTCAATGAAATGATTGTCGTTGAGACAAAGGCGACTTGATTCTCAAATCTCAAATTAGAGATCTCATTATCGAATCTAAGCTCAGCATTCGTGGCGATAGAATGATAAGAAAGCATCCCGAGTTGCTGGTAGGTACCAGAAAGAAGTGCCTCGAGTGCAAAGGGTTGACCTTGAAGAGGATTCGATCGATGGTGATCGAACGAGCAGGAAACTAGAGATCGTTCGTTTGTTTCGCAGCCGAACCAGCTGTCGTTGATCCTTGCGCGTCATCGCCGTGTGGCTCGAACGCCCGCTGCGATAACGGTTTGTGCACGTGCCTGCCGGAGTATCAGGGCGATCCTTACGTGGGCTGTCGTCCCGAGTGCGTGTTGAACACCGATTGTCCGCTGAATCGTGCCTGCGTCAGGAACAAGTGCGTGGATCCTTGTCCAGGCACGTGCGGCCAGAACGCGTTGTGTTCGGTGTACAACCACGTGCCTATGTGCAGCTGCCCTAACGGAATGGAGGGGAACGCTTTCGTTCTGTGCTCCGTTCTTCGAGGTACCTTTTCTCTTCGTTTTCACCCCTTTTCACCCCTTTCACCCCTTATCGCGTCGATCTTAGATTTATTTTTCGAGAAGCAAGGATTCTTTTTCCTGAATCCCTCTACTTCTCGCATCGTGCGATAGGGGGTTATTTTTGCCATCTTGTCCAATTATTATACTATGCAACAATCCATTCACCCTCCAACTATCTCAGATCCTGTGTCGAGGAATCCTTGCTCGCCCTCGCCCTGCGGACCGAACAGCGTGTGTCGAGAGGTCAACGAGCAGCCCGTCTGCTCCTGCGTGGCAGGATTCCTAGGTGTACCACCTGCCTGCAGACCGGAGTGCACGGTCAGTTCCGACTGTCCCCTAACGGAAGCCTGTAGCAATCAGAAGTGCATAAACCCCTGTCCTGGAACCTGTGGCTTCAGAGCTGTCTGCAACGTCGTAAATCACAATCCAGTGTGCAGCTGCTCGCCAGGACACATCGGCGATCCTTTCGTTCAATGCGTGCCTGAACGTAAGACCCGTTGCTCGGAGATTTCACTCCGCGATCGGAGTTAATATGGATCCCATTGATAACGTATCCTGTTCTTTTAGCGATTGGCCGGCCTGTAGGGAACCCATGCGAACCTTCCCCATGCGGACCCAATGCTCAGTGTAGAGTTTCCAACGACGCACCCTCGTGCTCGTGTTTGCCGGAATTTCTAGGCGCCCCTCCAAATTGCAAGCCGGAATGTATCAGCAACAGCGAGTGTCCAGGTCACTTGGCCTGCCTGAACCAGAAATGCGGAGATCCTTGTCCGGGCTCCTGTGGAGCCAACTCTGACTGTCGCGTTGTTAGCCACACACCCATGTGCGTCTGTCCTGGGGACTTCACTGGCGATCCTTTCACTCAGTGTGTCCCTAAACCACGTAAGAATCAAACAGGGCTGGACTCTCCAGACAAAGCAATAATAATAAAAAAGAATGAAATATTTTCAATATCAATTCTTCGTTTGTAATGTCGCTTCCTCCATCTTCCATTTCGTTTCAACGATTACTGGCAATCTTCTAGCTGTGCCAATCAACCTTTCCCCCTGCGAACCATCGCCTTGCGGCTTCAACGCGATATGCAGGGAGTTGAACGGCGTTGGTTCCTGTTCTTGTCTGCCGGATTACATCGGAAACCCTTACGAGGGTTGTCGACCAGAATGCGTGATCGACACGGACTGTCCCTCCACATTGAGCTGCATCCGCTCCAAGTGCCAGGACCCATGTCCTGGCACCTGTGGCACCAACACCGAGTGCCAGGTCATCGATCACCGACCCGCGTGCGCCTGCATCACAGGATACAGCGGGAATCCTTTCCAATACTGTACCTTGATTCGCGAAATAGGTATACGCTCGAAAAGCTCGCACAGCTTCTAATTCTGTTCCAATCGGCGAAGACGCCTCGCTGAAAAGAGACTAAAACCCCGCAGGAAACCAAACACAGTACATGGACCCGTGCAACCCGTCCCCCTGCGGACCGAACAGTCAATGTCGCGTAGTCAACGAACAAGGTGTGTGTTCCTGTCTACCAGAGTACAGAGGCTCTCCTCCGATGTGTCGTCCAGAGTGCGTCCTAAACTCGGATTGCCCTGCGAATCGAGCTTGCGTCAACCAGAAATGCGTGGATCCATGTCCCAGTTCGTGTGGCGCGTTCGCCACTTGCGTGGTCAAGAACCACAGTCCGATTTGTGCCTGCAGAGATTCGTACACCGGAGACCCGTTCACTAGATGCTTCCCCGTTCCAAGTAAGGCCCCTTCGGACCAGTTCGAAACCACTAAAAATAGTCCAAAGTCGATCCAAGTCCTCAACACGTTGCTTACCTTTTCAGCATTCGTACCCCTCGCAGCGGTCGAACCATCGCAACCCTGTCTCCCCTCCCCTTGCGGTCCATACTCGGAATGTCGCGTGGCGAACAACGGTCCATCCTGCCAGTGCTTGGCCGACTATACCGGAAGTCCTCCCAACTGTAGACCGGAGTGCACCGTCAACTCCGACTGTCCCAGCAACAGAGCCTGCATCAGGCAGAAGTGTCTGGATCCCTGTTCAGGATCCTGCGGAGTAGGGACACGGTGCAGCGTGTTCAATCACGTGCCCATGTGCACGTGCATCGAGGAGTACACCGGAGATCCCTTCAACAATTGCTACCCGACGCCACCGCAGCGTAAGGCCTCGTTTTCTCCTCGAAGAAACTCCAACAACGGTATTCATAGAATCGTAACGACCTACGGAAATTCTTGCAGTACCGCCCCCTGAAACCGATCCCTGCAACCCATCGCCGTGCGGACCGAACGCCCAATGCAACGCGGGTGTATGCACTTGCTTACCCGATTACCAGGGCGATCCCTACACCAGCTGTCGACCCGAATGCGTTCTGAACAGCGACTGCGCTCAAGACAGAGCTTGCGCGAGGAACAAGTGCGTGGATCCTTGTCTGGGCACTTGCGGCAGAGACGCGGTCTGCAATGTCCTGAATCACGTACCCATGTGCAGTTGTCCGGCTGGAATGTCTGGCAACGCGTTCATATCCTGCGACCGAGTGGAAGGTATACAAAAGGAATTTGGTGGCAGCTTCTCTGTCGGTCCACCTAACTTTTCTGTGTACAGTCATCCCATAAATATTCGTGTCTTCTATATCTATCGAAGAAATTTGCCAACCAATCCTAGCATTTCAAGTCAGATTATTCTCGTTGAATTTGATTTAGAACCAGTTCAGACGAATCCGTGCAATCCATCGCCCTGTGGACCCAACAGTCAGTGTCGAGCTATAAATGGCCAGGGCGTGTGCTCGTGCGTGCCAGGATACCTTGGCATTCCGCCTACCTGTAGGCCAGAGTGCGTGGTCAGTTCAGACTGTCCAAGAAGCCTGGCCTGTAACAACCAAAAGTGCATCGATCCTTGCTCTGGCACTTGCGGCCTGAAGGCGTTGTGTCAGGTTGTCAATCACAACCCCGTGTGCAGCTGCCCGTCAGGTTTCACGGGCGATCCGTTCACCAGATGCCAATTCCTTCGTAAGAACTTTGATATCATACTCTGCGGTACAGTTCCTCGGTTATCCCTTTATAGGTCACTGGTACTCGTTACCGCTAAGGAAAGGGCGGAAATTTTGTATGTTTAAGTATCTACGCTCATCCACTAGGTTTCGTTGGTTTAGGGGAACAAAATGTCCAGAGAGTTCTGTCCCTATAAAGGGTTAACGACTCAAATTCCCTTCGAGTTGCCTTCTAAGTTAAACGTCTCATCCCTCCCACAGCTGCGAACATACCAGAAGAGGATACCTGCGCGTCCTGTCGATGCGGCCCCAATTCCGTTTACCAAACCGTCAACGACCAACCGTCTTGCGCCTGTCTCCCCGATTTTATCGGCTCTCCGCCAAACTGTAGGCCGGAGTGCGCGAGCAACAGCGAATGTTCCAGCCACTTGGCGTGCATCAACCGAAAATGTCGAGACCCCTGTCCTGGCTCGTGTGGTTTGAACGCGGAATGCCGTGTGGTCAGTCACACACCGATGTGCGGCTGCCTGAGCGGTTACACAGGCGACCCCTTCACCCAGTGCACGTTGAAACGACGTAAGATTTACCCGCGAACAAACTACACCTACACACATTGCAAAACATAACGAAATATCATATACACGTGAACAAAGTAGATTCCTAATATCGTACACGGTGTCTCGTAACTGGTGGTACAACCGAGTAGAGGGTAATTCTACGTGAATGATTGAATCGAAAATTTTCAAATTTATTTTCTTCGAAAATAGAGCGCCGTATGAATAAATTTTATTGTACACTTTCGATTCAATTTTTTTACGTAGAATCACCCCCTTACTCACTCGCATCACCAGTTACGGGACACCCTGGTATCTAGTGTTTGCGGTGATTAAACCTCCAATTGTTAATACTCCCCCCGAACCTGGATATTTTAGTAGTTATTGCAATTAACCCTGTGGGAAAGTGTGTTGGTATCGAAGGTGAACGCTAACCTTTTCACCCTGTGAACCCTTTTTTAGCCGAACTCGAACCCACGCCGGTGTCGCCCTGCGTGCCATCGCCGTGCGGCCCTAACGCGATATGTAAAGAACAAAACGGAGCAGGTTCCTGTTCCTGCGCCCTGGATTACATAGGAAACCCGTACGAAGGATGTCGCCCGGAGTGCACCGTGAACTCCGACTGTCCCTCGAACCTGGCCTGCATAAGATCCAAGTGCCAGAACCCCTGTCCCGGCACGTGCGGCCAGAACGCCGATTGCACGGTGATAAATCACTTGCCGAGTTGCACTTGCGTAGCTGGATACACGGGAGACCCGTTCGTTAATTGCCACGTCCAGCCGCAGATCCGTAAGTCACAATAACAATGTCGCCAATCATCGCCATCATTCGTCATCGCCATCGCGAACGCCTCGATAGAGAAGATAACGTTAGAGACGCTTCATAGTAACCAACCAACGTCGCTTCCCATCGTAATACATCGTAATCGATCGATGCACGGTGTACGCCATTAACCCAAACTAATACCAAGGAACGAGTAACGCTGACGCATTTAAGCCTGGTTCAGAGTATGGATGGAAACTTGGGAACGGTTAAAGTAACCAAACGATATTCGCCACTTCCAGCCAACGAAGCAAAAAATCCGTGTAACCCCTCGCCATGCGGACCCAACAGCTTGTGCCACGTGACGAATGGCCAGGCTGTCTGCGCGTGTTTCCGCGATTATGTAGGCAGCCCCCCAGGATGTCGTCCAGAGTGCGTGGTCAGCTCGGAATGTCCCTCGAGCCAAGCTTGCGTCGATCAAAAGTGCGTCGACCCCTGCCCTGGCCGTTGCGGTACCAACACGGACTGCAGAGTCGTGAATCACAGCCCTATCTGTGTTTGCAAGCTGGACTTCACCGGGGATCCCTTCACCAGATGCTTCCCGACGCCAAGTAAGAGGAACTTCCTGGATCGAGTTGGAGATCGAACGATCAGGTCATGATAGAGAATCATTGTAAATTCTTTTCAGAACCATTGCCAGCACCCGTCGCTAACCCCTGTGTACCATCCCCCTGCGGCCCGTACTCGGAATGTCGCGACATAGGAGGCTCCCCCTCCTGTTCCTGTTTACCAAATTACACAGGAGGTCCGCCGAATTGTAGACCAGAGTGCACGATAAACCCTGACTGCCCCAGCAACAGAGCTTGCGTGAGGGAAAAATGCAGAGACCCTTGTCCGGGCTCGTGCGGCATTGGAGCGATTTGCAACGTGATCCAACACGTACCCACGTGCGTTTGCCCCCAAGATTTTACAGGAGACCCGTTCGCTAGTTGCCAGCCCGTACAGGCGCCATGTAAGCTAACATTCTGTACCACAAACATTTCTAAGGCTTCGATGTCATTGTTGAGAATCGCTATAATCAACTCGAATCACTTTGCAGTGTTAGATGTCCCGTCGGATCCTTGCAACCCCTCGCCTTGTGGCACGAACGCACTGTGCGATAACGGTTTATGCAGTTGTCCTCCCGGTTACATGGGAAGCCCCTACGAACTATGTCAACCCGAGTGCGTGACCAACGACCATTGTTCCTTCAACAGAGCTTGCGTTCGCAACAAATGCGTGGACCCTTGCATAGGAACCTGCGGCCAGAACGCGGTGTGCAACGTTTACGATCACGTTCCCATGTGTAGTTGCCCACCTGGGATGTCTGGGAATGCATTTGTACTCTGCTCTGTACTACGAGGTGGATATCCTTCGAGGTTCAGTCAAGAGTGACGCCGGTTTCTCCTTATTTAATCATTTAACACACCATTCGTAGAACCGCTGCCGCAGGACCCCTGCAGACCTTCCCCCTGTGGCCCTAACAGTCAGTGCCGAATCGTTAACGGTCAGGCTGTCTGCAGTTGCGTTCAAGGATATCTAGGAACTCCGCCGTCTTGCAGACCCGAGTGTTTGGTCAGCTCCGACTGTCCACGAAATTTGGCCTGTAGCAATCAGAGGTGTATAGACCCCTGTCTAGGCACCTGCGGTCTCAGGACTCAGTGTCAAGTTGTCGCTCACAATCCCATTTGCAGCTGTCTACCGAGACACTCTGGCGATCCCTTCACCAGATGCGACCCGATCAGTAAGACTCATAGCAGCTCTTGGCGTTTAATTAATTGGCCATTCACTACTTTGTCGCTTTGTCTTTAATTTCTCTTAAGAACATCTTAGCTAAACCAAGCATTCTATATACATTTGGAACTCGACTATAAAGTCAGTTCCATATATATTCGTACCCTGTATATCTATCGAACAGAATTCAAGAATCAGATTCTGAAGTACCTCGGAATGATCTGCCAGTTCTATCATCCTCATTGGCCAGTTAATTTCTCGTCGAGAATAGTAAATTTCTCGTCGAGAGTCAAAACACATTCAATTCGTAACTTCGTCCAACAGTTGACACCCCGATCGAGCCGGTAAACCCGTGCCAGCCGTCTCCCTGCGGACCGAACGCTCAATGTCGCGTGGTGAACGACTCACCATCTTGCACGTGCCTGCCCGATTTCGTTGGAGCGCCGCCCAGTTGCAGGCCAGAATGCGTCAGCAACAGCGAGTGCCCGTGGAATCTAGCTTGCATGAATCAAAAGTGCAGAGACCCTTGCCCTGGCGCTTGCGGTTCGAACACGGAATGTCGAGTCGTGAGCCACACGCCTATGTGCGTTTGCATGAGCGGATATACGGGAGATCCCTTCACCCAATGCGTCGTTCAACAACGTAAGACATCTAACTATCTAATACTAGTAAGACGACAGTTAGAGAACAGTGGAGTCAATGGAATTAATATCATGGAATTAATACGTCGTTGTAGCAACAATCGTCGACGTCGCGTCGCCCTGTACACCGTCACCCTGCGGGGCAAATGCTATCTGCAAAGAGCAGAACGGTGCTGGCTCCTGCACCTGCTTGCAAGACTACATCGGAAACCCCTACGACGGATGTCGGCCCGAATGCGTAGTGAACTCTGACTGCGTATCCAACATGGCCTGCGTTCGGTCCAAGTGCCAGGATCCTTGTCCAGGCACCTGCGGCCAGAACGCTGTCTGCCAAGTGATCAATCACTCTCCTGCGTGTTCCTGCGTGTCTGGATATACCGGCGATCCGTTCAGATACTGTAACCTCGCGTTACCATCGGGTAATAATCACGTTATTTCTTCGAACGTTACCAGAAAAAATCTTCCACTTTCTTGGCAAGAGTAGCGCTGACCCCTTCGTTCTTCAACGTTAGATCCAGTCCCGAGGGACCCATGCAATCCATCTCAGTGCGGACCGAACAGTCAATGTAACGTAGTCAACGGTCAGCCAATTTGCGCGTGTTTACCAGAGTACATCGGAACTCCGCCAACGTGTCGTCCTGAATGCGTGATGAGCTCGGAGTGTCCCACTAACAGGGCTTGCGTCAACAATAAATGCATCAATCCGTGTCCTCAACCATGCGGTTCGAACACCAACTGCAGAGTTCTGAATCACAGTCCAGTATGCAGTTGCAAACAGGGCTACACAGGGGATCCGTTCAGTAGATGTTTCCCTATGCCAAGTAAGCCGAACGAGACGAGTCGATATCGGTGTGTTTCAGAGGTATTCGGATTAGGTGACCAGACGTTTCTTTTCAGAACCTCTTCCTGGCCCGGTCGCTCAGAATCCTTGCGTGCCTTCGCCGTGCGGCCCTTACGCAGAGTGTCGCGACATTGGCGGCGCGCCATCCTGCTCTTGTCTAGCCCCTTACATCGGTAGTCCACCTAACTGTAGACCCGAGTGCACGGTCAATTCCGACTGCCCCAGTAGTCAAGCCTGTATAAACGAAAGATGCAGAGATCCCTGTCCAGGCTCCTGCGGAGTCTCAGCCACCTGCAACGTCGTCAACCATACGCCATCTTGCGTTTGTCCTGCCGATTTCACCGGGGATCCGTTTACAAGCTGCTACCCGAAACGTAAGCACTCTTCGTGGATAAATTATCGAATCGTGTTCCAGTTGAAACCTTCTCCTTAACAAATTATTCGATTCCAATTGGGGTTTTACGCGAGTCTTTTAACCACACAGCACTCGAAGAACCAGCGTTACCCGCGGACCCCTGCAATCCCTCGCCTTGCGGTCCAAATGCCCTGTGCGCAGACGGCAGCTGTTCTTGCTTGCCAGAGTATCAAGGAAATCCTTACGCCGGTTGTCGACCGGAATGCGTCCTCAATAGCGACTGTCCTACCTCTCGAGCCTGCATCCGTAACAAGTGCGCGGACCCGTGTCCAGGAACTTGCGGTCAGAACGCGCAGTGCAACGTCTACAACCACGTACCCATGTGCAGTTGTCTGCCTGGAACGACAGGGAACGCGTTCGTTTCGTGTCGTCCAAGCAGAGGTAGGTGCCCACTCGCTCGTACTTTGACACTAAACCTACCACGACTTTTACTCACACCTTTCCATTTCTAGGACCGGAAGACCCGTGCAACCCGTCTCCCTGCGGACCCAACAGTCTCTGTCGCGTAGTTAACGAGCAAGCGGTATGCACTTGCGTGGCTAGTTTCATAGGAACCCCACCATCTTGCAGACCCGAGTGTAGCGTTAGCTCCGACTGTCCGAGAAATCAAGCTTGCAGTAATCAGAGATGCATAAATCCCTGCGCTGGGACCTGCGGCGTTAGCGCCCAGTGCCAAGTGATCAATCATAATCCCATATGCAGCTGTCCACCAGGCTTTACTGGCGATCCTTTCGTCAGATGCGAGCCCAAACGTGAGCTCTGCTCTACTACCATTTCGATTCAAGATTTAAATCATCGAACGATCTTGTTATGTAACGTTTTTCGTCTCCCTTTCAGTGGAAGAACCGTTAGCTCCCGTCAATCCTTGCTATCCATCGCCCTGTGGACCTAACGCGGTCTGTCAAGTGGCGAACGATTCACCCTCGTGCTCCTGTTTACCCGAGTTCATCGGTGCACCGCCGAATTGTAGACCCGAGTGCATCAGCAACAGCGAGTGCGCGACTCAGTTAGCCTGTATAAACAACAAATGCAGAGATCCATGCCCTGGTTCGTGCGGCGGCAACGCTGATTGTCGCGTCGTAAGCCACACCGCCATGTGCGTGTGTTCCATCGGCTTCACTGGCGATCCCTTCACGCAGTGCCTCGACAGGCAACGTAAGACACCAGTGATCGTTTTACAACTGAAATCGAGCTTCTCCGAGCGCGGGTAATTCATTTCTTCTACATTTTAGCCGACATACGACCAACCCTCGCCACTCCATGCACACCGTCACCCTGTGGTTCGAACGCCATTTGCAAAGAACAGAACGGAGTAGGTTCCTGTACGTGTTTGCCCGACTACATTGGCAACCCTTACGAGGGCTGTCGTCCAGAATGTATAATAAATTCCGATTGCGTACCCACGCGTGCCTGCATCCGGTCCAAGTGTCAGGACCCTTGCCCGGGATCTTGCGGCGCGAACGCCGGATGCCAAGTTGTCAATCACTTGCCAACCTGTACTTGTTTCCCTGGTTACACCGGTCAGCCCTATCAATTCTGCCAGCTGATCGTACCGACTCGTAAGCACTGATTCTTTCTCGACTATTTAGAAGAATTCTTCAACCGCGAAGATCTTGACGATGATTTCTCTTTCCCCTTGGTCGCAGTGGATGAGAGAAGAGATCCGTGTTCCCCATCGCCGTGTGGACCGAACAGTAACTGTCGGGTTGTCAACGACCAGGCAGTCTGTTCCTGTCTCCCGGAATACACTGGCTCCCCTCCAGGATGTCGACCAGAATGCGTAGTCAGTTCCGAGTGTCCGTCTAACCTAGCGTGCATAAATCAGAAGTGCAGGAATCCTTGTCCTGGTCCTTGCGGCCTCAACGCTGAGTGCAACGTCATACATCATAGTCCTATATGTGCCTGCAGACAAAGCTACACCGGTGATCCGTTTAGTCGGTGCTTCCCAATGCCAGGTCAGAGAATATCTGAAAATTTCAAGGATAATCGAATTCGCTCAACATTATTTCTAACTCTTCGTGAACTGTTTCTAGAACTCCCTCCAGCGCCGATACCTTCAGACCCCTGTTTCCCTTCACCCTGCGGTCGGAACGCGGAATGCCGCAACATCAACGGCATACCTTCCTGCACTTGTCTGCCAAATTACGTGGGCAGTCCTCCGAGCTGTCGACCAGAGTGCACCGTGAACTCCGACTGCCCTCCCAATCAAGCTTGCACGAGAGAGAAGTGCAGGGACCCTTGTCCCGGCTCCTGTGGCGTGTTCGCCCAGTGCAGCGTGCTGAATCACGTGCCAATCTGTAGCTGCATCGAAGACTACACCGGCGATCCCTTCAGCAACTGTTATCCGAAACCACCTTCACGTAAGACACCGTCCTTTTCCACCCGAGTCCTTCGAGCTTCGCGATTCTCTTCATCGTCTCTTTCCAACTTCTAGAACCACCAGTCTCCGACGATCCTTGCGATCCGTCGCCCTGTGGATCGAACGCGGAATGCAACAATGGCATCTGTACCTGTCTGCCAGAGTACAGGGGCGATCCGTACGCAGGATGTCGTCCAGAGTGCGTTCTTAATTCGGATTGTCCCTTAAACCAGGCATGCCTCCGAAATAAATGTATCGATCCTTGCATCGGTACCTGTGGCCAGAACGCGATTTGCGACGTGTTCAATCACATTCCGATGTGCAGCTGCGGTCAAAGGATGACTGGAAACGCTTTCGTACTGTGTTCCCCGATCGCAGGTACCAAACGACGCTGCTTCAATTGACCCTTTGCACTCGAGGCACTTTCTTCTGATAATCCCATATATTTACCCATTTGTATCCACAGAAGTAACACCGGAAACGCCATGCAACCCATCTCCTTGCGGTCAAAACAGTATCTGTCGTGCTGTGAATGGACAGGCAGTTTGCACTTGTGTCCAGGGATACGTAGGAAGTCCTCCGTCTTGTAGACCGGAGTGCGTAGTCAGTTCCGACTGTCCCAGAAACGAAGCCTGTAGTAACCTGAAGTGCTCGAACCCGTGCATAGGAACTTGCGGCATTCGCGCGCAGTGTCAAGTCATAAACCACAATCCCATATGCAGCTGTCTGCCAGGATTGTCCGGTGATCCGTTCGTCAAATGCGATCCTATCGGTAAGAGCCGTTCCACCTTCCGAAACATAAATTTGACGTTTCTTTACATCGAATGGTAACACTGCGAACGGCCCTTCTAGCGGACGTCGAGCCACAAGTCGCGAACCCGTGCAGACCATCGCCGTGTGGTCCCAACGCTCAGTGTCAAGTAGCGAACGACTCCCCATCCTGCACATGCATGCCTGGATTTATAAGCTCTCCGCCAAACTGTCGACCCGAGTGCGCGAGCAACAGCGAATGCGCGAGCCACCTCGCTTGCATCAATCAGAAGTGCGGAGACCCGTGTCCTGGCTCTTGCGGAGCTAATGCCGAGTGTCGCGTGGTCAGCCACACACCCATGTGCGTTTGCTCCACTGGATTCACGGGCGATCCGTTCACGCAATGCGTGGTGTTCGATGAGCGTAAGGATACTCGACCGATAAGCGTATTTCGCGACTGGATAGGTCGCACAGGTTTACTCTGTTTTTCCACCAGGTCTACCTTCCCCGTGCACGCCATCCCCTTGCGGTTCTAACACCGTTTGCAGAGAGCAGGACGGTGTAGGCTCCTGTTCGTGTTTACCCGAATACATAGGCAATCCGTACGAAGGATGTCGACCGGAGTGCACCGTCAGCTCCGACTGCCCGTCGAATCTCGCTTGCACGAGAAACAAGTGTCAGGACCCGTGTCCAGGCACCTGTGGACAGAACACTGTTTGCCAAGTTATCAATCACTCGCCCACGTGCTCGTGCAACCCTGGTTTTACCGGAGACCCCTTCAGATACTGCCAAATCACGCGAGAGCCTGGTAAAGTATATTTGAACCGTGTCGGTGTACGAATATGTATATGGAACTGGCTGTACTTTACCGATCAAAACTTTGAGTACACGATTCCTTGCCGCGAACCCGAAATTTCTATTCTTTTCCTCGGTAATGCGTGCACCCAAACTTCTGACCGGTAATCCGAAAAACAAAGGAAGCCATCCTGAAGTTTCTTTCTTCTTCAGACATAGTCAGAGATCCAACAGACCCCTGCGTCCCGTCGCCCTGCGGACCAAACAGTCAGTGCCGCGTGATTTCCGGCAACGCGGTGTGCTCTTGTCTTCCCGAATACACCGGAAGTCCTCCCTCCTGCCGGCCCGAGTGCGTCGTCAGCACGGATTGTCCCTCGAACCGAGCCTGCGTGAACCAGAAGTGCTCGGACCCCTGTCTACGAGCGTGTGGACAGAACACCAATTGTCTAGTCGTCAACCACAGTCCTATTTGTACCTGCAAAGACGGAAACACTGGCAACCCGTTCACAAGGTGTTTCCATTTTCAACGTAAGTCTCTCTATCGTCGATCCGCATCCCTGAGATGATGCTACCTCGACGACAGACATCTAACTCGTGCCAATTGATTCCGTAGCACAACCAACGTTACCAGATCTACCTCAAGACCCCTGCTTACCCTCCCCCTGTGGTCCATACTCCGAATGTCGAGACATCGGTGGCGCTCCGTCTTGTTCCTGCTTAGCTAATTATTTCGGCAGCCCACCAAACTGTAGACCAGAATGTACCGTGAACACGGACTGTCCCAGCGATAGGTCCTGCATAAGACAGCGATGCACGGATCCTTGTCCTGGATCCTGCGGCGTGGCGGCAATGTGCTCGGTCTTCAATCACGTGCCGATCTGCACCTGCGCGGAAGGATTCACGGGTGATCCTTTCAGCAGCTGCTCTCCTGCGCCACGTAAGCCTCGTTTTCGTAAGCATGACCGTGACACGTTCGTTGTCTATCGTCTCCGTCGTGTTCATTTTACACTCGATCGTGTAAAATAATTAACGCGAAATATTTAACCAATGGATTTTTGTATCAAGGAAAACAAAATTCTCAGCTGTGTATCATCTCTCTGAACGTTCAAGTGACAGTCGGTTACAGACACGGACAACGAACGTGTTAAACTCGTTTGTTAGAGCATTCGACACCTCGTTCTCCCATTGTAGCTGCTGTACCGGTACCGCAAGACCCCTGCAACCCATCGCCTTGCGGTCCGAACGCCCAGTGCAACGATGGCGCTTGCACGTGTTTGCCGGAGTATCAGGGCGACCCTTACGTAGGTTGCCGACCAGAATGCGTCCTGAACACCGACTGTCCCCTAAACAGAGCTTGTCTCCGCAACAAGTGCGTGGATCCTTGCGCTGGCACCTGCGGTCAGAACGCAGTGTGCAACGTGTACAATCACTTGCCAATGTGCGGCTGTCCCGTCGGTATGACGGGCAACGCGTTCGTATACTGCACACCGTTCAGAGGTACGACTGTCTATGTAAAATTAATCGCAGATTCAACGTATCCTCGGCTAATCGATCGATCCCTGATCAGACCCAGTCGTGACCAATCCTTGCAACCCAACGCCTTGCGGATCGAACAGCCAGTGCAGAGAAGTCAACGGACAAGCCGTGTGCACTTGTATCCCTGGTTTCGTTGGAATCCCGCCTACCTGCAGACCAGAGTGCGTGGTGAGCACGGACTGCGGACCAACGGAGGCTTGCATCAATCAGAAATGCAGCAATCCGTGCGCGGGTTCCTGCGGAATCAGAGCCACCTGTCAAGTAGTCAACCACAACCCGCTCTGCAGCTGCCCTGCGAGCTTGACCGGCGATCCTTTCGTCAGATGCGTCGAGAAACGTAAGGACTCTTCGCTCGACTTCCACGGGATCTCGCAAGATGGAACCGCGATATTTGAACCGCATTCTATTTCAGCGTTGGAGTCACCGCAACAGGAGAACCCATGCGTACCATCGCCATGCGGCCCGAACGCTCAGTGTCAAACCATCAACGATTCCCCGTCCTGTTCCTGTCTTCCAGAGTTCACCGGCTCTCCTCCTAACTGCAGACCGGAATGCATCAGCAATAACGAGTGCCCGAGTAACATGGCTTGCATCAATCAGAAATGCAGAGACCCTTGTCCTGGATCCTGCGGCACGAACGCCGAGTGTCGCGCAGTCTCTCATACACCGATGTGCAGTTGCTCTCCCGGATACACCGGGGATCCGTTTACCCAATGTGTCGTAGAACAACGTAAGATAGTTTCGATTTTACACGGTTTCGTCATCGGAAAAGTTGCGAATCGTTTCCCAACCACCTGGCAAGAATTTCAATCCCTAAACCCTTTCCAGTCATACCGATGTACGTGCCAAAGCCTTGCGTGCCGTCTCCTTGCGGCGCAAACGCCCTCTGCAAAGAGAGGAACGGAGCAGGATCGTGCTCCTGTCTGGAAGGATACATCGGGAACCCGTACGAGGGTTGCCGACCGGAGTGCGTCATAAATTCGGACTGCGTTCCAAGCAAGAGCTGCGTCAGCTTCAAGTGCGAAGATCCGTGTCCCGGCACTTGTGGCCAGAACGCGATCTGCCAAGTGATCAATCACCTGCCCACCTGCAGTTGCTTGCCTAGATTCACGGGAGATCCATTCAGATACTGCCGCGAGGAAGAGATAGGTACGTGGCAGATGTCCTGTCGTAGACGAGTGCTTCCAACTCTTCAGACAACGTTTTGCTCGATAGTTACCCGACCGAGCCTGACGGATTCTTGCCAACCATCGCCGTGCGGGCCCAACAGCGTCTGCAGGGAGAACAACGGCCAGGCGGTTTGTTCGTGCTCACCAGGATATCTCGGTTCTCCGCCAGGATGCAGGCCGGAATGCGTGGCGAGCGCGGAGTGCGCCTCCAACCGCGCGTGCGTTAACCAGAAGTGCGTGGATCCTTGTCCAGATCCTTGCGGGAGGAACGCCGTTTGCAGAGTCATCAACCGCAATCCGATATGCTCCTGTCAGCAAGATTTCACCGGGGACGCGTTCTCCGTCTGTTTCCCTATTCCACGTTCGTATCTGTTTCACTTTTTACGCGCAAACAACCGCGGGAATAGTTGTGCTCACTTCCGAACCCCTGCAGGTCCACCGCCGGAGTCATTCAGACCTTCCCAGCAAGACCCGTGTTTGCCAAGCCCTTGTGGCCCGTATTCGCAGTGTCGAAACATCGGAGGAAATCCTTCTTGTTCTTGCTCGGCTTCGTATATCGGTGTCCCACCGAATTGCAGGCCAGAGTGCACTATTAACGCGGAGTGCTCCAGCGCGTTGGCTTGCATCAGGGAGAGGTGCTCGGACCCTTGTCCAGGATCTTGCGGTATAGGAGCTAGGTGCACCGTTCTGAATCACGTCCCGATGTGTGCTTGCCCCGAGGGCTACACGGGAGATCCCTTCACCAGCTGCGTCTTGGCGCCCGTCTCACGTGAGAATCTCTTCGGCACTTTGCTAGCCCTATGGTCCGAATAAGCACATTCTCATACCCGATTTGTATACAGCCGAGGAACCTGTCTCAGACCCCTGCAACCCGTCACCGTGTGGTGCGAACGCGCTATGTCGCGACGGCAGTTGCACGTGCCTTCCGGAATATCAAGGAGACCCCTACACCGGTTGTCGACCCGAATGCATCATGAACACCGATTGCGCCCGTGACAGGGCGTGCGCGAGGAACAAGTGCGTCGATCCGTGCACAGGAACTTGCGGTCAGAACGCCCAGTGTCAGACCATAAATCACATTCCGATGTGCAATTGTCCGGCGGGGATGGCTGGAAACGCTTTCGTTTCCTGTTCTCCGGTGCAGGGTATAATAATTGTTTTGTTTAATAATATGAAAATCGAGATAGTCATACGAGCATGCTACGTCTCAGGCTGGATTTTTATAATATCGAGAATCGTCTTCTTTGTTGATTTCAATTTTTTGAGATTCCATTTGAATATCCTCTTTTCCAAAAGATGTAGCGACGAACCCTTGCTCGCCATCGCCCTGTGGACCGAACAGTCACTGTCAAGAAGTGAACGGAGTCGCGGTCTGCAAGTGCGTGGAAGGTTTCCTTGGAAATCCACCGACTTGCAGGCCAGAGTGCATCGTCAGCTCGGATTGCGAGCTGACGAAAGCCTGCATCAATCAGAAGTGCGCGGATCCCTGCCCAGGTTCTTGCGCTGTGAGAGCAGAGTGCTCCGTGGTCAACCACAACCCCATTTGTAGATGTCCACCCAGTATGACCGGTGATCCGTTCACTATTTGCACAGCCATAGGTGAGACGTCGAACGTATCTTGAGACATTCCGCGAGAGCCTCGAGAAACGATCCTAACGATGATTCTTTGATTCCCTCTTCAGTGGAACAGCCTTCGGAACCGATAAACCCATGTTTCCCGTCACCTTGTGGCCCGAACGCTCAGTGCCAGGTGGTAAACCAAGCCCCAGCGTGCTCGTGTTTACCAGAATTTTCGGGAACACCTCCGAATTGTAGGCCCGAGTGTGTGATTAACAACGACTGTCCGACTCGTCAAGCTTGCGTCGATCAAAAATGCAGGGACCCGTGTCCTGATTTGTGCGGAGCCAACGCAGAGTGCAGCGTGTTCAGCCACACTCCGATTTGTTCCTGCAGTTCAGGATTCACTGGAGATCCGTTCGTTCGGTGCACTCCAGTTCCAAGTGAGTTCGGTTTTCTGAAAACGTGTCCAGCTTTCACGAATCCCGATAGAAAGTATCGGTACACTGATCAATCTCTAAAAGAAGTGCGTGAAATTGTAATTCATTTACTTCTTTCTATATCTATTCTACACATTTCCAAGAATATGTAGAATATCATTGATAACAAAATTTTTTGGAAAATCGATCGGTGTACGAATACATTCTCCGCCCACTGTATCCATGAAAGCATATTATCCTTTCACTGAAACGATTCTTCTCCACCCCATAGTCGAAAGCGAAAGACCAACCCCATGCAGTCCATCGCCATGCGGGGCGAACGCAGTGTGCAAAGTATCAGGAAACGCAGGTGCCTGTACCTGTTTGCCGGATTACGTAGGGAATCCCTACGAAGGTTGCAGACCCGAATGTGTCGTGAACTCCGACTGTCCTGTGAACCTTGCATGCGTGAGATCGAAGTGCCAAGATCCTTGTCCTGGAGCGTGCGGTCAGAACGCCATATGCAACGCTGTGAACCACGCGCCGATGTGCGCGTGCATTCAGGGATACTCTGGAGATCCTTTCAGATACTGCAGTCTAAGTCCAGTGAATCGTAAGAGTCGCTCGATTATCCGCTAGCTAAGAATAATAGTAAAAGGATCAACATGTACGTATTTATTTTTAGAAGAACCTTCGCCAGTCGACCCTTGCAATCCAACGCCCTGCGGTCCAAACAGCGAATGTCGCGTGAACAACAACCAACCGGTGTGCACTTGTCTCGCGACGTACATGGGCAGCCCGCCAAATTGCAGACCCGAGTGCGTGGCCAGCACAGACTGTCTCCTAACTCGTGTCTGCGCGAATCAGAAATGCGTCGACCCGTGTCCCAGTTCGTGTGGCATGAACGCCAACTGCAGAGCCATCAACCACAGTCCGATCTGTTTCTGTAACAACGGATTCACCGGCGATCCGTTTACCGCTTGCTTCCGCGCTCCTGGTACGATCTGTGAATTCAATTTTCCGCGCATCGCTCGATATCCCGTACGCTAACCACTTAAATTCTCCAGAAACCCCCGCAGAACCCTCGCCATCGGTACAAAGGGATCCCTGTCAGCCGTCTCCCTGTGGTCCAAACGCGATCTGCCAAACTGTGGGCCAGACGCCAGCTTGCACTTGCTCGCCAGACTATCGCGGCAGCCCTCCAAACTGCAGACCCGAGTGCACCATCAATTCCGAGTGTCCCACTAATCAAGCTTGCATCCGAGAGAAGTGCAGGGACCCCTGTCCAGGTTCTTGCGGCTTTAACGCTCAATGCTCCGTGTTCAATCACGTACCTATGTGCTCCTGTATCGAAGGGTTCACGGGAGATCCCTTCAGCCAATGCAATCAACAGGCTACACCCAGTGAGTAACGGTTCCCAAAAATCATTCGTAGTCCAGAAATCTTGACTGATTTCGAAACTTTTCCACCCAGTCGAACCAACAGAAGTAGATTTGTGCAATCCGTCCCCTTGCGGTCCGAATGCTCAGTGCGACAACGGAATATGCTCTTGTTTACCTGAGTACTACGGGGATTCGACGATCGGCTGTCGACCGGAATGCGTGCTCAATAACGATTGTCCTCGAGACAGAGCTTGCGTGAGGAACAAGTGCGAGGATCCCTGCCAGGGGACCTGCGCGAGCAACGCGGTGTGCAACGTGGTGAACCACGTGCCAATGTGTAGCTGTCCAGCTGGTTTCGAAGGCAACGCGTTTGCCTACTGTCGTCCTGCCATAGGTAATAGTACTTCCTATCGTCGAAGAGTATACGGTCCCATAAATATTTCTACCTTCTATGTCTGTTAAAGAAATCTGTCTGAATTAAATGCTAGGTTTCATATTTTCAAATAAATGTTTCACACTTGTTTGCATTTATAATGGTATATTTATTTGAAAATATCGAACCTATTGATTGAATTAGACAATTTCTTTTTGTCAATAGACATAGAAGCTACGAATATTTATGGGACTAACTGTACGTAGAACTCGCGACGTTTATCGACGATGATCTTTTAATAGCCGATGTACCATCCACCCCGTGCACCCCGTCACCCTGTGGACCGAACAGCCAGTGTCGAGTCAATAACGGTCAAGCAACCTGCAGCTGCGTGCCAGGCTATTTAGGAAACCCTCCAAACTGTCGTTCCGAGTGCATAGTCAGCTCCGACTGTCCTCCGAACGAGATTTGCTCGAATCAAAAGTGCAGGAATCCTTGTATAGGTACTTGCGGCTTGGGAGCCAGGTGTACGGTAGCCAATCGCAACCCTATATGCCACTGCCCCGAAGAATTCACCGGAGATCCGTTCGTACGATGCGTACCGATTCGTAAGTTCCGCTTGGATATTATTTTAGGTGAAAGTGGAGCGCGTCGAGAACATCCGAGTAAATTATGATCGAATGTTCGAATAACGAAATTTATAGCGCCAGTGGTCCAAGAACCGATAAACGTTTGCCAGCCATCGCCCTGCGGACCCAACGCTCAATGCCAAATCTCAGGGAACTCGCCATCTTGTACCTGTTTGTCCGATTTTATCGGTTCTCCGCCGAATTGCAGACCTGAATGCGTCAGCAACAGCGAGTGCCCCAGTCATCAAGCGTGCGTTAACCGGAAGTGCAGAGACCCGTGCGTCGGTTCTTGTGGAACAAACGCCCAATGCCGAACAGTCAGTCACACACCCATGTGTTACTGTGGATCAGACTACACGGGCGACCCTTTCACGTACTGCTCCGTTAGGCCCAGTAAGCTTTCTTTGGTACATCACATCGAATTGGATCGCTGCAAGAGATTTTTTTTGCCCTCCATTTAACGTTAATTTATCGCGGATGAAAGATCATTTTTTTTTTTTTTTTAACACTAAACTTCTTACTAAAATTTTCAATGCTGGTCTGAGATTAGTCTGAAATGCAAAAATATTTTACGTGAAACTGAATCGAACAGTTGGTTTAGCGTTACCTCCCATGCGTTGAAATCTCCGGAGTTACGTAGACGCTCCTGTTTACCATGCATTTAAATCACTGTGCTTCAATTCTATCCGACTTCCTGCACCAACCCAATACTGTGTTTTTATTTAAATTATATGAAATCGCTACAAATAGCCAGAAGTTTGATCGTTGATATCCTCCATCGGTTTCAGTCGAAGACCAGCAGATAAATCCGTGTTCGCCATTGCCCTGCGGACCGAACGCTCAGTGCACCGAAAGAAACAACGTAGGTGCCTGCGCGTGTCTTCCTGGCTACACAGGGAACCCTTACGAAGGATGCAGGCCAGAATGTGTCCTGGATTCCGACTGCTCGCCCACTCGGGCTTGCGTTAATTCAAAGTGTATCGATCCCTGTCCAGGGACATGTGGAACGAACGCGGAATGCTACGTTGTCAATCACCGAGCGTCTTGCTCTTGTTATCCTAGCTACACAGGCGACCCTTACCGATATTGCTCCGTTCAGCAAGACGGTGAGTCGAGGTTAACCAAATTTTTATACTAAAACCTCTCTTACCTATCAAAGTACAATCGTGTCTCGCTGGACAATCGAGTCATCCTATAAATTATCCTTCAGTTTCCGACGTCAGCGTAACCGATCCGTGTGGTACGTCTCAATGCGGTCCGAACAGCCAGTGCAGAGTACTGAATGGAGTAGCTGTCTGCTCTTGCCTTCCAACTTTTATCGGTACACCGCCAGCGTGCAGATCGGAATGCACCCTCAGCTCGGACTGCCCCGCCGACAAAGCATGCGAGCGACAAAAGTGCATAAATCCGTGTCCCTCCTCCTGTGGACAGAACTCGGATTGTAGAGTCATCAATCACTCGCCTATTTGTACTTGCACGATGGGATACACCGGCAATCCGTTCACTATATGTTTCCCAGTTCCATGTGAGTATAGTTTCCGAATGGCGAACACCGCGCAAAAGCTGTGAATGTCGAAGCATTTCTATTAACACCAACGACCGACATTCCATATTTTAGTGACACCACCCGTCTCGAACGACGTCATTCCAAAAGATCCCTGCATTCCATCGCCTTGCGGCGCTTATTCGGAGTGTCGAGACATTGGCGGATTACCCTCGTGCTCCTGCCTAGCCACGTACATGGGAAGTCCTCCGAATTGTCGGCCGGAGTGTACGCTCAACTCGGACTGCGCTCCCAACATGGCCTGCATGCAACAAAGATGCAGGGACCCTTGTCCAGGCTCGTGTGGTCTTCAAGCGCTATGCGCCGTACTCAATCACGTTCCGACATGCACCTGCCAGCCTGGTTACACCGGAGATCCCTTCACCAACTGCGTCCTCGATCGTAAGATTTCCCATTCGCGTCAATTTACTACATATTTCAAAGTTGTTCCCGCGTCTACTGCAACCATGCATTGCAGAACGCCCGATCGAACCGAATCCGTGCGGGATGTGCGGACCTAACACACAGTGCGACGACGGCGTTTGCACCTGCTTGCCAGAGTATTCCGGTGACCCATACGCAGGTTGTCGGCCGGAGTGTGTCTTGAGCAACGAGTGTCCAGCATCCAGAGCTTGTGTCCGAAACAAATGCGTGGATCCTTGCGTGGGCGTTTGCGGACAAAACGCGTTGTGCAACGTTTTCAACCATATCCCCATATGCAGTTGTCCGTCAGGAACATCAGGAAACGCGTTCTTGCTCTGTTCCCCCGAGCTAGGTACACTTCTCGGATTTCAAAGGAATTCTCGATCGAAAGATTCGGTTCGAAAATGTTCTGTAAAATAATTCTCCGACACTTTTAGTAACAACAATCAGCGATCCCTGCAACCCGTCGCCCTGTGGTCCCAACAGTCTGTGCAGACAGAACAACATGCAAGCCGTATGCTCTTGCGTGAGCGGGTACGTAGGCGCTCCTCCGACTTGCAGACCCGAGTGCGCTGTCAGTTCAGACTGTCCATTGAACGAGGCGTGTACCAACCAACGGTGCCAAGATCCTTGCCCAGGAAGCTGCGGGATCAACGCGGACTGCAGCGTGGTCAATCACAACCCGATATGCGTCTGCCGCGATAGGATGACCGGCGATCCTTTCGTCAGTTGCTACCCACTGCGTAAGAACGCCAATTCGTAGTCTGAGATACCTCGCTCCACCAACGAACACGTAGACTAACGAAAGCTTCTTAATCCTTGAAGCCGCGAGACCGTTACCTCCAGTCGATCCTTGCCAACCGTCGCCATGCGGCCCCAACGCGGACTGCCAAGTAATAAACGACCAACCATCCTGCTCGTGTAGGCGAGAATTCATTGGATCGCCTCCTAACTGTCGTCCAGAGTGCATCAGCAACAGCGAGTGTCCCTATCAACTGGCGTGCATCGGCCACAGGTGCCAGGACCCTTGCGTCAACTCCTGCGGCGTGAACGCGGTTTGCAATGTCGTCAGTCACACGCCTATGTGTGCCTGTACGAATGGTTACACCGGTGATCCGTTTACCCAATGTTCTCCGCAGCCGTGTAAGAACCTTCGAGTCTTTTCAACTATTCTCGAGTCTACCGCGAGTAGTAAGAAAATTTCTAAGTTCCTCTTACCACGATTTTAGTCGACGCGCCAGTCGGCAGACCAGACCCCTGCAGCCCGTCGCCGTGCGGTGCCAATAGCGTGTGTCGCGTTCAGCAGAACACCGGGTCTTGCACCTGCCAAGACGATTACATCGGGAATCCTTACGAAGGATGCAGACCCGAATGCACGCTCAGCTCGGATTGTCCGTCCAATCGAGCCTGCATCCGTTCCAAGTGCACAGACCCCTGTCCTGGAACTTGCGGTCAAAACGCTCAGTGTTACGTTATCAACCACGCTCCAGCTTGCAGCTGCTTCGAACGGTACACGGGAGATCCTTTCGTGTACTGCTCCCCTATGAGAGAACCGCGTAAGATTTCAAAATGTGTAGAACGAATAATACATAGAGTGTCCCGTAACTGGTGGTACAACCGAGCAGGGGGTGAATCTACGTGAAAAATTGATTCGAAAATGTTCAAACTTATTTTCTTCGAATATAAAGCGTCGTATGAATAAATTTTATTGTACATTTTCGATTCAATTTTTTACGTAGAATCATCCCTTACTCCCTTGTACCACCAGTTACGGGACACCTTGTAGAATGAAACAGATGGGTCAGGATGATAGACGACGTTTGTCCTCTTGCAGTTCCTGGACCCAACACCGTTAGCCCTTGCGAACCGTCGCCCTGCGGCCCGTACAGCCAATGTCGAGAGATCAACGGCCAGGCCACGTGTTCTTGTTTACCAACTTACACAGGAACACCCCCGAATTGCAGACCAGAGTGCACCGTTAGCTCCGATTGCCCGTTGAATCTCGCGTGCAGGAACAACAAGTGCGTCGATCCCTGTCCCGACTCTTGCGGTCAGCAGACCACGTGCAGGGTCGTGAATCACAGTCCCATATGCTCCTGCAGGCCAGGTTTCACCGGTGATCCGTTCACTCGGTGCTTCTCGAGTCCACGTAAGCATCGAGAGTCTAGGGAAACTTTGAATCGTTGTACTTAACGAATAGTCGAAACCAATCGTCCAATTTCAGCTCCAGCTGTTACGGACCCACCGATCGATCCCTGTATCAACTCGCCCTGCGGACCGAACTCTCAGTGTCGCAACATCAACGGATCTCCCTCGTGCTCTTGCGCCCTAAACTACATCGGTGCTCCACCGAACTGTCGTCCAGAGTGCGTGGTCAACACCGATTGTCCCAGAAATCAAGCTTGCATTCGCGACAAATGTCAGGATCCTTGCCCAGGCTCCTGCGGTCTGAACAGCGTCTGCGCGGTCCACAATCACATTCCCGTTTGCACGTGCTTGGAAGGTTACACGGGAGATCCTTTCAGCATCTGCCAGCCCAAACCAATCAGTAAGATATAACCTGAAAACGTAGAAATCATATTCGTGAGACAGATTTTGTTAATACATACCCGATGACGAAGTAGGAGACGAACCTGTGACAGACCCATGCAGCAATTCTCCATGCGGACCGAACGCCGATTGCGACAACGGCGTTTGTGCTTGCATTCCCGAGTACACTGGAAACCCGTACGTCGGTTGTCGGCCCGAATGCGTGCTCAGCACCGACTGTCCAAACAACAGAGCGTGCATAAGAAACAAATGCGTGGATCCTTGCCCCGGAGCTTGCGGCCAGAACGCTCTTTGCAACGCGATCAATCACGTACCTATGTGCAGTTGTCCTCCCAACACCGCTGGCAACGCTCTGGTCGTGTGTTCGCCTATGCGAGGTTTTTATAATCAATTTAATCGCTTTCTGACGAGTAATCAGTCTAGATGCAAGTCTCATGAATTATCGAATCACAGCTCCCACGACGACGAGACCGTGCAACCCATCACCCTGCGGTCCAAACAGTATCTGTCGTGAGTTAAACGACCAAGCAGTGTGCACTTGCGCCCCCGACTACCTCGGAACGCCACCTTTATGTAGACCAGAATGCGTCATCAGTTCCGATTGTCGCATGAACGAGGCTTGCGTGAATCAAAAATGCAGAAATCCGTGTCTAGGAACGTGTGGCGTTGGGGCGCAATGCCTAGTGGTTAACCACAACCCCGTGTGCTCCTGTCCAGAGCGTTACACCGGAGACCCCTTCGTCAGATGCGAAATGATCAGTAAGGCAACGAATGAAAGATTGATCGCGTGTGAAGTCAATGTTGCGAGTTCTCCTAGGTGAAGCGAATCCTAGGTGAAGCTAGTTCACTTGAACATTTTCCCCGCCACCACGGTATAAATGAAAGAAAAGAAGTGCGAACTCGACGAACGTTGACTTTACGCAAGGTCGTAAAGTTGCGGCCCATGCGAGCGAAACGAGTCGATAACGGTACCTTCCTTTTCGTAGAAGATATAATAGTGCCCACGAACCCCTGCCAGCCGTCGCCCTGCGGACCGTACACCCAGTGCCGAGTGATCAATGACGTCCCATCCTGTACATGTCTACCTGAATATACGGGAACCCCGCCCAACTGCAAACCCGAGTGCATAGCCAGCTCCGAGTGCCCCAGCCACCAAACCTGCGTCCGACAGAAATGCGTAGATCCCTGTCCGGGTCTATGCGGGGAGAGTGCAGAGTGTCACGTAGCCTATCACGTGCCCCACTGCGTTTGTCCAAACGGTTTCACCGGTGACCCGTACTCTCGTTGCTCGATAATAAGTAAGAAAGAAGAACCATCGGAAGACGAACGCGGTGTTCGCGATACCGACACTAATCCATGTAATTTTGCATTGTTCTAGTTCGTGACCCGGAACCCTCGCCCTGCGCGGAAGGCACATGCGGCACGAACGCGTTGTGCAGAGAACGAGACGGTATCGGGATTTGTTATTGCCCACCTGAGTACATTGGCAACGCATACGTGGGCTGTAGGCCCGAATGCGTCATTAACCCCGATTGCCCGTCCAACAAAATGTGCGTGCGAAACAAGTGCCAAGACCCATGCCCTGGAACCTGCGGCCAGAACGCCGAGTGCACGGTCGTTAACCATCAGCCAGTCTGCTCGTGTCGGTCGGGATTCACTGGCGATCCGTTTGTCGTGTGTACCGTGGATAGTAAGTTCAAACGAGTCCCTACGAAGGCGCGAATAGTCGAATTAAGACTTTTTTAAGAATTTCAACAAGTATCGCCTTGTAGGAAACGACAAGAGGAAACTTTTTTTTATATGGTTACGGTTCATTAGGACGACGTTTAGTTTCGAAAATAGAAATTGAAAACTTGCAAATCCTTTCTCCCGACATTCGATTGGATTTACATGAATGTATATTTTAAAATGCAATCGAATTACGGAGGAAAGCAACGACCAATGTTTCCGATTCTTATTTTCGAAACTGAACGTCAGACGAACGAATCGGAAATATAAAATATTTTCGTCTGGTCATTCTCTGCAAGACGATGTTTTTTTAAGACGTGCTTTGACTTTTCAATCAAAGGGTTAACAGCTCCGTTTGTTTCCCAGTAATGGTCCCAACGAAAGAGAACCTGTGTAACCCATCGCCCTGCGGACCCAACAGTCAGTGCAGAGAAGTATCTGGTCAGGCCGTGTGTTCGTGCCTGCCTACCTACGTCGGCACACCACCTGGATGTAGACCCGAGTGCGTTGCTAGCTCCGAGTGTCCCACTCAGCTCGCGTGCAAGGACTACAAATGTACAAACCCGTGCCCGAGTCCCTGCGGACTGAACACTAAGTGCATCGTCGTTAACCACAGTCCCATATGTAGTTGCATGCCCGGCTACAGCGGCGATCCTTTCACTATCTGCACTCAAATTCCACGTAAGATGTTCCACCAGATCCATAGAACGTTTTCCACTCGCGCGTCGGGAAGATCGTACGATGAACGTTTCGTTAATCACGACTTTCAGCTGTCTCGATCCCTGGCCCAACGGAGAAAGACCCGTGCGTACCATCCCCGTGCGGCAATTTCGCCCAGTGCAGAAATATCCGCGGCACTCCTGCCTGCACGTGCTTAGAGAGCTACATCGGTCAGCCACCCAACTGCAGACCCGAGTGCACGATCAACTCCGAATGTCAAAGCGACATGGCCTGCGTCAACATGAAGTGTAGAGACCCGTGCCCTGGTTCCTGCGGTTCCGGTGCCCTGTGCGCGGTCATGAATCACATTCCCGTGTGCAACTGTCCCGAAGGTTTCACAGGAAATCCCTTCACGCTTTGTCAGTTACTGCCAGCGACACGTAAGGACCCTTGCCACCTTTTATACCCAAAGCAGTTTCACGTATCATTTGTTTTAGGAATTTATAAAAGAGCCACGGGCTGTACTAATCGGTCAGGATTTATTGACAACACGTTTGACTTTACAGCTCCAACGCCACCGCTAGAAGACGAATGTAGCTCGTCACCCTGCGGTCCCAACGCCGCGTGCACGAACGGCGTTTGCATGTGTCTACCGGAATTCCAAGGAAACCCGTACCTAGGATGTCGACCCGAATGCGTCCTAAATTCAGACTGCCCCAGAGACAGAGCCTGCTCGCGTAATAGGTGTACGGACCCCTGTCCTGGAATCTGTGGTTTCAGTGCCATTTGTACAGTGATCAATCACGTGCCCATGTGTAGCTGTCCTGGAAACATGACTGGCAACGCGTTTAGTCGATGTAACCCTCTGACAGGTATTCAACCATCTCTCCTGTATGAAACTTTTCGCACGATACTTGCCATGGTCCCGTGGCGAACGATTCGAATAACCTGATACTTTTTGTTTTTGTCAGATGTGATACCCACTAATCCGTGTAGTCCGACACCATGCGGACCCAATAGCGAATGCCGCACCGTAAACGGTCAAGCGGTCTGCTCGTGCATCAGAGGATACTTAGGAAGTCCGCCGACCTGTAGACCCGAGTGCATAGTCAGCACAGACTGCCCGCAAAACGAAGCCTGTAGCAATCAGAGGTGTATAAACCCCTGTCCTGGATCTTGCGGCATCGGAGCCAGCTGCAACGTCGTCAACCATAATCCTATATGCAGCTGTCCGTTGCGTTACACTGGAAATCCATTCGTTCAGTGCACGTTCTCCTGTAAGAGTTCGCTGCGATCCCGGTTCATTCGTTCTTTTCAGGCTATACAGCAGGCCCTCGACTTTCGCACACAATTGGTTCCTGAAAGTGCGTGCGAATGTCGAATGTTCGAAAATTGTGTTTTAAAGTATTTATTTATCGATATGTATGCATAACTCGTTAACATCTTCATCGTTGACGTCCATGTTTATTCATTGGGCTAACTATTTCATCTGTGATAGTTTCCGGTGCTTTTTCTAAAATTTGTAAAATCACCATTTGTGCGCATAATTGTTTCCAGGAACAATTTTTCATCGTTTGCCATTTCCTTTTGGCTTAAAAAGTACAAGTTTTAAAAACGTGCCGAAGTCGAGGACCGCCTGTATTTGCATCGATAGACCAGGAGTCTATTGCCGCATCCATCCATATGAAAACGAGGTGATCTTTATTCCAGACGTTGAACCTGAAACGATAGATCCCTGTCAGCCATCGCCCTGCGGTCCGAACTCTCAGTGCCAAGTGATCAACGACTCTCCCTCGTGCTCGTGCACGCCTGGGTACTCTGGCAGCCCGCCAAATTGCAGACCGGAGTGCGTCAGTAACGGGGAGTGTCCTAGTCAGTTAGCTTGTATCAATCAGAAGTGCCAGGACCCTTGCGTCGATTCCTGCGGTGCCAGCGCGAGTTGCCATGTCGTTAGTCACACTCCTATGTGCACCTGCCTGAGCGGTTACACTGGCGATCCGTTCACTCAGTGTGTCTTTAAAGAACGTAAGAGGAGCTTCTCCAAAGATTTTCAGTTTGCTGTTTGGTCGCGACGTTGCTCCTAATCCTCCTACTTTACAGCTGTGAATATACCTGCACCCGTTGACCCCTGCAACCCATCGCCCTGCGGATCGAACGCTGTCTGCAAAGAATCGAACGGCGCCGGCTCCTGTAACTGCATTCCTAATTATATCGGGAACCCCTACGATGGATGTCGACCCGAGTGTCTCTTGAACTCCGACTGCCACCCGAGTCAAGCCTGCATGAACAACAGATGCAGGGATCCCTGTCCAGGAACCTGCGGTCGTAACGCCGAATGTCACGTTATCAATCACCTGCCAGTGTGCGAGTGTTATCCTAGTCACACTGGAAACGCCTTTGTCCTCTGTTTACCTATCGCACCAGGTAACGAAACCACTCCCGAGAAACGCTAGCTTCGAGCTGAACTATATAACGTGGCCTGTAACAACAAACTCCTTTATAGAAACTGACCAAACGATCGGTAAACCCTGCAACCCGTCTCCCTGTGGACCCAATAGTCAATGCAGACCGATCAACGGACAGTCGGTGTGCTCGTGTTTACCGGAGTTCTTGGGCAGTCCACCTGCGTGCAGACCCGAGTGCACGGTCAGCGCCGAATGTCCCACGAATTTGGCGTGTATCAACAGAAAGTGTATCGATCCCTGTCCTGGATCTTGCGGCTCGAGCACGAGGTGCGAAACGATCAATCACAGAGCCATATGCTCCTGCCAACCAGGCTTCACTGGTGACCCGCTCGTTGCTTGTTTCGATATGCCAAGTAAGTCTCCTGTCCGATAGGTCTTGTCTTCCGTACAGTCCAAATTTCATTGAGATTGAACTTTCATTGAGTAAATATTCGTTTATAGTTGGAAAACCTGCTCCCGGACCGACGTACGCGAATCCATGCGCGCCTTCGCCGTGCGGGCCCTACTCGGAATGTCGGAATATAAATTCCCAGGCCTCGTGTGCCTGCTTGCCAGACTACATGGGAACGCCACCGAATTGTAGACCGGAGTGTATACGAAATTCCGATTGTCCCAGCAACCAGGCGTGCATTCAGAAGAAATGTCGATACCCTTGCGAAGGCGTATGCGGCGTAGGAGCCCAATGCTCGGTGATAAATCACACTCCGATTTGCACTTGTCCGGAAGGCTACACAGGCGACTCTTTCGTCAGGTGTTCGCCCGCGATAGGTACGACTGTTTCCACCGTAACGACGCGAAATACACTTTGCCTTCGCGTAATTGTACACATGGTTCGCATGTAGCAACACTCCTTGTACTTGCTCGTGACTTTTAGCCGACTGATGAGGGCTCGTTAGAACAAGAACCCTTGCCAGTATAACTGATACTAATAATCAGTTATTAGGCGGCTGTTCGTCGTTTTACGAGCCCGTCACCTTCGTGTGGTATCAGGTTCGGCCCTCGGGCAAAGGTACTGGCCCTTGGAACACACATCGGAGATTAATATAAAGTTTCGTTCGAATAGTGGACATGGACCAACCAGTGGATTCGTGTGCCAACTGCGGCGCAAACACGCAGTGCCTGGATGGAGTCTGCGTTTGCTTGTCAGAGTATCAAGGAGACCCGTACCTAGGTTGTCGGCCAGAATGTGTCCTGAACTCGGATTGTCCGAGAGATAGAGCTTGTATCAAGAACAAGTGCAACGACCCATGCGCTGGTACCTGTGGACAGAACGCGTTGTGTTCCGTCGTAAATCACGTTCCAATGTGCACTTGTCCGCCAGGAATGTCAGGAAACGCGTTCGTAGTTTGCTCTGTGATGATAGGTATACTTTTTCTTCCGATCGTCAAGTTTCACCGTATCGTACGATTGTCTAACACGCATTGTTTTCAACCTGTGAACAGTACAAACACCCAAAGACCCGTGCAATCCATCGCCCTGCGGACCCAACAGCCAATGCAGGAAGATAAACGATCAGGCCGTTTGCTCTTGCATTCCTGGTTACCTAGACACGCCACCGAATTGCCGACCGGAATGTATCCTCAGTTCCGACTGTCCATCCAGCATGGCCTGCAACAATCAAAAGTGTATAGACCCTTGCCCTGGCACTTGCGGTATAAGGGCGGAGTGCGTGGTGGTGAACCACAACCCAATTTGCAGCTGTCCACCGGACCTGACAGGCAATCCCTTCACCATGTGTATCAGGATGCGTGAGTACTCGAATTCGATCGATTAGCAGACACCGCGCAAACATTACGTTCGTCTTCTCCCTCTAACAGCCGACGAGCCAACGGTTCTGAATCCGTGCGTACCATCGCCCTGTGGCCCGAACAGTCAATGCCAGGTCCTAAACAATTCGCCATCTTGCTCCTGCTTGCCCGAGTTCCTTGGATCCCCGCCAAACTGTAAGCCAGAATGCGTAAGCAACAGCGAGTGCTCCACGCACTTGGCTTGCATAAATCAAAAGTGTCGCGATCCCTGTCCCGGTTCGTGCGGTGCTAACGCCGAATGTCGAGTGATAAGTCACACGCCGATGTGCGTCTGTTCCTACGGATTCGTTGGTGATCCGTTCATACAATGCCTTCCAAGACCAGGTAAGCGATACCTCGATTGAACAGTACGCGTACGAGTCCGATCTTCGAACGAATCTCTTAAAAAAAAAAAAAAAAAAAAATACGTCTTCGCAGCGATCGAGGACACAGGTAAGAAACCCACGCCATGCATGCCGTCACCCTGTGGATCTAACGCGATATGCAACGAACTGAACGGCGCCGGATCCTGCAAGTGTCTCCCAGATTACATCGGCAACCCTTACGAAGGTTGTCGACCAGAATGTACCATCAATTCCGACTGTACCGCCGATCGTGCTTGCGTTAGATCGAAATGTCAGAACCCCTGTCCAGGATTCTGCGGCTACAACGCGATATGCCAGGTCGTCAACCACGCTCCGCTCTGTACCTGCCAGTCTGGCTACTCGGGCGATCCCTTCGTTCAATGCAATATCGTTCGAGAGGAACGTAAGTAACCAGAGCATTCGTATGTTCGTACGAGAGAAATTCGTATCGACGTCGACAAAAAATTTTCAACGGTGTATTTAACCTGAATGTTTTTCCAGCGAGACCATCCGATCCCTGTAGCTCGTCACCGTGCGGACTTAACAGCCAATGTCGCGTGTCGAACGGACAGGCCATCTGTTCTTGTTCGCCCACGTTCATCGGAACCCCGCCAATGTGCAGACCAGAGTGCACGGTCAGCTCGGACTGTGCTACCAATCGCGCTTGCAAGAACCGTAAATGCGTGGACCCGTGTCCGGGTATTTGCGGTATCAACGCGAGATGCGAGGCGATTAATCACAGTCCGATCTGCAGTTGCAATCCTGGCTTGACTGGCGACCCGTTCGTCAGATGTTTCAAAGTGCCAAGTGAGTGCCTCGCATACGAAACCCTTCGAACTCGCAGAATTTTACGTTAATACCGTTCATCTTTAGCCGTGTCCGAGCCAATAAATCCATGCGTCCCGTCACCCTGCGGTCCGTTCTCCGTGTGCCGCGTTCTCGGCAACACGGAGCTGCCCAGCTGCTCGTGCATGGACAATTACATAGGATCTCCGCCAAACTGTCGTCCAGAGTGCACCATCGACTCCGAGTGCGGCAGCGACAGAGCCTGTTTGAGGCAGACGTGCGCGGATCCTTGTCCAGGTTCCTGTGGTACAGGTGCACAGTGCCTTGTGGTGAATCACATGGCCGTCTGCACGTGTCCCAAGGGATACACTGGCGATCCGTTCGTCAATTGCTTCGTAGAAACTTCTCGTAAGCATCGAGAACGACAGCGATCTCCCCTGAACTCGACACATTAAGGATCGCTCAGAAATCCGTAAGACGTACGCCTACTCCCGCACGTTTTTGGCCAGGCTTATACTTTACTAAAATCGTGATAACTTGGTTATTAATGAAACAATTTTTCTGGAACTTTCGTAAATTGTTTCGTAAATTTTCTTAAAAAAATTAATTTCTACGAAATCGTGAGAAATTGTTTTTTCGACAATTATCATGAAATTTTTATTTCAATTGTACCAAAATTTTTAGTATTTTTTTTTAAGTATGAGTACCGCGCGAATGACCGGCAAATAAGCGAGAAGGCAATCGAGTTTAATACATTGACTATCGATGTAAATATTGGGTCGGTGCATAATTATTCGCCTTTTTCTTTTTAAATTTTATTACGAAAAAAGAAATGTAGAAATTTAATAGAAACATGTCTAATTGTTCGTTCTAGAGCGTATTAACCATCTACTTTGTAATAAAATTAAAAAAACAAACGGCGGAGAATTGTGCACCAACTCGGTACTTAAGTAGACAAAGTGAATGCACTGTTTTAAAGTAAGTGAGTCCGTGAGCGGTCCTCAATGTGTTAACAAAATCCAAAGAAACGTTGTCACCGTTGATTCTAAACCGCCACCGTAGCTTCGCCGGCAGTTCCTCAAGACGCCTGCAATCCGTCGCCGTGTGGATCGAACGCCGTCTGTCGCGACGGTACGTGCACTTGTTTGCCCGAGTATCGCGGCGACCCTTATTACGGATGCCGTCCAGAGTGCGTCCAGAACCCAGATTGCCCGCTAGACAAGGCTTGCAATCGCAACAAGTGCTTCGACCCGTGCGTCGGCGTCTGTGGCCAGAACGCCGAGTGCGTGGTGATAAATCACACTCCCATGTGCAATTGTCCGGACGGAATGTCGGGCAACGCGTTCGCCACGTGCTTCCCGGTGAAAGGTAAATTCGCGGAGTCTGTGGAGTCGCCTACGAAGGCAACTTCAGACTCGTTGGCGACGGGATAAACAAGAAACGCTTGCTTTTCAGACCCCGTGCTAGTGCAACCCTGCGATCCATCGCCCTGCGGACCCAATAGCAGATGCCAAGACTTTAGCGGACAAGCGGTTTGCTCGTGCGCGCCAGGTTACATTGGAAATCCTCCCGCCTGTCGTCCAGAATGCATAGTTAACAGCGATTGCCCGTTGAACGAAGCCTGCGTGAACCTGAAGTGTAGAGACCCGTGTCCTGGATCCTGCGGCGTGTCAGCCCGCTGCCAAGTGATCAATCACAATCCCATTTGCAGCTGTCCTCCGGTATTCACCGGTGATCCATTCGTGCGGTGCTTACCTAGACGTAGGTGTCCTCTATCGAGCCTATTATCCTTGTTCGAAAGATTGCAATTCAACGGTTACCTTGTTTTAAAGCGGAGGAGCCCATGCCACCGACAAACCCGTGCCAACCGTCACCCTGTGGTCCCAACGCAGTTTGTCAAGTGATCGGTAACCAACCGTCGTGCTCTTGCAGAGCAGAGTTCATCGGAACGCCTCCGAATTGCAGGCCGGAATGTATCAGTAACAGCGAGTGCAGTAGCCACTTGGCTTGCATAAATCGCAAGTGCAAAGATCCCTGTCCAGGTTCCTGCGGCGCTAACGCGGAGTGTCACGTTCTAAACCACGTTCCATCGTGCGCTTGCATGAGAGACTACACTGGCGATCCGTTCGTTCAGTGCTCCGCCAAGCTACGTAAGTGTCCCGGCGATGATTGCACCCGGTACGCAACGATACGCGATCCGTATTAACGAGCTATCGTTTTATCCAGCGGCACCAGGGGTTCCAACGCGACCTTGTCAACCGTCTCCCTGCGGAGCTAACGCCATTTGTCGAGAACAGAACGGCATCGGCTCTTGCTACTGCTTGCCCGAATACATCGGCAATCCTTACGAAGGATGTCGACCAGAATGTACCATTCCATCGGACTGTCCCTCGAATTTGGCTTGTATCAATCTCAAGTGTCAGAATCCTTGTCCCGGTTCTTGCGGAGCGAACACGAACTGCCAGGTTGTGAACAACTCGCCCGTGTGCTCTTGTATGCCGCAATACTCCGGTGATCCTTATGTCGGTTGCGCATACAAGATGCCATCCAGTAAGTAACTCGTACTTGCGATAAATAGATGATACTTTAATAACACGTTAATAACGTGTTAGACATTTTTGCAAACCGACATTCTCCATACATGGTGTAATTTTTCAGTCGAAGAAGACGAGCCTGACGTGTGCAGGCCGTCGCCTTGCGGTCCGAATAGTCAGTGTCAGAACGTGAACGGTCAAGCTGCGTGCTCCTGCTTGCACCAGTACGTAGGAACCCCGCCTAACTGTAGACCCGAGTGCCTGGTGAACACCGAGTGCAACTCGAATCTCGCGTGCGTCAATCAAAAGTGCAGAGATCCCTGCCTCGGCACCTGCGGTCGCAACGCCCAGTGCAAAGTCATCCACCATAGTCCGATCTGCAGCTGTGGCAGCGGTTTAACAGGGGACCCGTTCGTTTTCTGTTTCCAAACTCCAAGTAAGCTGCCACCCAAAGATGAGAATAATACGAAAAGAAGGCTTCTTCTAGTCGAGTCAACCGGATTCGATATTCCGCATGTAACGTCGATCTCAAGTTAAAGAATTCCGTGTTCTTTTGCCTACAGTAACCCAACCAGACGACAAATATCCGAGAGACCCGTGCGTTCCATCCCCTTGCGGTCCAAACGCAATGTGCAAACCACTAGGCGACACACCAGCCTGCACGTGCATGAACAACTACATCGGCGTACCTCCCAACTGCCGACCAGAGTGCTCCATGAACTCGGATTGCACAGCCAATAGGGCTTGCATTCGAGAGAAGTGCCGAGACCCGTGTCCAGGATCCTGCGGCATCGGTACACGTTGCACGGTCGTGAACCACACGCCATCCTGCACGTGTCCCTCGGGATACACCGGCGACCCTTTCACCAGTTGCTCGCCCATTCCACCACCCGGCAGTAAGAAGACGGAAACCTCTAAATCTTCGGATGTTGTTCCGAGAGGTACCGGTGGCCAATCGTTATTTTTGGAGAACGTTAGGAAGAGCGTGAAGGGACGCCAAATATAACATTTTAGCTTCGGGAATTCGCAATGTTGAAATTTAGATAATTTCGCACTTGTCGTTGTATTTCATTGTTTCACCTCTGCAAATTCGCAGATTCCTATTCAAGTTTATTTTCGTAATCGCCTCACTTTTGAAATTATCGGTCCCTGTGATTGGTCAGTGATCTTCGTTAATAATTTAAAAACGAAGCACCATTCGAGATTTTTGCAATGGAACCATCTCCGGTTCTTATACTAATTCCATCTCCATCGGCCACCGGTGCTTTCCGGAAGTGCAGCTGAACCCTCGACTTCTAAATTACTGTGTATACATTGACCCGTTTATTTCAGTGATGGATGTCCCGACAGACCGATGCAACCCGTCGCCATGCGGGCCAAACGCACAGTGCGACGACGGTATTTGCACGTGTATACGCGATTACTTGGGCGATCCTTACAGCATGTGTCGGCCAGAATGCGTGATTAACACAGATTGTCCCCGAAACGAGGCTTGCATACTCCATAAGTGCAGGGATCCATGCGCGGGAACGTGTGGAACGAACGCGGACTGTAACGTCGTCAATCACTTGCCTATGTGCAGTTGTCCAAGAAACATGACGGGCAACGCGTTCGTATCTTGCAACCCTCTGAAAGGTTGGTCACCGTTGGTGTCGAACTCTCTAGTTCCTCTACGAAACGTTAACGCTAAACTTGATTACGTTCTATAGACATGAGCATCCTCGACCCTTGCAATCCATCCCCGTGCGGCCCGAACAGTCACTGCCGCTCCTCGAACGGCCAAGCGGTTTGCACCTGTGTCTCTGGATTCAAGGGATCGCCGCCTTCCTGCAGGCCGGAGTGCGTCGTTAGCACAGACTGTTCACGCGACAGGGCTTGCAGCAACCAGAAATGCATCGATCCTTGTCTCGGTGCTTGTGGACTTTCGGCACAGTGCACCGTCGTCAATCACAATCCTGTGTGCAGGTGTTTCGACCAGTACATAGGCGATCCGTTCGTCCAGTGCACACCACCTAGTAAGAATCGATTGTCAATTTTCCGAGACATCTCGATGAAACAGTTTCATCGGAACCTCGTTTCACCTTTAGGCAGAGTACCAGACGTTCCCGTGAATCCTTGTCAGCCATCAGCCTGCGGTCCGAACGCCGCGTGTCGAGTGATCAATAACGCGCCCTCGTGTTCGTGCCTCCCTGAATTCATTGGAATCCCGCCAAACTGCAAACCCGAATGCGTGAGCAACAGCGAGTGCCCGACGCAACAGGCTTGCATCAATCAGAAGTGTAGAGACCCTTGCCCTGGTTCGTGTGGCGGTAACACCGAATGCAGGACAGTTAGTCACACTCCCATGTGCACTTGCGCCAGTGGTTACACCGGAGATCCATTCGTGCAATGCACGCTTCAGCCAAGTAAGATCTTCTCTCCATTCGAAATCCTATTCACTGGTAAACTTGCGTTTGCCGCGATGTATAACCCTTTATCTTCACCTGTAGTACAAGATATACCAACCAGACAGAATCCGTGCCAACCATCTCCCTGCGGAGCGAACGCCGTGTGCCGCGAGTCCTACGGCTCAGCCCTTTGCACCTGCTTGCCCGACTTTTACGGGAACCCGTACGAAAACTGCCGACCCGAGTGTCTCATCGATTCCGACTGCTCGTTCAATCGGGCTTGTATACGAACCAAATGTCAAGATCCGTGTCCAGGAGCGTGCGGATTCAACGCCGAATGTCAGGTTGTCAATCACATCCCTACTTGCAGCTGTAGATCAGGTTACACCGGTAATCCGTTCCGATCTTGCGCTGCCCTGGAGCCTTGTAAGTTGTTCCCAAGTATCAGGATAATATCTTTGTCCGAATCGAAACCTGAATCTATCGTATTTTCAATAATAGTCGATCCAAGCGTTACCAACCCCTGCGTTCCGTCGCCCTGCGGACCCAACAGTCGTTGTCAGGACATCGGCGGTCAAGCCAGCTGTTCCTGCTTGCCCAACTTCCGAGGAACCCCGCCCAGCTGCAGACCAGAGTGCGTCGTTAGCACGGAATGTCCCAGCAACCAAGCTTGCGTGGGTCAAAAATGCGTCGACCCTTGCCCTGGCGTGTGCGGCGTGAACGCTAGATGCGAAGTCTTCCACCACAGTCCCATATGTAGCTGCGGCGCGAGTCAGACGGGAGATCCGTTCGTAAAATGCTTCGGTAAGTGGACCAATCCCCTGAACCCCCTAAACACACCTAAACTTATCATCTAACCAACAACCACGTTTTAGCGATGACTCCGCAAGTTCCTGTAAACCCGTGCGTGCCGTCGCCTTGCGGACCGTTCTCGCAATGTCGGGACATTGGGGGCATCCCCTCCTGTACCTGTTTACCGAATTACGTCGGCTCGGCCCCGAACTGTCGCCCCGAATGTTCGATCAACACCGACTGCACCAGCGACAAGGCTTGCATCAGGGAAAAGTGCAGAGACCCGTGTCCAGGCTCTTGCGGAGCGAACGCGTTGTGCGATGTCATTAACCACACGCCGGCTTGCACTTGTCCCAGCGACTTTACAGGGGATCCGTTTACCAGCTGCCAACCGAATCCACCAAGTAAGAAGTAAAGGCTCTTTAGCCTTTTCTAAAACCGAGTGTTTCGAGAATTACGAAAACTTTGATTTCGATAGAATACTCTCCTAGACCTAGACCATATTCGGATGAAACGAAACAAACGCTGACTCTACTTTCCCGAACACACAGTTCTCCCCCCAGCGCCAGCACACCCGTGCAACCCGTCACCCTGTGGACCAAACGCGCTATGCCAAAACGGAGCGTGTAGCTGCATAAGCGAGTACCGTGGCGATCCCTACGAAGGATGCAACCCAGAGTGCGTGCAAAACTCCGACTGTACCCGCGACAAAGCCTGCTCCAACAACAAATGCGTGGACCCATGCGCCGGTGTCTGCGGTCAGAACGCCGAGTGCGTGGTCGTGAACCATATACCCACTTGCAGTTGCATCGAAAATCACGAAGGGGATTCGTTCACCTTCTGCAGACCGATCCAAAGTGAGTGGTCCGTTCTAGGAACTGCCCGAAACACCCATTGTCACCTTTTAACTCTATCCTGTTACACCTGTTGTCCCGATAGAGCGCGTGAAACCCTGCGAGCCCACGCCCTGCGGACCCAACAGCGTTTGCCGTGAATTCGGCGAGCAAGCCTCCTGTTCCTGCCTCCCCGGATACTTCGGAGCTCCTCCCAGCTGCAGGCCCGAGTGTCTCGTGAACACCGACTGCGAGCAGAGCAGAGCTTGCGTGAACGAGAGATGCCGGAACCCGTGCGAGAACTCGTGCGGTCAGGGCGCTTTATGCGCGGTACGAAATCACAACCCCATTTGCAGCTGTCCCGCCCAGTATTCCGGCGATCCGTTTATCAGCTGCTTCCCCATAAGTAAGTAACCCGTGGATGTCCTCCGTCCCAGTTTTGCCCGGCGAAACTTTGCCCGGCGTGTTCTATACGCAAAAGTAAGAAGAAAATTTTATACGAACGTATGCTCTTCAATATTTTATTAAGGAGTTATAGTTAAATGTTTTATTAAGGAACGTTGTGTTGACTATGACTCCTTAATAAAACCTTTAAGAGTACATGTTCATTAAACAGTTTTTTCTTACTGTTGCGTGTAGAACACGCTGGCAAAGTTTGACCGAAAAAAAGATTGGGACAGCCTGTATATCTTGAACCATTTCAGACATGTATTAACCCGACATTTGTGAACGAACAGAACCCAATGACGTCGCACCCGGCCTGGACCCGTGCAATACCGCGCAGTGTGGACCGAACTCCCAGTGCACCGTGTCACCCAACAATAAACCTTCCTGCAGCTGCTTGCCCGAGTTCGTAGGGTCACCTCCCAACTGTAGACCCGAATGCCTCGTGAGCAGCGAGTGCCCTGGAAACCAAGCGTGCATTAAGCAGAAGTGTAGCGATCCCTGTGTAGGACTATGCGGCCCTAACGCGCTCTGCCAAGTCGCCATGCATTACATCCGTTGCGTCTGTCCCGAAGGATATACCGGGGACCCGGTCACAGTTTGTTCCCCGATAACGAGTAAGAGTACATCCCGTGCGAACCGTTCTAACGCGAATTTTAACGAGGAAGTCGATCGAGTATTTTTACCTGTAAATATTGTACATAGAAATTGTATAGAAAAGATCGCACGACGATCACAAGCTGCAATACTTTTCGTATAGAAATTGTACAGACAAATAATTGTATAGAGATTGTACAAAAAGGATTGCACAACGATCACGCACCGCGATACTTTTCGTTTTCCGCCACACTCTTCGGATCTGACGAAATCTTTTTCATACACGTTTCCATTCTCCGTCGTCTCTCACAACTTGTGTAAAGTCACATCTTCGTTCGCGTGTTCTTGTACAGCTTCCGTCATGTTTACTGTTTTCTTGTAAATTAACTCTTTTCTCGATCGTATATACGGCTTCTGTTTCACGAACTAATCGACGAACGAACGCGTCACAGGCGGAACATTAATCGTTTCGTTTTGCGACTCTATTGTAGCGACTCCTGCGCCACCGACGCCATCGAGACCTTGCAACCCTTCACCCTGCGGCAGCAACGCTTACTGTCGGGAAAGGTACAACACCGCGTTCTGCGAGTGCCTGCCTGATTACAGAGGAAACGCGTACGACGGCTGCGTTCCAGAGTGTCTGGCGAACACCGACTGTCCGAAGTCTCAAGCCTGCATCAAGACCAAGTGTCAGGATCCTTGCTCTGGAACGTGCGGCGTTGGAGCCAACTGTTTCGTGTCGAATCACATTCCCATTTGCTCTTGCCCGGCCCCAACAATTGGGGACGCGTTCACCATTTGTCGAGCTGAAGGTAATTTCGAAGCACGGAACTAAAAGGATTCTTCCTAGACATCTTTGAACCTTTAAACATCTTCTAAACCAGACCTAAGAAATTTACTAAAAAATTCATTCTTCGTTTTTCAGAACCGAGAGAAAAAGATCCGTGCTCTCCCTCTCCTTGCGGTCCAAACACCCTCTGCGAGAAGATCGGTAACACAGCCGTTTGCAAGTGTCTGCCTGGTCTTCAAGGAGTAGCCTCGAGCGTCACAGGCTGTCGTCCAGAATGCGTCATCAGCTCCGACTGTCCAGGGGACAAAGCTTGTATAAACAACAGATGCATCAATCCTTGCACCCAGAACGTCTGTGGAATCAAGGCAGTCTGCCAAGCGATCAATCACAGTCCTCTTTGCAGCTGCCCACCCCCGTTGATCGGCAATCCGTTCGAAGAATGCACCAGCAAATTCGGTAAGTGTTACCGAACCGTTTGGCGTGAATAGAGCTACAGCTCCGATTGCTTGGAGTAAATAGAACGAATGATTATCCATTTTTTTTTTATTTTTTTTTATTTTTTTTTTTTTTTTTTTTTTAGAAACCGATCCCTGCAGTCCGTCTCCGTGCAGTTACAACGGCGAGTGCAAAGTCAGAAACGGCGTCGCGGTGTGCATCTATCCAGAGTGCGTCATCAACACCGACTGTCCACGCGACAAAGCCTGTTTCGCTCAAAAGTGCAAAGACCCCTGCATCGACGCCTGCGGCATCAATTCCCTTTGTCAAACGGTTAACCACAAGCCTGTCTGCTCCTGCCCAGCTGGTTTCACTGGGAACGCCAGGATACAATGCGTCGTTCCATCAGCCGATGGTGAGTTTCTCGAAATCAGGAAACTCTTCGGAGGTTCATTCTAGGCGTGTTGATTATTAATATTTCTGTATCTTGTTCCTCTAGTTCCGGCGCCAGAGTGCAGGCAAAATTCCGAATGCTCTAACGACAAGGCCTGTTACAACCAGAGGTGCGTGGATCCTTGCACGTTGGACTCCTGCGGCTACAACAGCCGCTGCCAAGTGCTGCTCCATCGAGCTGTGTGCGTCTGCAACGAAGGTTTCACCGGAAATGCTCAGCAATATTGTAGCAAGAGTACGTTTTCGACCAACCTTTCTGACAATTTCACGATTCGTCATCCTTCTTATACAACGATGCTTCGTGTCCTTTTATAGTTGGGTGTCGCGGGGACGGCGAATGCCCGTTGACTCAATCTTGCATCAACAACGAGTGCATCGACGCCTGTTTGGTGACGCAATGCGGCACCAACGCGCTTTGCGCATCGGACGGGTATCACAGACCGCGATGCTACTGTCCCGAGGGATACCAGGGCAATCCGTACCAAATCTGCGAGAGACCGGAATGTAACAACGACGACGATTGTCCGGCTTCGTTAGCGTGTCGAGATCAGAGATGCGTGAACCCTTGCAACTGTCCGATATCCGCGCAATGTTCCGTCGTCTACCATCGTCCTACGTGTCGATGCCCGCCAGGTTACACTGGCGATCCTTACACGTCGTGTCTGATGGGTAATTACGATTCCAGATGATTTCTTTGCGCAACGTTGAGTTCAACGTCCGAAGCTTGTGCTTCTTTCTTTTCAGAACCGATAGAGCCGCAACCCGAATGCCAAGTGGACGGAGACTGTCCCAGTAAATTGGGCTGCTTCGGTGGAATCTGTAAAGATCCCTGCGTCGAAACGAAACCCTGCATCGCTGGCGCGAGATGCTCCGTCGTGGATACCTTGCCGATGAGGACGATGATCTGCGAGTGCTTGCCAAATTTCGCTGGCGACGCAACCATCGCTTGCATCCCAGGTAAAAATCAAATGAAAGTTCAGCTACCGACTAATCGACCCGTTTATTATTATCGTCACGAAGAATTTTACCATTATCTCGCCTTTCTCGTTGTTTCCAGTGGACAAACAACTCGACGCGATCTGTCAATCCGACTCCGAGTGCGCTTTGAACACGGCCTGCTTGCACCAACGGTGCATCAACCCTTGCGTCATCAGCCCGTGCGCATCGAATGCAGAATGCGCGGTGGAGAATCACCGTCGCCAGTGTCACTGTAATACAGGATTCTCCGGCGATCCGTTCATGAACTGCTACAGAGGCACCGACGGATTCCCTGACTGCACGACGAACTCCGACTGTTCGTCCAACGCGGCCTGCATAAATCAGCTGTGCCAGGATCCGTGCCTGGGCTCGCAGTGTGGATTAAACGCGGAGTGCGTCACGATGAACCACCATCCGACGTGTCACTGTCAACAGAACTTTGCGGGTGATCCTCAACTGCAGTGCTTCAAACGTGAGTTTTATTTAAATATAAACACGTATCTACATGTGGCATCTACGGTGATATTCATGACAATCCGAAAATCTTTTTCAGCTGAATGCAAGTCAGACAGCGACTGTCCCTACGACAAAACGTGCCAGAACAGCAACTGCGTTACTCCGTGTCTGGTCGACGACATTGCATGCGGTCGTGGCGCGGAGTGCGTCGCAGTCTCGCACAGAGCGCAATGCATCTGTCCGCGAGGTACCCAGGGTGACCCGCGAATAGCTTGCATCTCGGCGGTGTGTCACTACAACGAGGACTGTGCCGATCACGAGGCCTGCGACAGACTGAATAGAGTCTGTAGACCTGTTTGCGACGACGAGGTCTGTGCGGACACAGCCAAATGCGTCGCCAGGGATCATCAGCCTAGATGCATTTGTCCCGCAGGAACCTCTGGCAATCCGTACATCGAATGCACCGGTGAGCTACTTCTTCCGCGCGTGCTACCATTACATTAACCCTTTTGCTGTCCTGTGTCGAGCGAGATTCGACAGAATTTTACCGAAATCAGAACATCTGGATTTCAAAGGGTTAGCAGTTTAGCATAATCTTCGGTGGCGTTTTAATTGGAGATGTTTCGCGTTCTTTAAGGTGTCTCCATCGAACCGGGATGCAGGGAAGACGGCGAGTGTCCGTCGTATCTGGCCTGCATCAACGCCAAGTGTCAAGATCCTTGTCTGTCCGCGAACATGTGCACCGGCGATCAGGAATGCAAAGTGTTGAACACCGTGCCTCTTCGTACGATGATCTGCAGTTGCCCTCCTAACACAATCACCGACGTAAATGGACAATGCAGGATTATTGGTGAATATCCCTGTTAATAATCGGACTCTGAATTAGAAAGGTCTAAGGCATCTATCGGTGACCTTACGAGGCTCAGAAATAATTGGCAATTGTGTTACAGAATCACCGAACGTTCAGTGTCATCAAGATGATGACTGCAGTAACTCGGAGAAGTGCATCAGCGGAACATGCATCGAGGCTTGCCTCGCCATTCAGTGTGGGCTGAACGCTCAATGCAAATCCACGTCTCACACAGGAATCTGTCAGTGCGCGCCGGATTTCACTGGCAACGCCTACCTGGAGTGCGTCAGAAGTACGTTTCAACCGATACTAATTTGAATATCGATCTACTTCTAGCTCTAGTAAAGATACAATTGATGCAATCGATAAACTTCAGGTCCCATCACACCGCTGCCGCCGATACGTCCAGAGTGTTACACCAACAGCGAGTGCTCCGGCGACAGACAGTGCTTAAACTCTTTCTGCGTGAATCCATGCGTCGTCGCCGATCCTTGCGGAAGAAACGCTCTCTGTTACGTGAACAACCACGTGCCGATCTGCAGGTGCCCCGCCAACTACGAGGGCGACGCCAGAATCAATTGCGTACCGCGTAAGTGTACCGCCGATTACCTTGACACAATAAAAAAAAAAAATAAAAAGGAGACATTCGTAAATATTTCTCTTCCGCAGCGAGCATCGTGGCAGAGTGTCAGTCGAACAGCGACTGCGCGGGTAATGCTGCCTGTGTCAACAGCTTGTGCATCAATCCCTGCAATTGCGGTCCAAACGCGAACTGCAACGTCGCGGATCACTATCCATCTTGCGCGTGTCCGCCTGGATATTCCGGGAACCCTCAACTCGGTTGCTTCAAACGTAAGTTCCTTTCTTCCTCTTCTTTACTCTTCTTTAACCCTGAACATCTCGTGGAAAAACGAACAAAATATTTAGAAACTTTAAAAAGTAACTATGACAAATAATTGTAAATCCAACGAATTCTCGTTGTCGCAGTGGATTGCGAATCAGACAGCGAGTGCAACGACGCAGCCACGTGTTACAACGGCCAGTGCGTGAATCCTTGCATCCTCGAGAACAAGTGCGCTATCAACGGTGAATGCTACGGCCAAAACCACCGAGCAGTTTGTCGTTGCGGTCCCGGCTACCTAGGCAATCCCGAGGTCCATTGCGAGAGGATCGAGTGCAGCACCGATCACGATTGTCCTCGAAACTTGGCCTGCGACAGCGGACGCTGCGTGAATCCTTGCATAGGGGACTCCCCTTGCGCGCAGAACGCCATTTGCTACGTCCAGGATCACCTCGCCACCTGTCGTTGTCCGGATAACCTGCCGATCGGAAACCCGTACTCTTACTGCGAGCATCGTCCTACGACGGAGCTCGACGAACCAGAATGCAGAATCGACATCGACTGCGCCGACAAACTAGTGTGCATCAAGAACAGATGCATCGATCCGTGCCCTGTCATCAAACCCTGTCCGGAGAACGCTCGGTGCAACGTACTCGACACCGTCCCTGTCAGAACGATGACGTGCACTTGTCCCGAAGGCTGGACCACCGACGTCGACGGTGTCTGTAGACCAAGTAAGAACGATTTCAGTTCGGGTTGTAACTGCCTCTTTAACGCATCGGTTGCCGAGCTAAGGCTCGTGAAAATTTCTATTAAGTCGAAATTTTGTCTCGAGACTATTAAAAATGAAATAACTTAACATCTGTGGTGGTATTTAATATTTTAACATTGCCAAATTCACGAATCCTCTCCGGATTTATTTTCGTTGTAACCTTTGAAATTAATTTCTTTTTGGTTACTTAATAAATGGTCCAGTATATGTATATGGTTTTCGACGGCGAACGAAATGATGTAAATTGAACTTGAAAATTCCTATCAAAGAGTACGTAAAAAAAAAGAGCGTCCAATTTCTTCTACGCTTAACGATCGTCCGTGTTTCCAGTTCAAATAACCACCATCGGTACCTGCACCACGAACGACGAGTGCGGAGACAGCGAGGCCTGCATCAACAGACAGTGCAGGAACCCCTGCAACTGCGGCACCAACGCCGTCTGCCGCGTGAGGAACCACAAGCCCATCTGTTCCTGCGACGAAGGCTATCAGGGTAATCCAGACATCGTCTGCCACTCCGTGGAGTGCAGATGGGACAGCGACTGTACCCTGGACAAGACCTGCGTTGGCCACCACTGCGTGGATCCTTGTCTGGTGTCCGACACTTGCGGCGTGAACGCCGAATGCTTCCCCAATAACCATAAGGCCGACTGCCGTTGCCGCAAGGGCTACCACGGAAACGCTTTGGACCGTTGCAGAGTGATCGGTTGTTACAGCAACGGAGACTGTCCCGGCGATCACTCCTGCATCAATCTGCAGTGCGTGGACGCGTGCGTCCACAGCAACCCTTGTTCGCCACTGGCCGAGTGCCGAGTCTTGAACCATCTCCCCATATGTCGTTGCCCAGCCCAACACACGGGCAATCCTTACGTAAACTGCAAGCCAGAGGACAGACCGGAGTGCAAAGAGGACGGCGATTGTCCAGATTCCCTGGCCTGCTTGAACAACAAGTGCCAGAATCCTTGCACCGCCATCGAGCCGTGCACCGAACCGTCCGAGTGCAGGGTCTTACCAACTTACCCTGTTCGCACCATGGTCTGCGTGTGCCCAAGCGGCTACGTGAGCAGCGGCAGCGGAACCTGTCGAGCCACCAAACCGATCCTTCCCATCGAATGCACCAGAGACAGCGACTGCCCTTCGGAGAAGTCGTGCGTGAACGCCGTGTGCAAGAATCCTTGCGCCTGTGGACCTAACTCGGAGTGCACCGTCGCCGATCACAAGCCAATTTGCTCCTGCGAACTGGGTTACGACGGAAATCCCGACGTGGCGTGCACCAAAGGTAAGAAAATAGGCGGAAGAACCTCGAACCTTAACCCTTTCAACCCTAGTAGAATATACAGGTTACTCGCGTAACACTTTTCACGATTTTTCGAGTACTCGCGATAATCGGTGAAAAAAATATTTTAAACAAACGTTGATCGGTTTTCGATTGGCTATACTTTGTGATAAACAAAAATTTGGACGACAATTTTACCGCAGCTGAATTTGATTTTCCAGTTGTCGGATGTCGCACCGATGGCGATTGCAGCGGATCGCACGCCTGTGTACAACACAGCTGCGTTCCTGTGTGCTCGCAATCGCCGCCAACCTGCGGCAAGAACGCCGAGTGTCACGGTATCAACCACAAAGCCATCTGCGAGTGTCCACCCGGGCTCGGAGGGAACCCGAGAGTCGGTTGCACTCTCCTCGGCTGCAGAACCAACTCGGATTGTCCCACGAACAAGGCCTGCATCAACAGCCGCTGCGAGAATCCGTGCACGGTGAATCCTTGCACTGGTAACCTGGATTGCAACGTTTACAACCACGTGGTCGAGTGCGCTTGTCCTCCTGGTTACATCGGCGACGCTAACTCGGGATGTACCAAACGTACGAATCTAGATTAATATATTCGAGGCTTTCACGTAGTTCTACGTGATCGATACTAATCGAGGCCTTGTCCTTTGTCTCGCCCAAAGGACACCGTTTACACTTGGAAGTTTCGCTTAGTACCACCTTTGAATCGACATTAACACGACACTAAGGTGTTGATCGTTTGGCTAATCTTGGAAGTTTTCGTTTTCAGTCACAGAGAAGTGTAAAGCAGACAACGAGTGTCCATCTCAGACCGCCTGCTTCAACGGCGAGTGCATCAATCCATGCGTGAAGATCGAGCCTTGCGGAGTGAACGCGGACTGCAAGGTTCTAGACACGAGCCCTGTGAGGACCATGATCTGCGAGTGCATCCCTGGTTACAGAGGAAACGCGGTCGTCCGCTGTGAAAAGAGTAATTTCAACGATCTGTCAGCTTTCGAACGAACGATCGTTCTTGGAACTACTCTAAACGCATCTTCTCGTTTTGCAGCCGACGTCTGTCCGGTAGAGAAAGGCCAAGTCCGCGACGAGACCGGTAACTGCGTCTGTCTACCCGGTTCGGCTAAGGATGAGAACGACATTTGCATACCCTGTCGCAAACAGGCTGGAATGGTCGTCAACGAAGAAGGGTACTGCGTGTGCGCTTTGGAAAATGGCATGATCATCGACGAGTACGGTCGTTGCGTGTGTCCAACGGAACACGGGTATAGACTGGACGCCAATGGATATTGTAAATTAGGTACAACGAAATCTAAACGATCCTATCGTTGTCTGTCTCGTCTATGTGCGAATCAACTCTTAATGGAATTATTTTTTTAGTCGACATCATCGAATGCAGAACCGACGACGACTGCGCTGATAACAGACACTGCGACCCGACCAGCCGAACCTGCGAAGATCCTTGCCTGGCGCAACTGTGCGGCGTGAATGCTCTCTGCAATGCCACCCGTCATCAAGCTGTATGCACGTGCATCAGCGGCTACAGCGGAAACGCTTACAATCAGTGTCGTAAGGACAGATTTCTTCTTAGAATTTCCTCGACTCGTAAATGTTTCCGGAACTAACGGAAATTTCGTTCAGTAGACAACATAAACCGAGGGCGTACCGACTTCCCCAGACCTGACATAATCGTCAGCTGCTTGTCGGACGGGGTACAGGTTCTGATACACCTTCTGGACGACGAATTCGATGGCGTCTTATACGTCAAAGGTCGCAGCAAAGACGAACAGTGCAGACGAGTCGTTTCCATTTCTTCGGAAACCATGCACAAGACCGAAATATTCAAGGTGGCGTTTGGAAATTGCGGACTGATACACGTAAACGTAGGTTTACTTTTGAATCAAATATTAGTGTTGCTGAAACATGCCGATAATCGTCCTTGTTGTTAACAACTTGTAAATGTATATATATTTCTGACCACCAACTCAACCGTCGCAAAGAAGAACAAAGGACCGTAGGATTGTCTCTTTTTAATGTTAACAAATTTCATCCTCTTTCTACGCTTTCAGGGACAAGCCAGCTTTGTACTGGTTATACAAAAGCATCCTAAATTGATGACGTACAAGGCACAAGCCTATCACATAAAATGCATATACCAAACTGGTGAACAGAACGTCACGCTCGGATTTAATATCTCTATGCTGACAACTACTGGTACCATTGCAAACACCGGTCCACCGCCGATCTGCTTGATGAAAATCGTCACCCAGAGCGGAAACGAGATCAACTCCGCCGAAATTGGGGATAATCTGATGCTGCAAGTCGAAGTCCAACCTTCCAGTGAGTATACAACAGTTGGGTCGAGGTAGCGAATATTTTTACGAGCGTAGTTATCGAGAATGTTGCGGACCACACGCGTTCTAACCTGCTCTACGAATCGTAACCTTTGCGTTTCAGGTATTTACGGTGGATTCGCTCGAAATTGCGTTGCCAAGACGATGGAGGACAACCTGGAGAACGAGTACATCGTAACGGATGAGAACGGATGCGCGACAGACCCAACGATATTTGGCGAGTGGGAGCAGAATCCTGAAACGCAGGCGTTGATGGCCAGCTTCAACGCGTTCAAGTTCCCAAGTAGCGATAATATTCGATTCCAGTGCAATATCCGCGTTTGCTTCGGACGTTGTCAACCCGTTAGTACTTCCATCCTTGCTTTCGAGTCATTTATTGAGCATCTAAGCGATTTAGAAGCGATAGTAACCTTCGGACCGGTATTTCAGGTGAATTGCCGAGGATACAACGCGTTTGGTCGCCGTAGACGAGACGTCGAGTCCGAAGTAAACGACACGTCTTTGAGCATCGCGGACAACTTTGAGGGACAACTTAGAGAAGAAATAACCATTCAGTCGAATCTGATATTCACTCTGGACGGAAGAGAAGAAAGGCATCCAGGGAACGCACCAGAAAGTAAATAAACATATTATTAAAATCGCCTGGCTAAACCGAGGCTTCCATGGTGACCTTTGAATTTATTTATCAGCATATTCTACTAATACGTCATGTTTATCGTTTCAGCTTCGGCGCAAAGAGTGGAGGACATATGTGTTTCTATGGTCGGCTTTGTGATAGCATTAGTAATTACAGCACTCCTGGCACTAGTCGCTGTAGCTATTGCTGTATCATGCTGGCTAATGGCGTATCGTCGCCAGCCAAAGACTGCTGGACCACTGCCACATCCACCAGAGTTCCCAAATCCGCTGTTCACTACTGAATCTGTAGCTGAACCATCTCCTGATTATCACCTATCATAAGTCTTCTAGGATAATTATTATTTTATAACGTAATTTTATAATCGTCAATTGGAACGCATTTCTGACCACATCACCTGGTGGTCGGTTTTGTATTTCTATGAACGACTCCTCCAATGACTAGCCCTCCGTACTTTCCTCCCAAGGGTTCACAATGACCGCGTCATATGTTCACTGTTATATATTATATATATGTATGCGAGTATCCTAAATCACGAGAGATATATATATATATAATATATATATATAAAGATATATCTACTATTTATGGTGATGGTTGCTTCCATTATCTAAACATGAAAAATTGTCCGGCATACCTTTTTTCTTTCTGAACTATCCCCAGTATTTAGTCATTGGAAGATTCGTTGAGCGTAACACTGCGAATGTAATTCCCGTGTAAAGTCAAACGAATTAGTCTAATATAGCTTTCTTACTTCGAAAGTAGGTAACTGTACATTTTCTCTAATAAAACGCTAATGTAATATTTTTAAAACAATATTTTTCAATGATTCCCCGAAAGAAACACATAACAAAAAAAAAATATACATATCGAATTGAGTAACCTCCTCCTTTTTCGAAGTCGGTTAAAAAGAAACGTTCTACTAAGGTAAGTATCGCACATTAGAAAATATTAATGCGTATATCTCTGCGTAGTGTAAAATAAAGTCCCTGGTAAGCGTCAGTCTGTTGAAATTGTATTCTCAACAGGCAAGTTAAGGTGATTGAAGTTGACCTAAGCGGAGAATATTATTCGCATCGAAAGAACGTCCCATAATTAAATTAGAGAAACGTCTATTCGCCATTATTTTTCTTGCAACAAGATTTTAAACAACTTAATTTATACGAAAGCAAATCATAAACTATTAAATTGTAGCTTCAAATGCTTTTAATGAAGCATTTATATAATTAAATAAAAAGACATTCAAATTTCCCGCGAGAAATTGTGTCGCCATCTAGCGGTGAAAAGGCCGAACTAATTTTCGGAGTATGGTCAGCGCCTCTATCGGAAAAACGCTCAAGTTTGTCCTCAATAGTTCCATTCCCTCACTTCTAGATGGCGCTGTTTACTGTGTGTTTTACCGACCTGTCGATACATTACCATCATGTCGGTAAATAACATAATGATAATGGCGCCATCTAGCAGTAAAAATAAAAACTATTCGAGGACAAATTTGGACGTTTTCCCGATAGAGGCGCTGACCAAACTCCGGAAATTAGTTCTATATCTTCATCACTAGATGGCTATTGATTTGAGAAAAAAAGCGGGAACCCACAAGGGAAACTACGATGGTGTAAAAGTTTAAACAATAAAGCTAGTCTTGAATATATTTCATAAAGTCAATACATAATTCCTTAATATAAAAAAGTAATTTAAGATTCAATGAGGCCATTCTTCACGTAAAGAAAGGTTTTAAAAAATAATACTGTATTTAACACGAAAATACATGCATACATACAAAATATATATTACATAAATAGAGAACGAATTCACTGTACATTAAAAAGAATTCAATTCGATTATACTTCCAGGATTTCTGTTATTTAATGGAGACAGTACAGTAATTAGTATGCTAACAAATAAGGAATGAAAGTATATGGAAGAAATAGATATTTTATTAAAATTCTTCGTGTGTAATAGAATACGAAGATCTTTCTGTAGGGAAGCCCCAAAAGAATGAAGGATAACCTTTAACTTCTCTTTCTCTTGCAACAAAAGCTGAGAAAGAAGAAATACAATTTCCTATGAAGTAATTTGCTCTTCCTAGAATAGCTAAATCTAAATGGGGCGATGCAGGCGGATCTTGTTTAAAAACTGATACCTGGAATAAATGTAAAATGATCATTCCATAAATATAAGTATGTTCGATATCTTTTCCTGGAATGTAACACGTATTATTATGAAATATATTGGCCAATTCCTCACTTCCATACGTGCCAGCGCTTTAGTAAGTTCTTCGATCATGTAATTATTATCGGATGCAACAAACACTGATTTGACGTCGTTACCATTGCGTATGACACGTTTGAGATGACGCACTATTAAATCGAACGATGGTAGACACATAGCGGAAGTTGCTTTTCCGCGTTCATTTCGATAACCAAGACATTGAGGAGCAGCGAAAAGATTTGGCGTGCTTGAAATAAATTCGCAAGCACGAACCTGTAACGAATGAAATAATATGTATTTATTTTATAGACTTTTATTTATATTTCAGTACCCAATAAGTAATAGATATATACCCAATCAATTCCGTTACGCAAATGTATTCCAATGAAGGCTCCCTTTGACAATTTTTGTTTTATAAATGCTTTCGCTTCGTCGAGCATTGCCGTATTCCATTGGAGACATTTATGTAACTTTTTATTTTCCAATTGAACAGGAAAACTAGCAGGTGCACCTGTGAATGCTAATACCGGCCAACTTACTGCAGGATATCGCTTTCGCCATTGTACAGCCATGTCTGTATGATAGACATCGTAATGAAGAGGACCATAAAATTCTGATTTTACAAAATCTATGTTATATGTGTCCCAGAATGGACCAAACGGGTTTCCCTCTTTAGCATTACATGAATCTTTTTTACCACGTGCAGAGTAACAGAAAGCTGAAAGCGATAATATGTCTCAGAAGGGCATCTAATCTTTTCATTTAACATTCAAGACTTACATACTCTTTCCTTAGGTTGCCATATTTTTGGAGCAATATCGTCCATGAAATCCTCCATTACTATTGCTTTATGGCAACTTTGTACTTGTGAAACATTAAAATATTTATCAAAAGGAACTTGTATCTGAGGAATAAGCAAAAAATACTCAATCATCACAACTACAACTATTTGGTGATAGTTAAATATCGATTACTAACTGATCTAGTTTCTCCAGTTCTGTATTCAACCCATGGTGGTAGAACCAGAGTACGATTTATTGCTTTCGCAAATCCTAAAGCACCTAAAAAGTGATCTGCTTGATTTCCAAATCTTCCTACGATACAGAGTCAAATTAATCATTTAAATGCGTAATTGTATTCTATAAGAAACAAGATTACATGAAAGAATGTGATATCTTACCCATACACGGACAGTAAACAATATATCCATTCGTATCGATATCAAAATTTTCGCAATAAGTACTGTAAAATTTGGTCAATAGTAGAATGAAAAAAATAATACTGAACATTGTGATCGAGTTTCGATCAGTTTCGTACGATGTAAGTGATTTGTCGTATAATACTCCAAGTCAACCTATAAACCGATATAATTCTATTTTATACCATTTTATACATATCCATCATTACTATGGATACGTGCATCGATCACTGAAAATATAGAAATACTTTCTAAAATCAAAACCACAGAGTAGTTTTATAGAGATGAAACTCTTGTCAGAACCTTTGATGTTCGTGACATATAGTAACTAGGAAAACAGTTCTAGCCATACCGTTTTCAAAATCGTGTTTTTACAAAAAAAACGAATTTTTAAATTTATTACATTACGATACATGATTACATAATCAAGTAACCTCGATTATCTCATAAATATTTTAAGTAAATCAAAGTCAAAGGATATGGGATTCAATAATAAATTCGCTTACATAAGAACGTACATGCATATATATTTTTGGAAATACACATTTTTTTTCTTTATATATTGTAAATATTCGTAGATAAATGTTCGTGATTTTACCATACTTTTTTTACAGTACATTGTATCTGTAGACTTATTGTATTAAAAATATTTACATCAGTATTACATTGAAAAACAAACATGCAAACATAGATACACGTCAAAGAGAAATTATACAGATGAGTTTATAAAATATTCATAAAAAATTGTACTATAATCCCATTAATACAGTATTTGTAGTAACAGGCGTTTGCGAAGGTGCGCTGGCTTGTCTCACGCTCATTTCCCAGGTGTCCAATAATTGAGATACAGAAAAACGACGAGGAAGCTTCGTTATACGCGCGTTTAGAGCTTTTTGTACAGCGCATAGGAACGTAGTAGCGTATTCATGGGGCGCCATAACGCAACGCGGAGGCGTTAGGGGATAATCAGCAGGAACTGTAACCGATACTGGTGGAACGCATGGAAGATGACGATCGTCCAACCAACATATTAATTGAATACACTTAGATCCATTTTGTTGCGCTGGATCAAGGCTAACCTATAAAATATAATATCCATATATGTATTATACGAAAGAAATATATTTGTAACGAAGTTACCTTAAATCGTTGATCTAATCGTGCTATTTCTCCCTGTAATACATCTGGTATATCGCTAGGAGATTCTTCTATTTTTTGTTTCTTTAATGGCGGTGGTAAATTCCTATTTGCATAAAGAAAATTTCATTAATGGTACCATGGAGTTTAATAGATAGTTCTTTATAGAATATAAATATTACACACTTTATTTCTGGACCAAATAAAGCTTCTAGACATGGACCAAAGGTACGTTGTAACGTGTGGTTGACCACTGGGCTTTGAAGGTGCGTGCTTACTGCTTCCAAAAGTGGACTGAAGAAATGATGTTCTTTTAACGTTGATACTCGCCCAACACTAGCATCACTACGTTTAACGTCCACTTTTTCAAGGACTACCTCACACTTTAACAGTGTATCCATCGGCATACGTTTGCTAGGGTTCGATAAAATTTCTAAAAGCTTCTTCATTTTACTTAATTTATCGACATCTACAAAGGAAGTAAATGTGATATATATATATATATTACCTAATATGTACTACGTCATTGTATTTCCTAATTTACTTACTTCCATCGTTACCCATCTTGGCGATCATTCTTCGCAAAGGTTCAATGTATTTACTCAATTGTCTAACTTTATCTCTATACGCTTGATCTTCTTGTTGCGGACTTGGAGTAGCGCCCACACCTCCTGGAGTGTTCAAAGAACTGCTAGGAGATGGTGCCATACCTAGTTGAACGCGTATTATTTATTATCTTTTTCATTTTTATTTGAAAGTATAAATTACCTTAGATTCCAAATTCTTTAAACATACCTACAGATCGTTGAGGTCCTCCCATTATAGCATGTTGCGGGCTCGGAGATGGAACTAACGCTGGAGAAGCTACCATCTGATTACTGCAAATATAATATCATTTAAATATCTATTAATACTAATATGTTTAACAAATTATTTCAGAACATAACCTCGATGGTGCCCCTAAACCAGCTGGACTTGGAGCCGACGGTGACGGACTTTGTCGTAAAAACTGATTTGCTGTAACGTTTCGAGGACCTGGAAATCCAGTGTTTATCATTTCACCTGACTGTAAGTAAAAATACTTGTGAACGTTTCAAAATATTTTCGCGCGTAATTATATATATATTAATTTTTCATTTACATACTTTTCTTTGCATATGATTTAATTGTTGCATTTGAGCAGAACCTAATTGCGCCGAAGTAATTTGATTCATCTGTTGTGGCATACTAGTTTGAATTCCACTTATAGATCCACCAATTTGATTACCCATTTGACCTGATAATTGATTCTGCATTTGAGTCTGAAACAAATACGTATTTTGTTACTTATTTGTATATTTGTATTACAATCATTGAAAATACATACTCCTTCTCGCGATATGTATACCTGCATGCTTTGCTGCATTTGTCCTGGAGTAATTTGTCCCATTTGATTAGGGACTACTTGATTCATTTGCGGAGGAATTTGTCCTTGCCCCATTTGATTCATCTGGGTTAACATCGAATTATTTTGCATAGTCTGAATTGAACTCATATGACCCATCGGACCACTGGTTTGGGCAGGCATCATACCCATTCCTGGCATTTTATTTTGCATACCTTGCATGGTCATAGGTTGCCCAGGACGTTGATTTAGACTTTGCAATACTAACGAAAATCGTTAGTACAAATTAAATTAATTGTTGCGAATGAATTTATAATTATGTAAAATCAACATACATATTCAGTTGAACATATTATTTATTTATGTAAATAGAAGTAAGAATACATCGAAAAACGTGATAAAAAATAACATATGCAAGTTATAGATAGATAAACATCTTCTTTCTGATTAATTTCAAATATAATAACAACTTAATATAAAAAAATATAGTACATATTCAATCACTTAAACATATTACAATGATATAATTAAGATGAAGATGATACTTGTTCAAAATATTCATTTCTAATGAAAATTTCAAATGCTTCCATTAGAGGGAAATCAAAAAATATTTTTAACTTCTTTTCAAGTTTATGTACACACATTTCCTTCAATTTTTGCGATGCACCTTGTTTGCATATATACTCATATGCAAGGCTTGCAATTTGTAGATTTTCATCTAATTCTAGCTTTAGAATAATAATATCTTTGTAACTTGTTTTCTCTATATCCATTGGCCACCCTTTCTCTTTCAGCAATACTTTTACAATGGTCAGTGATTTATTTACTTCAAATTCTATATCGCTATATGTTTCTTTCACTTTATCAATTACTTGGTACACGTATACTAATCTTCGTGCAAAGGTATCTAACAAAATCTTGACTTTATCCACCATTTTAAGAACTCTTTGTCCAACAGGATCATGAGTGCCTCTCTTTATTTCATTATTAATATTTATAGTTTCTGGTAATCGAGTGCGTCCTAAACTGATGTACCATTTGCGTAATAATTGAATATATACAAGTGTTATTTTAAATTTGATGCCTTTTAAAGAAGATCCAGTAACAATAGGTTTATAATGATAACGAACTCGATCATCTGCTAAGGCAACTTTCATGCCACATTGCTCTTCAATTACTTTTGCGAAGTTTTTTCTGTAACTGATAGTATGTTTCCATGATTCATGCAATGCTTCTTCATCTTTTCTACGTTGAATATATTGTTGAAATTCGACTTGAGATGGTGAATTCATTAATTTTTTATATTCAACTGAATTATCAGAATCATAAAGAGAATAACTTTCTATGGAACTGTCATACTGTGAGTAATATCTGTTAGTCAGTCTCGACATTTTTCTGAGTTTGTTGTAAATATGACACAAGATTTAGCAATAAACAATGATTATAATTTTGTAATAACAGTAATTAGGTTAGGTTAGGTTTCTCTGTTCTATAAAATAAAAAATATTCAATAAAATTAACAATTCAGGATACTACATATTACAGAGTATTTAAAGTTTATACTTTTAGAATAGTTCCCTCCAAGAAAGAAAATTCTAGATTCAAATACTACTCTTTGTATCTGTTGCAAGTTTCTTAGAGTAACCATACCTTCTCCATAGATTTTTGACACATAAATGTTGGAGAACTTGCAATGTTATTATTGAGGTCATGTTTCTCAAAACAAGATACATCTTTGTGTAAATTTTAGTAACTAAGATAATATACCTCATTATATGCACTATGAATATCAGTTTTTGTTATAAAAGTGGATGTGGCACAGATGAATTTTCTGTTTATAATATCTATATCACAACCAATGACACTTGATATTTATAGTATACAGGATTCATCCTAACAAGTGATACACATTTCAGTGGTCACAAAAACGTATAAACATAAAAAATTTTAGGCAGACTGCTAAAGATATAATTATTTCTAACAAAAGTTTACAATGTTGATATGTAAACTTACGATTGGTAGCAGTATTGGTAGGTGGTTGCTGAATTATTCCTTGAGGATTAGATCCTGGTCCGCTCATACTCATCATTTGATTAATACCAGTTCCCTGGCGTGCCAATGTTTGCAATGCCCCAATTGGATCTGGCATCCCTTGATTTCCTGTACCACCTGTACCTGGTGCAGCACCTCCTGCACCTTTCTTGGAGTCTAAAAAGAAAATGGAAATATACATTTAACAAATACTTCTATTTTAAACTCTATGTAATAAAGCAAATATATATTACTGAGTTCTCTGACATGTAGAATCAACCTGGCAACAAAACCTAGATATTCCTCCTGCAATGAAACAAGTCTATGTTAGTCATGAAATTACTTAATAATTTTTAAACTGGAAAAGTCAACAAAGTAAATTTAATAAGAAAAAAAGTACAACATACCCTAGTTTTTGCCTTCTGAAAAACATGATTTTCCATATCAATGCTATTTCTTGTAGTGGGCATTCCAGACGTTTGTACAACTTCATCTCTGTAAAGAAAATATTCAGTATATACGATGAGCGATACTGTTATCATTATATTTTGTAATATGTATTATCAGAATGATATTATCATGAATTAACTTACATTTTCGCAATTACACTTTGTCGGAAACTTTGCGTTTTCCACGAATTCTCGTCAGTTGCCATATTTTTACATTCACTAATTAAGTAAACAATTAAAAAAATCTGAAAAACTTCTATCAGCATAACCATTAACGACTAAACATGCTTACTGGTATTACTGAATACTGATGCAATGCATACAGATCAATGCAGATACAGTAAACTGCAAACCTGATTTTCAAAGAATTGTAAATAGCCCCCTTTATCACGTTTCTATGAGAAAGATATTTTTTGATGCATCCATTGAATCCTGGTAGATAGCGCTGTAAATTAACCTCAAAATAAATGTCTTATAGCTAACCTCAACATTCACAATGGCAGAGATAACATTGACGGAAGAAGGATTAACGCAGAAACATAAAAAAGAACGAAAGGAACTACAAGGTAATCGAGTTAAGTAACTCTAAACTCCGATATTTTCTTTTAAAATGTCGCTTTTATGTTTCAAAACAGTAATCGATCGAAATGTTACTCTTACATATGTGCGTTAAGTTATGCTCTGTTACTAGCATTTAATTATATCACGTAAACACATATTTTACGTATATTTGTACAATTATCGTTTCTGAATTACAGCACAAATACAAATTTTAAAGAAGTCAATTTGCAAGGGTGACAAAAAGAAGAAAAAAGAAGTTACAGAAGAAATTAGTCGTCTAGAAGAAGCCTTGGATGAAAAGCAAGAAGAAGAATCTACTAGATGGAAAGTTGCACATCTTAATATTAATAACACGGAAGATGAGAATATTGAAAGTTATAATGATGAAGTGATAAAAAATGATATACAACACGAACAGTTGACACACAGAGTTTCGAAAGCACAAAAAAGGAGAGACAAAAAAGCAAATGCAGAGAGAGAACGTAATGAGAGAATAATAGAGCAAGAAGCATTAAATGTTTTTGGCAAAAGAAATGTTGAATTGCAAGCCATAAAAAAAATTCTTCAAGAACGTGGTCTAATGATGTTTGATATTCCAAGTGATGGTCATTGGTGAGATACTTATTTGTAAAGTATTAGTTCTGCATTGATTATAAATATTTTGTATTAATTATACAATTCTTACAGTTTGTATAATGCTGTTGCACATCAATTGAAAGTTATAGGAGAAACACCATTGAATTTTCATGAACTCAGGACAAAAACTGCTGTACATTTAAGAGAGAATATGAATGAATTTTTACCATTCATTTCTAATCCAGATTCTGATAATGTTCTTTCACCTGAACAGTATGAGAAGTATTGCAATGATGTAGCAGGTACAAGCGCTTGGGGAGGTGCTATTGAGGTTAGGTGAATTGGAATTTAATGTAGAATGAAGTCTTTCCTAATGATACTTATATAATTACTTTTACTTTTAAAATAGCTACAAGTTCTTTCGCATGTATTGAAATGTCCAATAGAAGTTATTCAAGCAACGAGCGCATCGTACATTGTTGGTAACGAGTATAGCAATGGGAAAAGAATGATATTAACCTATCATCGTCATATGTACGAACTAGGTGCCCATTATAATTCCGTTACAAAATCTGTTAAAGGAGAAGAAAGTTGATAAGTACTGATTAATATTTCTACTTAAGAAATTAAATATATAATTTCTTAAAAGTTTGTATTAACATCAAATGTACGAATCATTCAAAGAGCTGCCACAAGTGGTATCCAGGAAACATATCAGTCATATCTTAAATTAAACCTTAATGTTTCTCTGGTAACTAGCCATGTACCCAAAAAAAATTAGTATTTTGTGTCAATAGTAAGTTAGACTTAAAATATAAAGATAATGTGAATCAGTAGGTCTTCCTTTAAGTTTTTTTTTTTTTCTTTATAAATGGTCATAGTAAAAACTATATTAATTACTTAAATGTTTGACAATATAAAGAAGCTGCCAGTGAATTGCAAGTACACATTGTTCAGTGCTTGCGCTTGCTCCGATGTTCTAATGTAAATACCTATTTATTTTTAATTATGGGTTATATATTTTATATTAAATGTTTAATTTTACATGGGAATCGAGCAATGAAATATTTAAAAAAAATTTATTACAGCAGAAATATTAAGATTGTGTGCATGCGTGAATATATATATAGTAATAATTTTCTGATGTGTTTTTAATAGATTTATACTATTTTAATGGTAAGTAATATGTACAAATATAAAATAAAAAATAATAAAATATTGAAGTGACTATTAGTTTGTGGAAGTACAATTTATTTATATTCAGTATGTGTCACAGTATAAGAGTTTGTTTCATTTATCCACATTACTTGCACTGGTGTCATCTGATGTTTTATCATTGTCAGATACTTTGTTTTTATTTGGATCGTCTGGTTTCATTTGTGGAAACAATAACACTTCCTGGAATTATATATACACATTTAACATTACTTTATTTTTATTTTTGTTTACTGGAATACTAACCTTAATGTTATTAGAATCTGTGAGGAACATAGTAACTCGATCGATACCCATTCCCCAACCAGCAGTTGGTGGTAAACCATATTCCAACGCGGTACAAAAGTTCTCATCGACTAATTGCGCTTCATCATCACCAGCTGCTTTGTCTTTGGCTTGTTCCTCAAATCTATACACATGAATTGTTTGTTTTAGGTTAGATCGTTATCAGTGATAGCTTTTTACTCAAACAAATTACCTTTCTCTTTGTACCATAGGATCATTCAACTCTGTGTATGCATTGCAGACCTCTTTCTTCATAATAAATAACTCGAATCGTTCTGTAAGACCCTTTTCAGAACGATGCCATTTTGCTAGCGGAGACATAATTTGCGGATGATCCAAGATGAATGTAGGGTTGATACAAGTTTCTTCTATAAATTCACCAACGAGCTGTTTAGAATATACATATACATTTAGTGGATATATATATATATATGTATAGTTATAATTCCGAAATTTTGAAAAAGTCTTACTTTATCTAGCAACCTTGCTGTTGTTCTCGGCAAAGGACACTCAATTTCATGTTTGATACAAATTTCGTTAAATATCTTATTTGATTCTGGTGTATTCAATTCGTTAGCTGGCGGTAACTTGACTTTTAATACTTCTTCTAGAGTCTTCATCATGGAAACGCGTTTAAAAGGTGGAGTGAAATCAATTTCTACCGCTTCTCCTTCTGGACCATCTGGATGATACATAATTTTGTAACTACCATGTATGGTCTTCACCATCTCGGATACCATCTGCTCTGTGATTGTCATTAAATCATTATAATCTGCATAGGCCATATAAAATTCACAAGTGGTAAACTCTGGATTGTGAGTCATATCTATTCCTTCATTCCTGAATTGTCTTCCAATTTCATATACTCTATCTAATCCTCCGACAACCAGCATCTAAAAGTGTAAGCAGTATTATATTAATATAATTTTTACATAGTCAATTGTGATTATATAGTAGTATGTATTACTTTAAGATACAGTTCTGGAGCAATGCGCATATATAAATCCATATTTAATTCATTGTGATGTGTAACAAAAGGTTTAGCTGTGGCACCACCAGCAATCATATTCATCATTGGTGTTTCAACTTCCAAAAAGCCAAGTTCATCGAGAAACTTACGAATATACGCGATCACTTTCGCTCGTACATGGAACGTTTTTCTTACTCTATCGTTTAATATAAAGTCCAAATAACGTTGTCGAAACCTTGTCTCCTAATTGGTTAAACATAATATAATTCTTAACAATCATAAATCACATACGCGTTAGAATAGAAGTCGTTCCTTTATACCTTATCTTTTAATCCAAAGTAAAGATTAGGTAACATGTGTAAGCAGGGACTTAAAAGGGTAATACTATGTGGCATTATAGAAAATTCACCCTTTTTAGTTTTCCCAGGATTTCCGATAACACCGATAATGTCGCCTCTTCTGATTTTAGAAATATCAGCAACAAATTTTTCTTCATTCGCGTAATTTCTCGCGTTAGCCATGACTTGAATTTTAAGACCTTCTCCTCTTAGGTCATAAAAAATAAGTTTAGCACCAGATTCCCTAATAGCATATACACGGCCAGCAATACTATGTACTTCATTCTCTAATACTTGACCATCTGTCAAGATGTTGCTAAATTTTTCAATGAAATTTTCTAACGATATGGATACATGAAACTTATGTGGGTAGGGGTCGTTGTCTGTATTTTTAAGGTGGTTGACTGCTTGTGTCCTGAGTTTAATATATTCCTGAAAAACAGATTACACAATTAAAATATAAAATGTTTGAGTACAATGAACATAAACATGATGAACATAAATGATTGTTTACATTTGGACTGATCTCCTCTTCTTTAATATCATTTTTTCCCTTAGATTTGGCTTCACCTTTCGTTGTTGCTGGAGTAACTGCCTTTGCTTCTTTCTCTGCTTTCTCTTTCAATTTCTGTTCTGTCTTTAGACGTCTTTTCAATTCACTGTAATTATGATTGGAATATTTGATGGTTCTTATCCTTTATTTAAATAATTGAAATTCTTCTAAAATTGAACGCACTTTGTTCGAAAATGACACACAGTTATACGATGTAAACTTGTAGGTTTTCTATTAAATAGCAGCGGCAGTACAGTGCCAGTCAAAGTTTTGGTTATGTTACACAACATGGTTAATTAAAAGTATCGTTGTTATTATATCAACAATTTATGTGCATGTATATATAACAAATATACTTAATCATCAATTTTTACGAGATTGCATTATCTAGCACGTGGAAAAATACATAAACGCAGGCAGTTGTCCATTAAACAACGTGGATAGCCAGATCGTTGCATTCACTATTCCTCTATTTAGGTTATGTTAGAATAATAGATCTAAATAAAAGATAATTTCGAACAGGTACAGAAATTGGAACAAATAATCCAATTTCCTCTCAGTATTATTATTTTACTCACTTTTTTGATAATTTTTCACTCGTAGTGTCCGCCATGTTGGTAAACCTCCGTAGAAAGAACTCTCCTATGTAAGTTGGCGAACCTGCAAAATGTCAAGCTACTCATTGTCAGTCGATACGTTTCTTTGCGCCAAATTATAATTTCAAATTAATTAGACAGTTTAATATTGTGTTTGTTCAAGTTTTCATTATCTCGAATATAGTCTTTCAACTGTATGAAAATGTTAATAAAAATGTCTTTTTGTAATTCAAGCGTTGCTGCGGAAAATATTCAAAATGTGTTACTTTGGAAACCAATGCTTGTTGATTCGCGCTTTTGGAATCAATCGTTTCAGTGAAAAGTGTTTTACACTTGTGGGCATTTTTATGTGAAAATGGATGGCTGTTTAGGATGCCAGGACATAAAGGCGTTGCAGAATTTAATTAGTCCACCGATAGATAACTCGGATTCTGAGGATGATCTACCACAAGCTGGCGCACGAAAACTTTGTAAGTAGGAAAGTTTCGAAAAAGTTTTACGATCTTACGATGACTACTATCAATTACTATGATAATTAATGTCTACGACTACGATAATGGACAATAATTACGAGAAAACCGTTAAATTTTAAAGGTTTTTCAGGTCCCAGCGATATAGGCGCCCAAACTGTGGCGAATGCTGCCCCTGAAAATGCAGGCCCGCATAGACCGCTGAAAGAAGGGCCTGACGATATTTGGCACCCCTCCGAGGCAGACAAAGCGCAATATTCTGAAACATGCGATCCAAGAGAGGTGCCCGAATACGAGATGAAATTTAAGCAAGCTGTGTCAGCGGAGGATGTCTTTCTAGGCGTTAGTTTTCTTTTTTTAATTTCTTACGATATTTTTTAGCCTCTTGAGGGGCGAATTACTTTATTAAAAATGAATAAAAATTCAAGTCAAGTAAGTCGCAGACCAGTCAATACTCTTACATCTTCACCTACGTTGTTGTTCTTGATTATCACTAATTGATTACATGTTGGTAGATCAGATGGGCTTCAAAACTCCGAGCACGGCTTCCTGCGAGTGGCTGGCCATCCTCGTGAAGATGCCGCAGGAGTCGCGCGACAGAGTCGAGCTCACCGTGGAATCCGACGCGATCGACGTTCGCAGCCCAAGGTGAGAGAAGGAGGCGAGAATTTATCGACGATTTCGCCAAGTTTCATTGCTTTGACTCGGGGGACGGCTCCGGAATTTCTTTGACAATTTTACGAGGCCGTAAATCTGTCAGAGCGTAAAGTCAGTCACGATCTTCCAGATATCGGCTGCACCTCGCGACACCCCATCCGGTCGATCCCACTGTCTCGTCTGCCAAGTGGCACACCGACGTTTCCGCTCTGGAGGTCACGCTGAAACTCGTACGCGAGCTGGACGCCGTGAATTTTTAATCTACCTATTACGTGTTCGACTTTGTATGTAGAAGTGTCAATATATTTGTATCTTCTTGAAATGCGATACGTGATTTATTCACGGGGTTAGTCGATTTTTGTTTCAGACGGAAAGTAGGTAAACTTTAGAAATTTATGATGATTGATCTGTTCGTGTTTTCAATGTTCTGATATGTTTTTGGTAATGTTTGTGATGGTAAAATTATTGATGCTATTGTGGAGTATCATAGCTATTATAGTCAGTTCCAAGTTCTGCAGGCTTTAACAAAACTTAGCATAGTGAGGAGCCTAAGTGAACCTAAGTAGTTAGGTTAACCCTGCCCAAGGCAGTCGCTAATGACCTCGACGCGACCTAGAGCAGTCAGCTAGAAAGAAAGAGTAAATAAATCCACGGCTCGTAAAAGCTCACAGGGTCAAAACGCCAGGACCCGAATTTCATCGATAACATCTCGTTCGTTGCTTGTAAAAATTTACGTCTCGAGACAAAGACACGCGACGCGGTAAATAAAACCCAATCGAGCGCTCCGTAAACCCATTTCGTAGTCGATAACATCGTATTACCAGGCGGTAACAGTTTCTTTTTTCTCTCAAGTTCTCAAACAAATTACCGAAGCCGTATTTTCCCGATAACAACGGCCGTATCGATGACGGGGAATCTCGAAACACGATGCGCGAGTTCGGCGCCCAAGGAACGGTCGATGGAACGAGGGTTAAAACCGCGCTCGAGGACCGACTTCGTTCCTCGTTTCTCCGCTTTTCGTCGAGACCGATTGGCAATCGACTTGATCCGCCAAGAATCGAGTAATTTAGTGGAGTGTATGCCCGGAAGCTCGAGCACGCTTTCCAGCTATTTGAACAGCCTGGATTTGTTACCGTCAGTCACTCCTCCCTATCCCTCTAGCTCGCGATTCTGTGGCTGATGCGTCTTCTGCAGGGTGCACGGATATAATCTGATACAAGGAACGATCTGTAATTTGGTACTGTGCAGCCTCCGTCACGGAAACTCTTGCGATAGCCGAGAGGTCCGTTTCGAAAGTTTGTCGATAACCCGGCACATTTCTCTTCTTCCCATACGAATTTCATCTATTTTCATTCATATACGTTGTTTCCACGCGAGTCGTGGATCCAGATGCATTCCTAAATAAGCTAAAAAGAGCGAAGTAGAGATTGAAAATTAATGTCTTCATTTAGAAAAGTGCCGCTCGAATCGTTTACCCCAATTAGTTTCAAAATTAAATTGCTCCTAATATTAATGGCCTGAACAAAAGCGCAGGACTCGCAATTAGCGGGCTCGTTAAAAATGGTAACTAGATCAAGAACGAACGTCCCCCATTTTGGAATGCGTACTGCAAATTGCGTTTTGCGTTAATTTATTCTAAAAAATTCTATGTTTACGTAATGCTTGGTTCACTCATAGACGACTGGGTGTCTCTGTCGTTTACCTTGAAATATTTTTCATGAATTCCATTGCACGAGTGTTTCTAACGATCTCAATCCCTCCGACATGAAGTTACAAGCAGCTAGAGTTACTTCGTCGTCGTCTATGGATTTATTTGCAGCTGTTTCAGGAAGAACGAATGCAAAAGTTTTCGCGTTCGTTGCACGCTGGATCGCAGGTCCGTCTGCGAAGTTCGACGAACTTTTTTCAGTCGAGGTTGTCCCCTGGTATTAGTTGAAACAGCCAATTAAAGTGATTGGATATCGACCGGGCCTTACAAGTTGTCCAGAGTTTCTTCGCAAATTAAATATTTTCTTACCGAACATTGATTGCCAGCTTCGATGGAAACCGGGCTTCGAAGTAATTCGTAACGCTTCCAATGCTTGCAATAAAAAACTTTAACTGGGGGAGAGGCGGAGCTTGGCGAAATTAACAAGGGACGTGAGAAATTGATTCGCGTACTTTGTAAAAATTGAATTCGAAAAGAAAAATTTGTAGTAGCGCTTTAACTTAATGTCACGATGCTTTAAAGTACTTAAGTAATCTATCCTGTATTTTAAATTGGGAAAACTGTAATATTCAATGTGTTTGCGTTAGTTCGGTTACGATGATCAGCGACGTAGAACAGGTTTCGTTCGTTTTATTATCGCTTCGAGAGCGTGCACGTGTAAATAACGATCTTATGTATTCTCCAGCGGTGAAGGATGGCACAGAATTCCGTAGCCTGTAGTTTACACTTACACACTCTGTCGCACGAAAGATATTTTATACAAGAGGTTTCCGGTGATGGTGAAAATCAGCCGAATGGAAATTTCACATCTAGCTCAAGGAGACTGTATAAGCTGTTTACGTGGGAAAATAGGTAGAAAAAAAATCGATAAACACAACAGAATGCGCGGTGCAGATAAAAATTCTGTCAGCTTCCCTATAGACGGCATCAAACGAAAGTATCGAAGATCTGAAACTGAAGTTGAACAGTTTGTGTACATTTTAGATGAACGAAATTTCTATACGTTCGTGTAGTATTTATTTTTATTTCAGCACTCTTGAATCAGTCACTTCGGGATTAGATAAGGTCTTCGTTAGGTTTCCACAGTCTTAACTGTATTATTTCATTGCTTTTTAAATAAGGGGTGATGATAAGATTTCCTTGCGTTCCTGTAATATTAACATTCGCGTATTATTTCTAAATCTGCCATTCCAGAAAGTAGACAAGGTCTCTATTTCCTTCTTCTATTATGGTTTGACTCAGTCGGTGGTGTTCGACACTAGTTAGTTAGTTATTTATTTTCTTTAGATATAATACATGTATTGGTGCATATCCAAAGATGGCGTTTGAGGTATTCCAGTTCGAAACTATAATAGATAAGAAGTTCTCGCAGCGTTTCCGCGCTATTATATCTTTCTTTTATTCCGTTCGAACTAGACGGATTCGATCAAACGGAGAAGATCATGGCTCGCGGGCGCAACATCAATTTTCACGCGTCGAAATTATTCGCGTCTAAAGTTTGCGAGCGTTATAACAGTTATTCGCGCGAGTTGCGATCCTCGTCTTGTCCAGTCAATTTCCTCGTAAATTCCGACATTTTGGGAACTTTGAAACGGAACACCTTGAACGGGTTCGCTCGCGTGGCCCGACGGTGACATATTGCATAATGCAGTGCAGCAACACATTGTGATGCATGAAGAGAGATGCACAACGAGGCGCCAACGGTGAACGTTGGCGTCCTCGATGCAGCGAGTTCCGATTCTTCCGCGTGAATCGATTGTCGAAACTGTATCGAGAATTGAAATTCTTTTTGACAACTGCGCGTTCCATGCTTCTCAGTTATATTAAGCTTCCGAATAGTTTGAGTATTACGTATTATTTATAGAACTAAGGAGGATCACGTTCGCTTTTGTGCATCAACGTTTCCGATATTTTTAAACAACAAAACCTCCGTTAGAGAAAACATGTACGCTTACGAAAAGACGCGATACCATGTGCTCGATCTTGATATTGTTAAGCCATGGAAGTCCGAGATAGAGGTAGTTTTCTCTGTAATTCTTGGGAATGGAAGTTTAAAAGGTACCACACCCTTTTACCTTCGGAAATGGTTTATCCGTACTCGTTTCTACGTTACGAAAACAAGAGAAACTAAAAGCACGATCGGATCATATTTCTCGTCGAACGATTAGCTGCTCGATTTAATAAACGCCGCGAATAAATTATACGGAGCTTCCGCCGGTCGCGCGTTGTATCAATAAAATTCTGCTCGTTTCTGGTCGACGGTGCGTTCGATAGCGTGTTTGATAACGCAATATTGCGCGCGATAGTGTTTACCGGCGATACTTGGTCGACTGTCATGTTTGATGTACGCCGATGACGCGCGACATTCGGGTAATTATAAGTCTCGTCACGAGACGCTGCACGCTATTTTGTCGTAATAGTATCGGGGAAGTCGCGACGACAAATTTAACAGCGGCTGCGAGCGAAACCGTGCTAACTCGTCTTGGGGAATTAATAACGTTGTGGTATCTCCTAATGAAGGTTTTCAACGCATGCTCGACGAAGCTTCCGTTGAAATTTAATGGTTCGTGTTTGTATAAATTTTCCCATCGAGGAACGCGAATGCGACCTCGCCGCTGAGGACTTTGGTAGACCGTGGAGATCACGGGCGCGAATAGCAAATACGAATTTTGGGAGATACGTAGAGGAGTCCCGAATGGGCCTTTAGGGACTTTAAATTGTATCAGGTCATCCCATAAGTAATATCGCCTCTTACGTTACTGTAAAAAATACCTTTTCCGCAGTTTGGTGATGTATTTATCGAAACAGACGGATTCTGATGATTTTTTTTTTTTTTTTAATTTTTAAATTTAAAATCTGAAGGACACTGCCATGTAACTAAATCAATTTATTTTTAAAGGTTTAAAACGGAGATTTCCTCAGCACACGTGCAATTCTTCTGCAGAGGATCATAATTGCCTATTCTACGCAGGATTAATATTCCATGGACGAGCTTTCAAGCAGTTTTACCTTGAAAATTTGATGAAAGTAAATGACATTTCGGGTCCACCAACCTGAATACGTAGTTTCCCCTCGTACAGTGATCAAATTCTCCTTCGACCGCTTCCCAGCGTTCTCCTCCCTTCTTTCAGGATCCTCGTAGGTAAATCGAACTGGATCAGTCCCAATTACACGATTATACAGTCTCTATTCACGCACGATAATTACTGTTTTAACGGTGGAACGCTGGACAGTGAATTAGATCGGTGAAAGATAAATCAACGGCAGGCCCGATCAATTCATGACGAGATTCCGAGCATTTCGATAAATTGTCGGACAGCCGTGCCTGGATATTGTGAAATTGCTTTGACACATTTCCTACCATTTGGCCAGAGCCTCCTGCGCGTTGGGAATCGATAAATCAACCGATAGATAATGCACACGGACAGACGCAACGTATGCTCACCTTGTTCGTCAACTCTACTCGTTGTTTCTGGTCGGTGATTCATCTATGTTAATTCCCCATCAATTTCCAACGGATAATGCCTTCGCGCGAGACGTGTTTATTCCTGGCATTTAATACAGAGACGGTAGATCGAATCCCTAACGCTTTCATGGATATATTAAGCGCGAAAACAATTATTACGGGAGTTGATTTATTCGCCCGTCGAATTACCGCGGAGAGTTACGTGTACGGTATTTATTTTAAAGTGATCGGTGAAAAACGTTGACCGAGTTACGGATCTCGTAGGACTCGCTGAAATTAGTGCTTCTGTGTCACCTGGATGCGAGTACAAGTCGGAAACTCTTGAGAGCAGCGGGAAAGGTACATTTTTAGCTTGATGTGCTGTTTTATCTTACTTATCCATATGTTAGAAATTTTAGGGTAGAGATTTTATTTAGGGTTGGAGTCAGTGCTATAAATTCGCAGATAAAATATTTCATCGCGAGAATCGTCATTTTCCTCCGCAATCGAGATTGTTCCAATTCTCTGCGCACGCAACATCTACGCA